GAAGCCCCTCGCCCACCCCCCCACCACTACTCCCCAACCGATCAAGCACCAACCCCCTCTCCGCGTGCGTCAAATCCCGCAGCGCCTGCAACTCGAAAACCCACTCCATCGGATCCCTCCCACCCAACCCCTTGTCAACAACCTCGCTACTCCCCAGCGCGCGCAACGTCGCCGGGAAAGTCCCCTCATGCGCCGGTCTCCTCCGCAAATAAACACTCTGGTTGTTCCTAAACTCATCCGCCAGACTGGGCTGATTTTGAAAATCAATCGTCAAATCCCAACAACCCAGTCCACCAGCGTCCGTGGCAACACGTAGGACATCATCTAGCGGCGGAAGCAAGCAAGGAGTCTGCCGCCGGAGGATAACAACCTCCGGATCTGTCGCATCACTCCCCGTCTGCGACGCCGCCGCCACAGCCGTCGCAGACCCCGGTTTCAAATGGATATTAATCGGCGTGTTCATCGGCTGACCGGTAGCCAAATCCTTCGCAACCAAACACCGGGGTTCCGTAGCCAGAACCCAAAAGTGACGAAACGCCTGCAGATGCGCCCGATTGTCTTGGACGTTGGCAGGAAACAGCGGGTAAAAAGCGACCAGGAGAGCAGCAGTGGCAAGGTTACTCGTCCCAAACGTGGCGGTTCCGCACCCCAAAAACAGAGCGCCAATCGCCAGGTGAGCAGCCATGTGGCTTCCGTACGTGGTGCTCTTGTCGTCTCGACCGTGCAGACCTCTCAAACGACGGAGCACAGTGATGTCCCCCGTCCCGGCCATCACCGTGGCGCAAGACAGCGCCACCAGATCCATACACATCCTCGCGTTGCTGCGAGCTAGCTCCGCGTCAAAGTTCGTCACCGGGCTTCTAACGATCCGTACAAACTCGTCGAGGTAGTGAACAAGCAGATCCCGAACTTGGATATTCGCCGAGCCGGCGAACCGAAGGCCCAGCGAAAAGCAAATGCCAGCCAAGATGGAGAAAAAAGACATGTCCCTGCTTTGAAGCTTCCGAGTGCTGCTCAGACGTGCCCGTGAATGATAAATAGAAGGCAAACTGCTCTTGATCCAGTCAAAGGTAGGTTTGATCTCCTTCCAAAGAATAACATTCTTCGCCACCGTCCTCAAAAGCAAAACATCAGGCCGGACATAGTCAAACTGCAACGTTGTGTCAGGAACATCAATCTTGCGTGCAACAATATGATCCTCCGACTTCATGAAAATGAGGGCAATAGCCATCACAGCGCCAGCAGCGGCACGGTCCAAGACATGAGCCAGCTCCACGCGCTTGGTGGACGTGGCGATTGTCAGGAGCTTTTCCGTCAAGCGCATATCTCTCAGCCCCTTCAGGTCGCCTCCTTTGCCGAGGTTGATGAAGCCCAAAGCAAAGCCGGCAGCCAGACGATAGCCTTCGTCGCGAAGTGGGTTCTCCTCCTCTCCATCCTCGAGATACTCGATTTCCGACATCATGATCTCGCTCATGCGGCGGTGTTGGCTGTTGCAGTAAAGAAGCCCAATGCCCATGATGCCAGTGGTTTGGGTGTGTTGCGACAAGTTGAGCTCGGCAGCCCCTCTCGGCAGCATACGAGTGACGTGCACCGACAGAAGGCGCGTGATCAGCGAGTCCATGGTCCCCAGATACGAGGCTGCCAGGCCGAGAAGTAGGCCAATGGATGTCATAGTATGCTTGGGTGTGAGGTACTTGAACGCAACCCACTTGGCGACCGACTTGAGATGACCGTTCAGGCCGAGGGCGAGCAGAAATCCGGCATGTCGATTGTTCAAATCTGACCCCGGCTTGTTGTACAGAATCCACGATGTGTCAATGCCTTTTGCATGAGGTGAGATGGCAAGTCCACCCGAGACGCCCTGGTGGAAGAAGGCCCAGTTAATCTTTTCCTCAGTAAACATGGCCTTGTCCACGCCGACCGAGTTGTTAATCGGCTGGACGACACATGTGAGCTGAAATCCGTTGATCTGATATTTTTGAGTAAGAAGTGGAAAGCGAAGAGCAAAGTACAAGAGGCCCCTGCCTGCTGGTATGGCAAGGGTACTCGTCGCCACAGTAGCGACAAGCTGCTTTTGTTGCTCGAGATACTCTGGCTCCGTTGTGCCCGGCTTGGGGTTGAGGCGGACGACGCGGTGCTTGGATGTTGATAAGAGATTCTGAGCCTCATTGAGCCGTCTGTCTTCTCTAAACAAGGAGCGCACCACGGCCTGGCGTTCTGTGGCCTCTGTCTCCTCTGCGCGGTCGTGGAAGTCGTCAAGGTGCTGACACAGCATTCGCACATCCCATTTCGCAGCGTGTGATGGGGCCTGGGGCATGTTAGTAGATAATAGCACAACTATGAACCGAACACTCACATTGATCTCAGCCCCAAGTGGTCGCCATGTCTTTGATGGCCGCAAGACAGTGCTGATGTCAGTCCGACTCACTAGAGAGAGTAGCTCCTTGGACCAAGAAGGCGGTGGGTTTGGTTGACACATGAATATAATGTCCTGTAAAGGCGTGAGAACTGCCTCCGGTAATGTTTCGAGAATTTGTGATGTGAAACGAGCCTCATACATGGCCACAACCACTTCGTACCGGTTCGTTGTGGTGCCAAGAAGACCAAAGAACTTGGCAAACATGAGCGATCGAGGTGTTAAGGATGACCAGAGCTGCGATCTTGACTTTCCAGAAACTGCATCTGGACAGCCAGTGGAGTAGACGAGAGGCAATGTCGGGAACTCGCCCCCCTTACCGTATGCAAGATGGTCCTGAATCCAGCTCAGCACGCAAAAGCAGGTCGGCGGTTCAACTACCTCGGCCGCGAGAGTAGGAACCAGATCATGTACTGATTCCAGATCCACGTCTATGCCCAGCGCATAAATGGCTTCGTGCCTCTGCCAGCCGAGCCACCTAGAGACCTGGCAGAGCGCTGTCCTCAAATCGACCTGGCCGTGTATCGTATCCTCGGGAGACAGAATGTTCAGTTTCTGTTCCTCGAGGAAAAGATGGAGCGCCATCATCATACTCCATGCTGCATTACTGCGTCCAGGGCTACCTCTGCCGAGAGCCGTGGGAAGGTATCCATCAAAGCCAAAAGCCAGCACGCCGCCAGAAGACGCCATCCATTTCTGCGCTAGTTCGATGTGAATAGCAAGGAAGCTCGGTGGACGAGGGCCTGATTCGGCAGTCACGGGGGCCGGTTCAAAGACTGGAGTATCAAGAAGCCACCGCCATGCTTTGGTGCGAGTCCAAGGCGGGCACGCTGATGAGCTGGGGTTTTCGTATACGCGCATCGTGTCCCAGCTCTTCGGGCATGGGGGTTGTGCTGCGCCCTCCCCATAGCTCCTGAGGGAAGTCTCACTGTTGTGCCGCAAGGCGAGGAAGCTGGAAAAGAGCAGTATAACGAGTGCTGTCCATTCCTTGTCCACTATGGGGCGGCTTAGACCCCGAACACGCCCGCTCTGAAGCCACTGCATGATGTGCCACCACCCTGCCAGTAGCTTGTCGGCATAAGAAGTAGGTAGGACACTCCGGCAAGTATCCAGGACGCGACGTATTTGAGGCGATGAAGGCTGCAACTGGATTCTCACTCGATGAAACCTGCCGTCCTTGTCTCGAAGGTCAACCACACCACGCGAGTTTGAGTGACAGACGGAATCTATCTGAGTGCAGGCCATGCCAATGCCCATCGACCGCCTGCCTCGAACCTCTTTGTTGACCTTGTGGCTGCCTGCGTAATCGAGGCTGTGCAGGTTGTCAGAAAATAACAATGGTAATGTTACAGTCGTTACTTTGCCCCAAGGGGACTGCAGGCTGAGCTCTCTTCCGCCGGAGGTGTCTTCAGACAAGATCATGATGGTCTCATGCCCGTCGGATAGTTTGCATGAATCGACCACGCTTTGAACCCTCCGGGGCTCACCGGGAACAATAGTGAGGCTGCTTGGGTTTGAGAAACTTTTCATGGCACTTTTTGCTGTGATCTTCTCGTCACGAATATCGACATGGAGGGTCAGAAGCTGGAGTCTCCTGTCGACAGGGTCCTGGATACCAACAAGAAGCATGGCGCGCCCTTGCTCATCCGTGGCAGTAGGAGGGCTAGCAAGTATAAAGACCTTGGAGTGTGTCCTGGCAGGCTTGTCCGATAGAGAGTATCGCAGGTTGGCGTTGTCCATGCTGAAGCTGTGGATCTTGGTAAGCATCATCTCCCGTGTCAGTCCATCAAAGTTGTGATCCTCCAGACCCATACTATGAAACCCCTCAAAATCACCACCAGCACGAAGCTCGTCCAGCAGGTTATCCACCGGCGCTTCATGGAGGCTGTTCAAGTCTCGATTGCCGCTGAAGCTGCCACTGAATATTGAACCGGCATATCCACTACTCATGCGAGCACGCTGGCTCCCCTGGGAGTCTAGCCTCCTGCTTGACTGTTCGGTGAAGGTTGCTCGATCTTGAGATGCAGACAGATCAGCACGAGCCAACAGAGAGCTTACTCGGCGTGACTGCCTCCGAGTAGCATCGTTGCGCTTGTCCGGATCCAAAGAGTTGAGAGCATTGTCCAAGGCCTTTTCGTTTTCCTCGATCCTAACGCTCTTCCTGGTTCTTTTGCCTGGAAGTGGTGCACCAAAGCTCTCTCTCATGGACGGGTGAATCGGGGTGGCAGCTCCGCTTGGCAGGCCTGGAGCCATAGAACTCCGTCGCCGCGAAGATGATGTTCTCCTCTTTTTCTTTTTGCTCAGAAATGGGTCCTCATTCTCTAGATAGGTCAGTCGCCAAACTGTGTACATGCCGGCTTCGCGGTTAACGGTAACGGCAATATGCAAGCCCCCAGCTTCCGATGCCGGTAGATTCGGGAGCTTGACAGACTCTATGTGAAGCATTTCTTCGGCAGGACTGAGAAACAGGGGCCCGGTCGAACCCCTCCGACCCCTTGGAGGCTTCGTCCGATCTTGCTGTGTCACCACCAGTCCGATTTCCAACAACGGATCCGTCAGGCAAACAAGCCGAGGCCAATGACTTTCACTTGTTTCCATAGGAGGTTGCCACATATTTTCCAGTGTCGAGCTGAGTCGGAGGGGCAGTACTTTCGGGTTGCCCAACCCCTCGGTCGAGAACTCGGGCCCTCGTTGGGTATTAGACGACGATGGCGGCGGCTGGAACGACACGAAGGAGTTGGGCGGTACTTTCGGGAGACGCAACGAAACCGGAGCTGTATTGTTCGCCCGTGGCTTGCGTTGAATGATGACACCACATGGTGCTGCGCAGGCAGACTCGACTTCGAAGGGCATGTGGACGACATGGCTGGCACCGGAGAGGAAGTAGATGTGCGCCTGGGTCTTGAGGAAGACGACGAGAGCTTTCGAGAGGTTGGGCTTTTCGAGGGCCTTCTTCTTTTGCTTGTCGTTATCTCTAGACTGGTGTTCGGCCGAGGCAGGGAAGTTGGCTAGGAGGGCTTGGGCGATAGGTTCGTTTTCGAGGTCGAATTTGAAGCTCTTTCGAAAGACCCCGCCGCGGGACCAGAGCACACAGTTCTTCGTCGTGAGCAATTCATCCTCATATTCGTTGTCACCCTCCTTGCTAAGGCTGATGTCCCACGTGTAGGTAGATGGAGGCGGGTCGGGGTCGAGTATCCCTTCTTGAATGGCGTGTCGCAAGCCGGTGGGCTGATGCACCCCGAGTGAAGCAATCGAGGCCATAGTTTTGTTGTGTTTGGTGCTGTCCTGTTTCCCTCCTCAAATTATACAAAAGGTCGAGTGCCGGGTAATGGTTGAAGGTAATTGCTGGCGATCCATTTCCTTCAGTCCAGTCGCTGGAAAGAACAGCCTGGAAATGATCTTCTTTCTTCGTCTTGTCTTCAGAGGGCCGCAATGCCCATCGCAGGGCAGTCAGTAGGTCAAGAGCACTGTATCCCAGAAAGCGCGTCCGAGAGCCTGGAACCCGCGTCTGGGGGTCGCAAGGCTGCCCAATGAATATCCCCACTTTGAGGGGCAGCTGTCTATTGGTCAAAGCTTACCCCAACCACTGCAGGGACCGCCGTTTAAGCTCTGACGTAGCTTTTGGCCGCGCCTAAAGCTTCCCGAAGCAACTCAACAAACACTCGGCTCCCCACAGGCAACCTGAACCCCATAGCCATACGACCCTCGCTCTGCGCCCTGCTCCAAACCCGCCATGAAGTTGCTGCCGTCGCCTGAATCAACATGACAGGAAGCTCGCCACAGCCCGGCGACAACGATCCCCACCATGACAAGAGCCCGACCGAGTCCAGCAGCGCTGGTGTAGCGCTCAAGCACCCACCAGCCAGCGACGCAACAACAACAGGCCCAATGGAGGAGTTCAGGGTTAACACAGGCGCTGGCGCAACCTCTGACGATGAAACCGATGACACATTAGAGCAGTCTAGTGATGAGGATGGTGAAAGGGAGGAAGAGGGCGAGGAAGAGGCAGAAGAGGGCGAGGAAGAAAGCGAGGATGAAGATGAGGAGCCAAAGCTCAAGTACGCGCGATTGACCCAACACCTCGGGCCCCTTTACCGCAATGGAGATGCGACAAGCACCTTTCTAGTTGCTGGAGACAAACAGATCATAGGAACACATAATGGAAACATCGTCGGTATCCCTAACCTGCATTGGCACGAAATGGTGTGACTGACCGCCTAAACCAGCATGTTATTCAACTCCCTGTTTTCCAACCATTACGAGTCTATCATGCCCACTCAGCCTCTGTTACAGCCGTTTCCATCTCCCCATACCCTCCACCACTGTCGACGCTCAGACCCGATGCCACCCCGAAAGCTACTCCAAGTAGCCCTCGAAGACCGGGTTCATCTATCGGCGAAGGCCATGTTGTCCCAACACCACCACCGAGAAGGGCCACCCAACTCCAAAACACAGTGCCGAATACCCCGTCCAACAATATTTACATTGCTACCTCGTCGATGGATGGAAATGTCTGTGTACAGTCTCTGGTCGATGTCAAGGATGTGTCGCTGCGCAACTTTGCTCGCCCTATCCAAGCCGTCGCTCTGTCTCCAGACTACAAGCACGACAAGACATATCTTTCTGGCGGGTTGTCGGGTCAGCTAATTCTGACGACGGGTGCGCCGCTCGGTCGAAGTACTGCCACAACAACGGGGGCAGCTGCGCAGGCGGCAGGTTGGCTTGGTGGCATGGTCGGCGCCAGCACAGGAAAAGATACCGTTTTGCACTCTGGCGAGGGAACTATCAACACCATCAAGTGGTCTTTGTCGGGAAAATACGTCGTCTGGCTGAACGAACATGGCATCAAGATCATGCGTACAAAGCTTCATCTGGAGAGCGCCGATGCAGACGATGCCTGGAAGCGCATCGGCCACATTGATCGGCCTCAGACGGCAGAGTGGGAGACTATGGCCAGCGTGTGGAAGGGAAGGGCTGAGTGGATCGACGAGCAAGCCGTCGAGCCTGATGAGCCTGAGAAGGAATCTCATGAAGTCCTCCTTTCGCCAGCTGCGGAAAGACTGAAACAACAGCAGGTCAAGCACAGCAAGACGATAGAGCGTCTCTTGGTTGGTTGGGGTGGGACCATCTGGATCATACATGTTCACCCCGGGGGCGTCGGCGTTGGAAAGCATGCCGGGGAGAAGTCCGCTGGCCGGGCAGAGATTGTAAAGTTGTAAGTTATCCTCCGCCCGTTGCCCTTTTCTCAATTGTGTTTGCTGACCCCTCAGACTTCGTATGGATTGCATTATTTCTGGCATTTCGTTATATACCCAAAACTTGATATTAGTTCTCGCCTATTGTTTGCCGGACGACGACGACGCCAACGACCAAGACGACGGTACCGCGGCTCGCGGCCACAAGCACACATTATCCAGTGGTAGCGAGCCATCAGGCGGAATTCGTCGCAAGCAAAACAACCAGCCTCCCGAACTGCGGCTGATCGATCTCACTTCTCAGGCAGAGGTCGACAAAGATGGCCTGACGCTCAGCCGGTTCGAAAGGCTTTCGTCCAATGACTACCACCTTGGTGTCTTGCCAGCTCAAACAGTGGCTGCTGCTGCCTCTAGTAGGGGCGCCCTGGAGACGTTGGCTGGGCTGGGCACTGAGATGCTCAACGCGGCTCTCAACCCTATCTCTCTCTTCAGCTCAGGTGCCAGTATCAGAAGCAAGGACAGCAACGAGGGCACATCGCCTGTCAAGATTGCTGCCGCGTCGGCTCTCTTGCGATCAAAGGGTGGATCTGTGCATCCAAATCTCACCAAACCCGGAGTCAAGATCTTTATACATAGTCCGTATGACTGCATCCTCGCGACAAGGAGAGATTTGGGGGATCATCTGTCGTGGTTGTTGGAGCGACAGCAGTACCAGCAAGCATGGGAGCTTGTCAACGAGCACCCCGAGATCATGTCGACGGCTGTCGACACGAGCCCATTATCGCCGGACCATACTCAGACAACTGACGACTTTTACGATGAGACCGCTTCCCTTGCCGAGGGAATGCAATCGATGTACTCGGCGGCAGAAAAGGAAAAGAGGCGGATCGGCGAACTGTGGCTGCAAGAGCTGGTTGAGGCTGGCGACTGGGTACGAGCTGGACAGACCTGTGGAAAGGTTTTGGGAACTCCGGACCGCTGGGAGAAGTGGGTGTGGACATTTGCTGGGGCGAACAAGTTTGACGAGATTGTCAATCACATCCCTACCGAGCGGACACGGCCCCCAATCCCGGGAACCATCTACGAGGTTGTGCTTGGGCATTACCTCGAGACGAGCAAACCCCAGTTCCGCGAGCTTTTGGAGAGATGGTCTCCTGACTTGTTCGAGATTACCACCATCACGACAGCCTTGGAGAACCAGCTCAACTACCGAGAAGTGAGGGAAGACAGCGTGGAGGATGGCGAGGTTGGGCGCGACTGGCGCATCGTGATGGAGAGTCTTGCCAAGCTTCATGAAGCCAACGGCAGGAATAGGGAGGCTCTCAAATGCTACATCAAGCTGCAGGATGCGGACAACGCGATGAGGTTGATCAAGGATGGGCATTTGGCTGATGCCGTGGCGGATGACATCCCTAGCTTTCTCACTCTTCGTGTTCCTCAAGGTCAGGCCAAGATGTCGAATGATGAGCTGGAACAGGCGACTCATGAGGCGATTACCCTGCTGGTGGACGAGGCACAGCATGGACTGGTCAAGCCGGATGTTGTGGTGGAGCAGCTCCAGGAGAAGAAATTGGATCTGTACACGTTCTTTTATCTTCGGGGTTTATGGCGGGGGCAGGGGATTCACGAACATAGCGGGGAGTCGAGGGCGAGGCTTGTGACCGACAGTCAGTCTCTGGTGGACAATTTTGCTGATTTGGCGGTGCATTTGTTTGCAAAGTATGACCAGGGACTGTTGATGAGCTTTCTCAAGACTTCGACTGCGTATGCGTTTGAGGAGGTGAGGTTACTCCATCTGTCCCCTTTTGCGTGTGTGTGTGTGTGTGTGTGTGTGTGTGTGAGGAGCATGCTAACCGTCTTTTTTTTAGGCCGTCAAAGAATGCGATCGATACGATTACATCCCCGAGCTAGTCTACCTGTACTCCAAGACTGGGCAGATGAAGCGCGCCCTGACGCTCATTATTGAACGGCTGGGCGATGTCAGCCGCGCGATTGCTTTTGCCAAGGAACAAGACGATCCTGATCTTTGGGAGGATCTGCTCGAGTATAGTATGGACAAGCCCCGGTTCATTAGGGGGTTGCTTGAGGAGGTCGGGACGGCGATCAATCCCATCACTCTTGTCAGACGGATTCCAGAGGGGCTGGAGATTGATGGTTTGAGGGAGGGGCTGAAGCATATCATGAAGGAGCATGATATCCAACACAGTATCAGCTCGGGCGTGGCAAAGGTGTTGAGGAGTGAGGTGGCGGCGGCGCAGAATTTGCTGAGGAGTGGGCAGAGGAAGGGGGTGAAGTTTGAGGTTGTGGTTAAGGGGGGCGATCATGCTGATGTCAGGGCGAAGGATGTGCCTACTGTTGTTGGGGAGAAGCATGAGGTTGTTGATGATGGGGTTGATAATGAGGAGGTGCCTAAGCCGCCGGGGAAGAAGTGGGCGTCGGGGCATTGTGCGGGGTGTTGTGAGGCGTTTACGGAGTGGGAGATGGAGACGTTGGTTGGGTTTGCCTGTGGACATGTGTATCATTTGTCGCATTTGCTGGAGAAGATGCACCCGGGGGAGAGGGTGGATCAGAGCTTGGTGAGTGCGGTTGGGGAGAGTGTGTCGCATCGGATAGGGGCCAAGGTGACGCATGCGATGTTGTTGAGGGACAAGATTGCGGGCGGGTGTCCTGTTTGCAAGGAGGCGGAGGAGACGTGATTTCAAAGATGAAGTACATATATTTTGGCCTGGCTACATAACAATGAGTTGGTTTCATGGACAGCTTTCCGTGTGCAAGGTGTTTTGGCTCATCTAATCAATTACTTTTTTTGTCAATTCATATCTCATTATCCAGAAATTTAACCCTGAACCCTCTTCTCAACAAAAGTCACCTCCCCAAAGTGCTTCTTCACCTCGGGCACCTCCAACAAACCCTTGAGGTACCCCTCCACAGAAGGCGCCTGCTTTCTCATCTCCCCGTCAAACAAGAACTTGCTCGCGAGAGTCATGGGCCCCAAAACAGCCAAATCAGCCAAAGTCAACTGGTCACCAACAAGGAACTTTCGCCCATCCTTGACCGCCTCCTCAAGCCTCTTGACGGCTCTCTCAAGGTTGCCAGCGCACTGGTTATACCTTGCCTCGTCATAAGGGATCATTTTGGCCAAGACCATCAAGAGAGGGGGGATGGTAGCGCCGGAGAGCTCAGACTCGCCAAAGAGAGCCCATTGCTCGATCAAGGCGGAGGTCTTGGGGTCAGCACCGAGGAGCTGGGAAGAGGCGGGGCCGGAGGAGGCGATGTAGCGCGCGATGGCGAGACCTTCGGTTAGGTGGAAGGTGTCGTCTGCGGAGGAGAAGGCGGGGACTTTGCCGAGGGGGAATTTGGAGAGGAAGGAGGGGTCTTTGTTTGTGACGCCCATTTGGAAAGAAGGGAACTCCAACTCGACATTGTTGAGGTCGGCGGCGACTTGGGCCTGGGAGGGGGTTTAGTATCATGAGGGGAGGGGGCAACATGGGGGAAAGGGGGACGTACGATGTGGACGCGGTAGTTGCCGGGGTAGGAGTAGATCTTGCCGATGGGTGCCATGGCTGCGGTTGTGTGTGAGATGTCAAAGAGTATGAAGAGAGAGCAGAGATGATGTTGCGAGATGTTGAATGAATTGCGTGACTTGGTTCCAAGGACTATAAACATGAGACTGAAAAGGGAATGAGATGGGCCATATATATATATAGCACTGAGCCTGGACGCCACTTGGCAACGGCTGTATACAGCGGTAGCTCAATCGAAGTCAAATGAACCCACGGCTCAAGTGCTCAACCCCTCCATCAAGCTACCACGACTGTCGTAATCTGTGACACCAAGCCATCCTATCTTTCTCCAATCTCCACTCTTGTTAGTGTACAGCTTGCAAAAAGGACGGATGGGACGACGGCTAACAGCACATCAGAGCCATTTGTCCCACAAGCTGTTTCACCGTTGTCCCCTTCGCTTTCCGCGCTGTTCGAGAAGATTCGCCATGGTTGCGGTCCAAGTGGGATATTCTGACAAATCCATGGCTTGGAGGAGCTAAGTGGAGCTTATAGATGCCCCAAAAACTGTCTGCTTGTGCAACGGGGGAAAATAAACAATGATCCGTACACTTGCATGCGATGGCTTGTTTACCTTTTTCACTTCACTGCCGCTTCGCCGAGCTCTATCGGAACAAGGTAGTGAGAGTAAAAAAAAACTTAAAAAATGACACAAAGATTCAAGGTGAAAAAGAAATGCAAAAGAAGCTGTGGACGAGCTGGGAATCGAACCCAGGACCTTTCGCATACAGGTGGGTATGCTAAGCGAACGCTCTACCAACTGAGCCACACGCCCTGATTGGATGGCCTTGCACTTTGGACATTCGCCCTAACACAATTCAAAGTACCAAAGACTCCCTTGGGTGTTTAACCTCCTGAAGTATGAAATTATGAATAATGAGGCTAAAGTACACAAACATGGCACCTATTGATAGAGTCGTCAGAAGGCGCTTGTACCGTTCTACACCTTCAGGAATATTCCAACTGAAAGCACACAAGTGGCTGAAGGCTAGGGGCGCTCAGTGGCCCGTAGCTATGCTCTTCGCTCTTTAACCATCTTTTCGAAGAAATATCTCAATCCAACTGCGGTAGAATCACATGGCCACAGAGATCCAGCGGTTTCAAGAAGCTTCCGGCCGACGAGCGCCAGCGAATCTGCACTCAAGATCTAAATACGAGTTAAAACCAAATCGAAATTCAAAGTTTCCCTACCTACCTGTGACTATAACAAAGCCCATTTACGGACTGCCGCTTGCGCTCGCATTGACATTTCTAGATGGACTGAGGATTATCAGCCTGCTACACGATAACACGGAGCAGGAGGGCGAACTTGGATGTGTGAGCGGTGGGTGGAAGAGTTCTCGGTCTGTCCTGTGCGCAAGCTGTTCTGCCTATGCGTTTAATGATGGGTTACGCTATGAAACGAGGTTATTTGGTGGCTGAAAAGATCGCCTGGCAGCAGGTCTGCAGCTGGTTGAGCTCGTGGAGCTCTTGCTCATACTGCTCCCAATATTTTGTAACCTGCGCCTTTGCCATCGGTTAGCACCATTCAAAGTACCCTAGGTATCCACCCGAACCAAGCAATCTTGCATACCTATTCGAATGTCACCAACATCCAATCGAACTAAGAGACTTTTGTCCTGGGCAAAAAGGTGAGAGTCTAAAAACATCCCGAGGCCGTGAACAGTTGGCGCCCACTTTCGGAGTGCTCGGAACCTATCGGATCTTCAAGAGCAAGATGGTGGAGGGTGAAACATAAAAACGAGATGCATGATGGCCGTCTCCGATGTCAGGTCCGGTACTACTTAAAACCTGGCCGATTCCAAGGCCACATCACTTGCCTCCGATGAGACAATCATCAACCATTGGAGCAGTTGCTTAGGTATATGGTCAAAAACACAAGAAATCTATAAACTGGCCTCATTTCAGAGTCAAAATACCTCACCAGAAATGTCCAAAGACAACAGTCTCCTTTCGAAGACCTCGGAGAATCACCACCGCTAGAACCTATTACTCTAGAATCATGTCTCCCACGAAGCTAGATCCGGTATATGTCGTGATGACAATTCTGTCATCATTCTCAGCTTCCGAGCTTATCCTTACTTCTCCATGTCACACCACAATTGCACCAGAGACACTCCCAGCAACTGGAATTCCTACCATCGAACTGGCAATAATCATGCCAACACCACCGAGTGCCTCCTCACACATTCAGACTTCAAACTTGACAATCCAAATGAACTGGCTCGGGGGTGTAGGGTGGACAAATATGGACGACAAGCTGGACACTTTCACGATGGGGGTAAGAGTCACCACCCCAACATCAACAGTTTCGGCAATTGGGCCATTGCCAACGCCCATAGTAATTGCTACGGCTTCGGCTTTATGAGACTTCCATGGTCAGAGGGCGGTGCTTTGGTCTTTGCTACCTTACCGAGGTGGGTGGGTACCTAGCTAGCTGAGGTTAATTACAACGCACCTGGTATCTTTGTCTCCCTTAATCACCTGACACTCTATGTAGGGCTAGTCTATACCGGAAAATGACTTCGCAGAAACAATGAGCACACAAATCAGAGAGCTGGGGGTAGGGGGAGGTGTCAGAGGCATAGGTTGTCATGTGTTACAGGGTATAAACTAAGCCGCTACTCCATCGTGTCAATATCCATCCCATTTACGTGTACCAAGTAGGCTCAGGGTGCTCCCCGAGCAAGACATATCTTCCCAGCTCTCGGTTCTTGTAAGCCACCGGATCGTGCAGAGTGTGGGTTCTGATATCTCTCCAGAATCTGTCCAGCCCAACCTTGCTGGCAGTTGCCCTGGAGCCAGTCACTTCAAACACTCCCGCTGTCACCCGAAGACCAACATCGGTGGTGACAACCTTGACGGAGGCAACCAACTCGGCCCATTCACCACGCTCCTCGATGGGGAAGGCGGCTCGGTTGTTCTGGTAGGTGCCATAGATGCGGTCAGCTTCGGCCCCAGCCTGGTTGGCAAGGGCCTCGGCAGCACGGAGGTGGGCGAAGAAGTTGCCGTAGGTGGAGAGGATGTAGAACTCATCGGTGGCCTTCTCCTTGTTCTGTTTTGGCAGGTTAGGCGTTGTTTTCTATCTATTGTGGGAAAGAATGGTACTCACGTCGCCGCCGTATGGCCACGCTCTTGTGCTGGTTGTGGTGTACTTCTTGGCAAAGTCCAAGGCGCCGAGGGCGATGCCAAGGTAGAAATTGCTGAACACGAGTTGAATACTGCATTGTGTTAGTATCAGAACAAGACAAATGGTTGTAAAGGTAAACCTACGTAGGAAGCAAGAGAGCGGGAAAAGGAATGCCCAGCACAGCCGGGTCAGGCTTCTTGGTCGCCACATCCCAACCAAGAGCATCAGTCCATGGGGCGGAGATGCCTTCAATCTTGGCGCTACCAGACTCCGTCAACCTCAAACCAACATTGTCCCAGTTGTAGTGGAACTGAATGCCAGCTTGGGCAGTAGGAACGATGGCAAAAATATGCTCTTCAGGTCTGTCATGAATGGCACCCTCGAGGACGATCAGATCAGAGACAGCGGCGCCAGTGGTGAAGTTCTTGAAGCCGTTGTAGGTGATGTTGGAGTCATCGTATGTGATCTTGAGGTCATTGTCTCTTGGGTTGACAGCGCCGCCGACGTAGTAGTTGTTTTCAATGATGAGCTTCTGGAACCGTTCGGCCTGCTCATCATTGCCGACCACGTGGGCTGTTCGTGACCACAAGAGGTGGTATCCAAGCAACATGCCAATGGAGCTACATCATGTGTTAGGCTTCAAACGCTTGCCATGGGGAAGTGAAGAGGAAACATACCCGTCGCCTTTGGCAACTTCTCTGATGACCTTATAGCCGACACTCCATGGTTGCTCACCACCACCGTACTTCTTTGGGCCGAGAACCTTCAAAAGCCCAGAGTGCTTGAGAAGAGCAACCTCGGCTTTTGGGGATTTGTTGGCTTTCTCACGAGCAGCAGCATCAACCGACAAAACAGCCGCAACTTCACGAGCACGCTCAAGCCAGCCTTGAGCATCAGTGGGATAGGTCGCCCATTTCGACTCGTACTCGGCGTAGACTGCTGGGTCAGTGGCGGAAGGAGCCTGGTTGATGACAGGAACCACTGGAGTGGCCATTGTGGTGTGCTTTTTTGTGAGGGACACGGTGTAGGGGTATCAAAAGGCTTGAAAATAGTGGTGGGAATGGCAGAAAGAGCCTGTTGACGGTAGACTGAAGAGTTACATGTTGAGAATGTGAGTAGTATGCCCTCTTCTTATACTAAGGCTCATAACCTTCCACATCAACGCCATCATGCCCTTCGGGTATCCCTCTGCTGCTGCCATGGCGACCACATCGATTGTGCTTCCCATCTCGTCACGAAAACTCCCGATTGGTATTGCGAATAAAGCCTCCAGAATTCCGTGAGTCGCTTTTCTGGTAAGGATACGCTTGTAAGCAGCAGGTGATACTCTTCCCGCCCCGAAATCAAACAAAAGACGGCTCTACCCGGCGCTATTGGGATTGAAGGCCTGCGTGTTTCAGAGCACACCACAAGCCATGGGCAGCAAATGGCGACTAAGAAGAGCAACCAAGACCCTTAATCCCAGCAGGCTGCGTAGTATCATGCTCATTGAGATCTTGGTGTCTTAGATGGATTAGATTGATTCGATGGGTTAACGATCTGACATGTTTGGCGTGCTTCAACCTCCTGCTGCCGCCGATCTAGGACTCCAGCCAGTCGTCAACGCCCTTCAAGATGACGCCACAGGTCCCAAAAATGATAACAGAGCTACCCGCAGCTGAGGGATGCAGGAAGGAGCCGCTTTGGAAGCTACCACTGCGATGGAGCTTTGAGCTTTCTCTCGACTTACACCTGCTGTCCAATTATCTTCGCTGGCTCCACCTCCGTCCTGGCCGTGAACCCCCCCGTGCGCACCACCCCCCTCTGCTCAAGCACAAGCAGCAAACGAGCACACTCCGAATTTCCGAACGTCCGCGACGCTTTCAAACAGTTCTTTTTCTTCATTACAGTGATGGTCATTGGAAGACTGAAGCTAAGATCCAGTCTGCCAGCTCCGCCTTGCTAGTCGATTGCGTGCTGGGGGTCCGCATTCCCCACGCCAAGACCAGGCCGATCAACCGAGATCCTCCCCAACTCTATGCTCTTGGCGCATGGCATAATTGCCTTGCGCGATGACGGGATGCGCTCACATCTCAGTCAAGAGAACTGCCCAACTTTTTGCGGGGGCCCCAAGTGTATAAGAGCGAGCAGGATGTTTAGAGGATTGCCCAAACCAGTTGCTGAATTGCGTGATCGACCCGGTCTTGTTTCTTGAACGCGAGATAGTCGAGACGTCAAGAGATCTTATCTTGCAGCTTGCTTGGGCCAACGCTACTCATCTTGGACGTCTTTGTTTTCAACACCCCTGAGTTAGCCCCTTTCCGTCTCCCTACCAACACACACACAACAACAGCAACCACCACCACCACAAAGCAACAATGGCTCAACCACACAAACTCAACACCGACCCCGACCGTCTTCTCTTCGCCTACTGGGTCCCCAACGTCTCGGGCGGCCTCGTCGTCTCCAAAATCCCCCAAAACACCTCTTCCTCCCTCAAATCCAACCTGACCTACGCCCGCACCGCCGAACAGCACGGCTTCGAGTACGCCCTCACCCAAATCCGCTTCACGGCCCTCTACGGCGCCTCGGAACAGCACGAGTCCGTCTCCTTCTCCCAGGCCCTCCTCCACGGCACCGAAAAGCTCAAAGTCATCGCCGCCATCCTCCCCGGCCCATGGACACCAGCCGTCGTTGCCAAGCAGCTCGCCAGCATCGACAATTACACCGACGGCAGAATCGCCGTCAACATCGTCTCGGGCTGGTTTAAGGGCGAGTTCCACGCCATTGGGGAGTGGTGGCTGGATCACGCCGAGAGATACAGACGCTCGAATGAGTTCATGAGGTGTCTGCGTGGTATCTGGACCGCGCCCGAGGATGAGGGTTTCACCTTTTCGGGAGACTTTTACCGGTTCAAGAATTACAAGCTGGCGCCTAAGCCGGTGCAGAAGCCGCACCCGCCTATCTTTCAGGGGGGTAATAGTGAGGATGCAAGGGTGAATGGGGCTGAGGTGGCGGATTGGTATTTTATGAATGGGAATGATCTCGAGGGGTTCAGGGCGCAGATTCAGGATGTCAAGGCGAGGGCTGCCAAGGTTGGCAGGGAGGAGCACGTCAAGTTTGCGGTGAATGGGTTTGTGATTGTAAGGGATACCGAGGAGGAGGCGATTAGAGTGCTGCAGGAGATTCAGGGCAAGGCCGACCAGGGTGCGATTGAGGCGTTTGCGCAGGAAGTGAAGAATGCTGGCCAGAGCACCAAGGAGAAGCAGGGCATGTGGGCGACGAGCACGTTTAATGATCTGGTGCAGTATAATGATGGGTTCAAGACCAAGTTGGTCGGTACCAAGGAGCAGGTGGCCGAGAGAATTGTGTTGCTCAAGGCTTTGGGTGTCAACTTGCTCTTGACTGCCTTCCTTCATTACGATCAGGAGGTTGAGCAGTTTGGCAAGGAGGTGCTTCCGCTGGTACGGAAGCTCGAGGCCGAGGGACGTGGCAAGGACGTCGCGTATGAGATTGAGAGGACTGGTGCCGTTTATCAGAAGCACTAAGCCTGGACCTGTACGATTGAATTATGATAATGAAGCAAATAAAACAATACCCATGCTCATCTAGAGATCATCCTCCTTCCCGACAATAACGTTCACCAATTGGCTATTGTTTGATGTGACATGCTCGCCGGCGGTGGCTCGTACTTGAGCTTTCCACTCTGGTGTAGGGAGGTACATTGGTGAGCACCAGAGCTGATATCGTGTGTCCTGCACCGGATGCCAGTCCCACCAAGCGTCGTCATGTCCAGTCTTTATTCGAATGTCGTAAGAGTAGGCACCGTAGACGAGGTCCCATGTGACTGTGAGCCTGACCCAGCCCTCGCGATTTGGCGATGACGCCGCTGCTGCAAGGTTGACTGGCGTAGACAACACACGACGCGGCACCGGTTGAGGGATCTCGAGCTCTTTTGTTGACCTGTCTGTCAAGGCAAATTCGGGAGAGAGCAGCGTGCGCGAGAAGGCTTGGGCAATCTCAAATTCGCCAAGAGCGCCAGGGTGAAGCCCATCGTAGGATCCTTCTCTGCAGAGGTAGTTCTCGCAAAGATGAACCAAAACAACGGGTGACGACGGTTGATTCCAGCTTGGGATTGCTTGAGCGAGCAGTTCGTTATATGTCTCGACTCTCACGGGTAGATCACCCAGCCCCGGAACAATAGTACGCTGCGGTACGTTCGCGATGGCAAATTTGAGGGCCTGGTTGTGAGTGCGCGCTTCTGTTATCAAGGCCTCCATGCTCTTGAGGGTTCCCCCTGGATCGCTTATGCCCCACCCAATGTCGTTAAATCCCAACTCTACAAGACACAGGTCGGGCTTGTGTGTGGCGACCTGTTCGCCAATTCCGTCCTTGACGACGCATGCTGCTTTTCCCCACCAAGAATAATGATAGCAATCCTGGAGGAAATCTCGGTCCACATCTGGAGCGTATCCCCCATCGCGAGTTCGATCGTCCTCTGGAGGAGGTGGGATGGTGCCCTTGTGCGGCCCCACAAACACAACGGGAGTGTTGTTTTGTCGAAACCATTCCCATATTCGATACCGCCAAGTCCAGTCGCCTTCACGGCCGTGGGAAATCGAGTCTCCCACGATCATGATCCTTGTGGCCGGTCGTGTCGGTACTCCGCCCATCCTGCTGTGTAGGTAAGGCTTGTCTTGTGGTCGCGTTCATGATGAGCAAGGCGCGCGTTGTGAGGGGTCAATGGCACCGGACCCGCAAATAGCCGAGGCTGGACCAGGGAGGGTTAGGGGTCTGCCAGAGTGTTACCCCTGAGCCCCTGAATTGAGATGACCATGACACACACACGAGGCAATTGCATCTTTCCAATTTGTTAAAGAGAGCATCAAGTTTGTTATTTATCTAAAAAATAAAAATAAAATAAAAGAGCGTATGAAGTTAGATATCAGTAAAGACTGTCCAAATATCACCAACCTTCATTCCCATAAATATCGCCTCATTTCCTTCACCGCATAAGAAACCATTATGAAAAGTCACTTCCATCATCACTTGGCCCATTCACCATGACCGTCGTAAAGAAAGGTTCCCCGCCCTGATTATTCCCACTATATCCAAGGGCGCCCCTCATGCAGCGAGACCAACGCAAACATGGTAGCCGCGGTAGAGGTTGTCGCACTCAAAGTCAATCGTGACCTTTTTGTTCAACGCGTAAAACTCGTCCAAGGTAATCCCTGCTCCCTGCGCAATATCGTGGCATGTATCTCCAGCGACCACCTTGTGGAATTCAGCGCAGTTCTCAACGGTGCCTGGCTGTGGCTTGATCCCTGTAGAGGGAGAAGACGAAGGAGTCGAGAGAGATGTTGTGGTGACGGTGATGAATCCGGTAGGTGTGGGGGGGGGAATCTGGACAGCTGGTTGGGTTGACCCGGGACGGACAAGCTCTGGGTACAGCGGGCTGCATTGTGAAATGACCTCGGACACGTCTACCCTCTTCAAAGTGCCCCGAGTCGGTATTCTGTAGACTCTGACACCAGTGTCGAGGACGAGAACGCCGTCCCATCCGATATTCAAGTTGCCTGACCAAACCTGCGCCGTGCAACTAGGGAACTCATTAGCAACTGGTGTGAAACAGTGCAGGCATTGTGTCACTTACTCAACAGCCTCCTCGGGTCCATTAACCCGTCCGCCAAGGGACCAGGTCAGTGTCTTATCTTTGCTCTGAGTCGTCGACTGGCTAGAGGAAGAGCTCGTAGACCATGACACGGATGTCTCGACACTCACGACGTCGGGAATGCCAGCTTTGATGGACATGCCGAAAGTCAAACTGGTAGACGATGAAGTTGTCCAAGTCGTGGATGTAGAACGCATGATCGTGTCACCGAAGCTCCAGTTGTGGGCCACTCCATCCCATTTCACCTTTTTGGTGCTTAATGTCTCCAGCTCGAGATTCGCAAAGGGATTGTACGAGTCAATGCGGACATCCTCGAGCACCGGATCTTTGGCCAGCTTCCTGATAAAAACAGGGGACAGCTGGTCCATCTCCTTGCCTGCTCTTCCAACAAAGCCGATGAGCATTCCCGATCCAACCTCCATGACAAAGTTTCCTTGACCAGTTGTGTCTTGCCCGTGATCAAACTCGCCTCCAATGGTGGTTTTGAACAGAATGCGGCCGGTGCGTTTTCCATCACCGTTACCCCACAGAGTCATCTCGGTGATTGCTTCGCCTGGCTGAAAGTGGTAGTCTTTGGATTCACCCTCCAATGCTCCAGCGCTTCCGGTCGCGCCATCAGAGAAGGTAACCTGGATGCCCCGGAGAGTTTGTTTGTTCTTCGTGGTGGCTACCCTGAAGACGCGAATCTTTTGGACGGTTTGGCCGGTTTCCGCCAGCAACTCAAATTCGCTGCCTCCTTTTCCACCGACACGGAAGGTCGGCGCCCAGACGTCTCTCTCCCATGTTGCGGCAAGGGATGTAGTGGCCAAGAACCCAGCAATAAGGGAGGAGCAGAATTGTGCCCAACGCATCTTTGCAGTTAGATTATCGCAAATGGACTGTAAGGGCGTTTGTCGAAAGTGCAACAGTGTTAAGGAAGGATCGTGGGTTGATTGGTTGAAATAAATGTGAAGTGTATATCAGTGTAGGTAAGTAACGAAGGAATGGCTGAAGAGAGTGACTAGGTAGCAAGGCTTCCCAACGAATGAACGAGGCTCTCGGTGTTATATTCCTGCCTGAGACTGCGCGATGGGGTGAGGATGTAAACTCTGAGTTGAGTTGAGGTGGGAAACGACAGGACTTTATACTCAGAATGCCTTGCCACTGACGACCTGATCTGATAGATACGTCTCGGTCAACGGGTCTGTTTGTCTCCCTTGTGGCGTGCGTCGACGACGTGAATCAACACCATGTTCCCGTCGTTAATCTGCGCTCAAGCCATCAGAGAACGCATGATAATTGACCAAATTTCAGGGGTATCGCCGTAGTGGCGGGTAGATCAGGGGTCAAGACTTGTAGGCGCTCTTCAACCCAGGCGGACTTTTCCATTGGCTGCCCAGGACCGGCGTGCAAAGACGGCATGTCCTTGGCTTACTAGCTTAACCGGCCTAGCACTTGCAGCCCTATGAGCCAGGGCATAGGCCAACACGTCGATTTCAACCATCACTACCTGTTCCTTTCGTTGTGATTGTAGATGTATTCGTCCTCAAATAAATGTATCTTCGTCAGTAATTATTGTTGAAATCCGATTGCGGTCTGAGTTGAGCCTAGGTATCAACCACCGTCCCATGACTCCCATCAAGATACCTCGTTCGAGTAAAATGGTTTGAATTTAGAGCTATCATGGAAGCCTTGAAACCCCATTGCAAGGCTCGCCTCAGCAACCCCCAAATATCCCGGCCTGCCCCCAATGCGGCCATGGTGTTGAAAGCGGAGACGTCTTTTTAGGCCATCCCCTGCCCGCAACCAGGCCGTTCTCGATACCGACTGGGACTTTTGACAATGCTCACGCTCGCCAAGGCAACTTCTGATATTCAGTCGATTAAGGTGGGACGTCTCATGTTCAGCTGGCAGCGAAGATTTCATCCCAACCTGCAGCTACCTTAAGCTGCATCTCAGCCTCATGTTAGAATCCCAAACCCATCCTAACCTGGAGTCATAAAACGAATGCAGGAGCCGTCGCTGAGTTGACCGGATGTTTCACCGTCTTCACCGGCCAACAACAGGTCAGAGCCTTGCGAACACTCAACAGCCACAGACGGAGCCTGGGCCCAAATCGGCAGCGGCCCGAAGGTGGTGTGGTCCGGGAGCCCGAATGATCGAAATTGATCTGAATAGTAGACCGGTAGAAAGGGTTGTTTGTGTGTTGTCCTGACCCAATACCAAACTCCTGCAGTAGTGCGTACGGTCTCTAGGCCCAATTCTGATCAGCTCGCTGGAAGTCCTTAAGTCACAGCCTATCACGGGCTTGCCGTGTACCTGAAACAAATTTGGCACTATCTGCATACATGTAAGCGTCGTCTAGGCCAAGCAACGCCAAGCCACAGCCTGCTTAACGTGGGGAAGGGGAAAACCCAACGGGCTGGTCAAAGAAGACCATTAGTCGAGAGGAAAGCATGAACATGAGACAATGTAAAATCACCAGCTGTATACTGCTGGAACTTCAAAGTGTGGGTCATTCCCGGCATCATTTTGCCGTAGGATGATGACGCGGGAAAGGAAGTAGGTGCGGCTCCAGCCAAGGACGCCACGTCGCAGCCTTGAGATGTCAAACAGAGAAATAGCAACAATTTTTGCGGCTTCGGGTTCGGTCAACTGCGGAGGGAGATTTTCAGAGTCAAACTTAAAGGAGATTGAGGGCTTACAATAGCCCTCATGATTCACGTCCATGAGGTAAGAGATATGAGTTGACGATCCCGTTGTCGGATGGCACGGGAGGGAAGCCACACTTGACCCAAGACCAGTCGGTCCCCATGGCCAATTTCAGTTTTAACATAACCAGAGACTACTCCTAATGGTGCCGCTGTGCTATAAAGAGACAACTGGCCAACGAATAGCTACCTAAGCCAAGACTGTGGGTTAGGGTTGTAGGAGTGTTTCCCCTTGTCAGATTAGTCAATGAGGCACACTGTTAAGGAATTTATATTTTGGCAGTGGGACCTGAGCTACTGGTTTCGGCCTTTTCCAGCCACCCGGGCAACTCACCCTCACACAACACAACAATTGATACGCTTTTGGACCCCATATACGATTTGACACCCCTATTTACCCCTGAGCGCGTTACGTCATGATCCAAACAACACACTTCCAAGTCTCTGTCTCTTAACCTCTGCGATGTTAGAATCTTCTATACACTATGATGTTTCAAAATCTTGCAATTCTACCCCTGATAGCTGTGTATGGGCTGCGCAAGCCTTGCATCGTATTTCGCATTCAGCTCGTGTGATATCTGGATACCTGGTAAGTCTTTGCCTGCCTCATTCTTGGTTCGTATGTCTTTTTCCCTGGGCATCGTCCTTCTCCTCCTTGATCGTTCCAACTTCCCAGGGCCTGCGCCACCCGCCGAGACGGAGATGCAGCCTTAGGCTCCCCGTACGATATTTCCCGGTCTGTTGTCATCGACAACGTGCCAAAGACTTGGGGTGCCGATCCTTCCGTGGTTAGCTCAAAAAGCCCAACGATATCTCGTCGACGGTTGATTCTGGACGTTGATTCCTTCTTCTTCTTGTGGTGAATACCGTCGCTAATCTCCAGTCCACAAAGCTCAGTCTTTCCTTCTGTTCAAGGTACATTCGTTTCTTTGACCAAACCAAGAAAATGCATTCGAAATTCTTGGTCTTGGGTGCTCTGCCCATCCTCGCCATGGCACGGGCATATCCTCCTGTTCTCAGAGGCCGGCAAGACCCAGACACCACGACATCCATCGAAACCTCTCGTCCCACCTCCCCGACTCACACTTGGACAGCCGCGGGTGATGCATCCGCCACAGGGCCGTGGGATGGACACTACACCGGCATCTACACCGGAACACTTCCCGACGATGACAGCGGCCACTACACCGGCATCTACTCTGCCACTGCAACCGCCACTGGATCTGTCACCGGCTGCTCGGGCACGTGCACTGGAACACCTGTCGCGGACTACACCGGCATATACACTCCCACTGGATCTGCGACTGGATCTGCCACCGGCTGCACAGGCATCTGCACTGGAACCCCGACCGCGGCCTACACCGGCATCTACACGGGCGAGCTCCCCACCACAACCGGCCAGATCGCATCAAACGGCACAAGTACATCTGCACCCGTCGTCATCGGTGGGGCTGGCAAGGGAGTACAGGGCTTGAGCTGGGTTGGTGGAATCATGGCCGGCTTTGCTGTTATGGGGTTGGCTCTTTGAGAAGAACCTGGATTATAACCTTTTGATTAAGTGGATATGGGCTTGGATATACATATGGATAGGTAGCTTGTTTGAGATATAATACAAGGTATTTAGTCGATAGTACTCATCGACGACAGCGATTAGGGTGACTTGCTTTGGTGAATTAGTTGACTTATTGTTTACAAGGTATGTGGTGATAGACGAGGAATAGTATTAGGTACCTTACCTGGTAGGTAGGACAGAGAAAAACACAGCCAGCGCTTTTCCAGCACCAGTTGTTCTCTTCATCAACCTGGTGTCTGCAAAATTATTCGCGCCGCTCGTCTTGGAAGACGTTTCCTATGCCTTGCTTGACTCATCGTTCCACCTTGGTTCCAAACCAACCAAGCCATGCACGGTCCTTGTTACCACTCGAGTACAACGTACACCTTCCCACTAACAGCAACAAACACAAGTTCGCTGCTGTTGGTGTGACATTCGTGTTCAACATGTTGTTGGGCCGAAGTCGTCCGCACCTCATTTCACGGTGCTTTCCCGTCTTATTAAGACTCGATGAAGTGAGGTATCCATGTGGCACTTGACAGCTTTTGTGTGTACTAGTCAGCAGACAAGCATTGAAGGTTGGCGATGTTGGATGCACATGCGAGGTACAGCGCCGCTGCCATTGGACAGCCAGTACGAAATGGATGCCAACCCCTGACCACAGATGGGATCTACGCCACTTGTCCGGATGGAAATGTGACCTTGACCTCACCATCCGATATTTCACAGAGCCGCCAGGAGGCCTGTTGTCATCACACAGAGGGTTAAGCACACACGGGGCGCCGATCCCTCCGCGCCTCCTCAAAAGCTCGACGATATCCCGTGGGCGGTTGAGTCTTGTCTTTCCTTTGTACATCATCTTGTGGTGGATAGGTAATATCGCTAATTTTTAGTCCAACCGGACCAGTCCTTCGTTTTACTTACATTCGTTTTCAGTTAAAACAAAAATGCATTCCAAGTTGTTGATCTTGGGCGCTTTGCCCATGCTCGCTATGGCACGGGCGTATCCTCCCCTTCTCAGAGGACGTACAGATGGCGGCTACGTCACGACTCCCGTCAAGACATGCGAGGATATTGGGCAGCAGACCTGTGGAGATGGTTGTGTTCCCTTGGAGTACAGCTGCTGCCCCACCGAGGAGGGAGCTTGTGCAGCTGGTTATAAATGCCAGATCGGAGACAACGACAAGTACGGGTGCTGTCCCGAAGGTCAGACATGTGTCGGCAATGGCGGCTCTGTCACGACCACCTTTTCGACCTCACTTCCTTCTTCAAGCGCTCCTGCTTACGAGGAAGAGCCGCTCCCCACTGGTGACGGCGAGGAACGCGGCCCAACTTCCACTGATGCGATTGAGGAGCCTGAACCGACCTCCACCGATGTCGTTGACGAGCCAACTTCCACTGAGCCTGCCGAAGAGCCTCTGACCTCCGAACCAGCGGAGGACACCGAGCCCACCGGCACCGACCTTGTCGACGAGCCCGAGCCAACTATAACCTCCACCATCGTCGAGTCCGACCTCCCCAGCGTCACAGCATCTGATAGCTTCGAGCTCTCTGCCACAACCACCCAGGAGCCCGGCACCACAGTAACTGGCGAGCCCTCAGCTACCGGGACAGCGACCGCAACCCCCATCGGAACCCTCACCTCCCTTTCCACGACCCTCACCCCCATCCCAACAAGCTACACAACCTCCACAATCTACACCACCACCCTCGTGACCATCACCTCCTGCGCCCCCACCGTTCCCTGCAACGGCGCTCCCACCGTCATCACAAAGACCATTCCCTTCACAACCACAGTCTGCCCCGTCACTCCGAGCATTATCCCCACGGGCACAACCAGGCTCCCCATTCTACCCCCCGTCAAGCCGACCTACGGCTGCTCCCAAGGCGTCGGCGCCAACTGCCCTCGTCCCACATCGCCAACTCACACTTGGACAGCAACGCGCACCCCATCGGGTACAGCGCCCTGGGACGGAAACTACACCGGAATTTACACCGGCTATCTCCCTACCACGACCGGCCAGGCTGCATCCACTACGTCGAGACCGGTCACGGCTGGTGCTGGCAAGGGAGTGCCGGGCGCGGGTTGGGTTCACGGAATTGTAGCAGGTGTTGCTGTTTTGGGCCTGACTTTGTAATGAGACACTGGGGATAATAGCTGATACAGGTGTTAGATAGCGTCGGTATGTAGTTGGATAAAGACATAGCACGACACTTACCCCGTGGTGCATTAATACAAGCAATCTTGGCATGTCGTGTTCCTGGGTCGCTTTCTTCCGTGTACCAGACTGGTTATGACTCTGTCAGAAGCTACCCTCCTCAATCCCCCCCATCCAGCCCTTGCTCGCCGCATTTACCGCTTCCAGTCAAGGGTGTTGCATATTCCTGACAGCCTAGGGTCATTGGCAAGGGGATTATGTTTCGACTGTGGTCTTCTGCCGCACCACGGTTTGGTGGATAACTTTGATCTAGTAGCACTGATTAGATTCATAGCCACAGCGGGATTAACCTTCAGCTTTTTTGAGCGGATGGTTATAGGCAGGTGTGAGACTGGAAATGGAATAAGGGGCCGGCTTCGTATGATGAAGCGACTGGGAATTCGTGTGTTACTCGGAAGGAACTGCGCGGGTGAGTTGCTGGCTATAAGCCGGGGAGGTAAACAACAGAGAAAAACAAATACTAGTGTTCTCGTAGTTCGAGGTTGATTGTGTAGGTGCCAAGAAACATGCTCAGCTCAACAACCCCAACCCACACAACACCGCGCCAACACCATAAAAAGCTTGGCAGGGGTTGCAGTATCATTTTCACCATCTTCAGCTCAGAACGCGTCGAACGGAACCGTGAACGACGCGTCACAACTTTTTGTCACCGGAGCGAGCACAATAACACTGACCTTCCACCATAACAGCCCTCCATCATCACAGTCCTTTATCGCACGATTCCCACAGTATGAGCGCCCCATTCACCCTCCCCAACCCAGCCGACCTCCTGCTCAACCCGTCGCTCAAACGGCAAGCCTCCGACTCGGAGGGGTCAGACGCCTCGAGCACGGAATCCCAGAAGAAAGCCAAAGTCGCCGAGTCTTTCACCGCGGCCTCTTGCAAGGCCTTCTGCACCCCGCTCCGATGCTGCTCGACCTGCGACCCGGCCAGACGGCAATGGACCTGCACCAAGGTCGGATGTCCGGGAAATTGGCTCCGGTTGGTGGAGTGTTGTGAGCATGAGAATGAGAGCTTTTTGCATGAATTGCATGGCGACGTTTGTGAGCTATTATCACTGCCTAGGTACAGGTTTGCAGGTATAGAGTACTGGCGGATTTGACAGCCTCGGCCAAATAAATGCCACTCTTGCAACAGGCTTCTCTGCCCTTCTCTTCGCTGTGAGGGCTGGGGATGCCAAGACACTGATCGCAGCGGATCATCCACCACCTGTTCTCCCGTGCAAGATGTGTTTCGAGGAGCAGCAGCGCCAGGAAAGCGGAAATGGCGAGGAGCAAGGCGCCGATGATGATGATGGCGATCAAGGACCGGAAGACGAAGCCTCCGAGAAAGAGCCCGATGACCAACCAGCTCCGCTACCATCCTGTGCCACTATTTGCGACTGGATAGTTCACCCTGATGACTTGTACAGCAAGTACACCTGCCACAATCTCAAATGCCCCAGCGACGGACCGCTCGTCAGCTGCGAATACTGCATGGACGAGGAACCTAAAGAATGCCCTACCGAGTGTCCCCTCTGCCACGGGCACTGGATGTGCGTCTGCTTGACCCAGGGCACTTAATGTAAACTGACCCGGCACTTTAGCGATATGGGTCGCTGGAGTTCGAAGCCAAGGTTTGGTGATGCCGCTCCCCACAGGCTAGGGGCCACAGGGAGTACTAGTCCGAGGAACTCACATGCTCTTACTGCCGTGAGGAGCTCGACTCTGACCACCACTCAACAGACTTTACTGCATACTACTGCCATAACCAACGCTGCACCACTTGGGAGTTCATCACCTGCGAAGAATGCACCCCCAAGGGGGTGCTCCGGCCATGCCCCGACTGTCTGGGCGAGGACGCGTGTGTGCATGCGAGCTATATACGGTCCCGTGGCAGAAGATGTGCAAAAGCTATCCGATGTACAACTGCTGGCCAGTCAGGGTCTTCGACCAGCCCTTCTGCCAACGGAGCTGGCATGTTGGACCTGATGGGGAGCGGTCGGCTGAACCCGAATTCTGCAATGTAGAGGCCCCGCCCTGTATATGTGACGATTCGGAGAAGGAGGCCGATGGAAAGGGGCGTCCGACTGCATCCTAGCTGCAGGGCTCAATTCTCCGGCTCTTAGATGCCAGATCAGGGGTGTAATGCCGTCTTCGAGGCAAATCGAGACAGCCAGCAATGTACATACACAAAGCCAATTATGGAACAACCAGATTCATTAATACTACGTTCTCTGTCCTGCCTTTCACAACCCGTCCTCGCCAGGAAAAGAAGTGAACGCAGCCAAGCAAAGTACACCAATCTGAAGACCGATAACTGACACCTTTTGAACACTCAGTTAGACTTGTACCATCTATCCATCTTGGTTTTCTTCAAAAAGCAACGAGACAAAAAAACCCCATCAGGCCGTGCTAGGTGGTTCAGGCAGAAATCCGAGTCTAGAAACACAATCAGCCTTGTTGCCCCATCACAACTCTTCAAAAACAAGCTTATCCTCGTTCTCATCCGGCCCGTCCGCCAAATACTTTTTCCGGAGGTACTCCAGCCTTGCCCCTTTCCCGTCAGGGTCGGACTGATGTAGCTCTGCCATGTGCAGCTCCGGCGACGCGAGGTTTCCAACCTTGGAGTCATCTTCCATGAGCCTTGACCCCCCGGGTATTGTGGTGCCTCGTGCAGGTGGTGGAAAGGAGGAAAGATAAAGAGAATCATTGTTGCTCACCTGCAAAAGCCCGTTGCTCAACCCATCACCATGGATCAAATCCAACACACTGCTGCTCGACTTCTTTCTAAGGGGCTGGGCAGGAACACCCAGCATCCCACCGCTCTCAGCCGCACCAGCGACCCTAAGCGGGAAGGGGAGCACGGTCCCCACCACCACGGGTGCAACCTGGCTGACCACCCCGCCAATATCCCTCACGAGACCGCCGAGGAAATCCCCAAACGACTCCTCATGACCCTGCCCCTCCGGGACCGACATCGTAATCTGCTGCAGCTCCGAGCTGGAAAGCTTGGACAAGGCCTGGAGGGCGGTCTCGCCAAAGACGGCCCGCTTGGCCACAAGGATGGCAGCTTCACGGTCGGCTTGGGAAAGGGATTGGGTCGAGAAGGAAGACTCGGAAACGTGCTCGACAATCTTCTTTGTGAGCTGGTAAAGGGGCTCGCGCTCGACGGCGCGGACGATGACCTTTCCGAGGTCGTCGAACCAGCCCTCGGCGCGGTAGGACTCGGCACGGTTCTTGATAGTGTCAACGAGGAATTTGCCCAGTTCGATGCCGATGGTGATGCCGGGGAAGAGGCCGAAGAGCTCGGCTTGTTGACCGTTGGTGGCTGGGCCGTTGGAGGTAGCAGCGAAGGGGACGGTTTTGAGCTTGACCTCGCCGGTGGCGGTAGTTTGGGTGTACTCGGTCGAGCTGAGGATCTTGTTCGCGGTCAGGGGGAGGGCGGGGCCGAGGCGGCAGATGATGGGGTCAAAGTTGATGGAGCGGTAGTGGGTGCTCCAGATCGAGGACATTTCTTGCAGGATCTTGCGGGTGATGGGGTTGTCCTCTAGCTTCAAGATGGATTGGAGGGCAGCCTCGGCGAGGATGCCACGCTCGAGTGTGCCTTGCAGCACAGCGCTTACATCAGTCAAGGCAGATTCAGTGGCCTGATTGATGACACCGAGGATGGCGTGAGCGATGGCGCCGTGGACGCCGCCCAAGAACGGCTGGAGGTAAACAGGGGCGGCAGGGCCCACGTTGCCCTGCACAAATTTGGCAACCTTCTTGAGGTCGTCAAAGAAGCCCTCAGCGTCAAGGGGTCCAGGAGCTGGAGCGGAGGTGTAACCGGTGCGAGGAGCAGGCTGGGTCGTGGGACTGGCGCCGGATGAGGTGATGGAGTAGCCGTATTTGACAAGCTTGATGCCCTGGTGCTCACCCCAGGGTGGGAGGTTGCCGTCGAAGACCTTGAGCATGCCCTCGTAGTCATTGCCGAGCGGGCCTATGACACTGGCCGAGTTCTTGTCGCCGCCACCGTAGACGTGAGTACCGATGACAGCTTGCTTGGAACCCTTGCGGATAACAGGAGCACCAGATTGACCTATCCGTTGTTAGCGAAACATTATCACGGGGAAAAAAAGAATCCAAAACTCACCACCAAAGGTCGAAATCCGGTACTTGAGCATGCCCCTTCCCTTGTTCTTGGCCGAGTCAAGGACGTAAGTGATGCTGGTGAACTGCTCCCACATAAGGGCACCCTTCTCCTCGCGGCCATCGGCATCCTCGAGAGTCTTGTCGGCAGGATAGCCAACAACACCAATCATGTCATCGCCACTCTCAGGAGTGTTCTTGTACGTGAAGAGGCGGAGGTTGCCAGTGAAGGGCTTGTCGAGTTTGACGAAGGCGACGTCGGCATGGCGGTTGTTGCGGTCGACAACCCACTGGGCGTTGGTGACGACGACTTTGCCTGAGCGAAACTGCACGATAGGAGAGTTGATGTTGGAACGTCCGTGGTAGCCGATGTAAGCCTTGATGTCGACGGCCTTGCCGAGGCCTCTGCCATAACCAGACCAGTCGAAGACATTGTGGCCGGCAGTCACCAAAAGGTCTGGGGCGATGAGCCAACCGGTACCCATGGCGTAGGACTTATCACCAGGCTGCTGGCCTTCATAGCGCATCTGAAGCTTGACGATGGCTGTCTCTTTGTCAACACTTGCCGGTCATAGATTCGTGCAGAAGAGGACACTCACAGCGATATTTTCCGCCATCCCGGATATCGTTGTCATCGACCAGAGAGCGGTGGTCTGGGTCAAATACCGACTCGGAAGTGTCATCAGTGGAGAAGAAAGACTCTGGTGTCACCTGGGTATGGGCGTAAGGAATTTCCCAGGTGGCAGCCACGGCGAGATAGGGGTCAGAAGACATTTTGGTTTGATGTGTGAACGAGTTTTGATGATGTGAAAAGGTGATGCGGTGAGTGTCGGTCGTCTGAGACGATCACCACGTCCATCTTATACTCCTTTCCTGGCGACACCAAGCCCAATCGTCAACTGAGGTGCCTCCTTTTGTTGTCGTCAACAACTTGATGGAGAAGCGACGCAAGCCTCTTTCCTTCTGGACCAAACTGTTTCGTGATCGATTGAAGGCCTCGTCCAATAGTGGCGTACGCTGACAGCGCTTGCGCGGAGGAGAAATCGGAAGTGCCTCGCGACATTGAAGCTGAAGCTTCATCTTGAAACATCCTTTGGCTCCAATATCACAAGCGGGGATATCTCAAAAGGTCTATGCAATCCTTCAGCTGACTGTTGGAAGCCGAGTTCGTCGATATCCATATCTGTGTGTGGTTAGTGCTGCTGGATGTGGCCGGCTGTGCCTGCAGGTGAAATTGCACAAAACGTTCCAGAGTTTTCGGAATGCGATAGAAGGTTCTTGGGAAACGTGGTCTGGAACTGACAGGTGCAAGCAGTTTCACACAAAAGTTTTCTTTTGTAACGGATGGCGGGCTCGGGTCTCCAAGCACCTAGAACGAAGATGGCGTTATGTACGACAACCGAGAATGGTAAGGCTGTCGCTGGCACACCAGCTGAATGGGTGTTGACCTCAGCTAGGCCGTGCTATTGGCCCGCCCTCCACATGCTAATGCGACCTGCTGCAGAACATCACAATTCCCACCACCCCAAGAGTCCCTTTTGGGGAAGCCCAGGTGCGGGTGCGGGATGGAGCGAGCCGCCCACTCTGGTGAGGGGGACGTCCAAGGTGGTACAACCTCGTTGCAAAACGCTCACTTGCAAAAGACCTGATCAAGTGTTTAGCAAGATGTGAAGTAAAAGCCGGCCGCAATTGTTCGCCCAGGAAAAATCCCAAGATCATATCCGATCATGGTAGGTATTCACCAGTTGGGCCAAGCACCATGACAGGGCGGGTCGACGAAGAGCGCTCAACGTTGGGAATCCTCAGCATTATAATAACTCCAGCGATAACTTTCGGGCAAAAGTCCGCCCGCTCGTACCCGAGATATGCCAGATCAGGCCCCATTTCTCGCCGGTGTCGGGGCTCGGGGGTTTGTACCGGAGGTCCGGATCGCGGCGGAAGTAGTGGGGCCGCCGCCCTCTCTCTGCATGCAGTCAACCGTCCTCTGGAATGAGCCAAGCAACCAATCGAGTGGTGCTTTTACACTGATCGGAACTCCCCTCTCGGGCTGGGATCATGTCCGGGGGGTTGGCTGAGGGCATCAGGGCGAGCTCACTGTTGGCAAGTTCACAACGGTGTTGGTTTCTTGATCACCATTCCAGACATATGCCGAGGTGCTCTCTCTCTCTTTGTTGCAGAATGTTTCCGGGTACCAAAATAAACTTCTTACAGCGCAGATCAGTCAGCGGTCTGCACGAAAGACAGTAACAATATGGTAAGCTGACGGGCCATAACGTTGGGTTTGCTCTGGAGGAACACAACATGCTAAGGTTCTGAGGCATGTCGCTCTTTTCTCTTTTGGTGGTGATATGCAGGAACACGGGGGTCCAGACCTTGCGGGTCAACGACTTTACCCCATAATCCATTTGGCGCTTCCCGCGGTGGTAGTGCTGACGGGCTGATATCAAGCGTATCATGTATGTGGCTGCATGATGACAAAGATATTGACCTCGTCTCGTGCAAGAAACAGAAATAACCGGCATCGTGGTGACAGTAAGGGTTTTGATGCCAAGAGCACGTGTCTGGTTGACATTCCTGATCCTGATGAAGTGGTCTGTGTCAGCCTCTTTGCCGAGAAGAAAATTATTGAATTTGCCAATGACCTGAGAACTGGGCACGAATCATGACCCCTATTTCATTGAATCGTTGACAGCTTAGGCTAGCTGCGCTCCAACAGTTGCCAGTAGTGAGCTACCTTATGGAGGAGCAGAGATCAAAGGGAGAATTCAGGTGAATGAGATGGTCTCGCGCCCCAAGTTGATGGCGAAGCAGCGAGACACTGAAAACGTGGAGGCGGAGAGTTGACAATGCACAGGGCCAAGGGCGCCGGACCTCGTCCTCAGCTACGTATGGCGGGGAAAGGGGACACGGTGCAACGTGACATTTAGGTGACTTTGTTCTCCCTGTCTTTGCAAGCACCGTACCTTCCTTGGCACTCAGTAATGAACATGGACACTACCTATCTGCCGGACTAAGTCCGGATGGTCTGCCGTTTGGTGCGGGTTGGATGCTTTTGCTGCTTGCAGCCTTTTGACGGCGGCCATCCACGGCTCTGGAATTCTGCCATGACCGAGCTCTTCAACCAGTCCAACGAGTCAACGACAGACGATCCTATCCAATTCTTGCATCCCTTTTCGTCCTCCCGTTCCCAACACCAACAGCACCGTGCAAACGCCTCGAAGCGCTGCTCTCGGCGCCGAACCGTCACCGATTGTCCGCGGGTAGAGCACAGTCCGGCATTCCTCCAAACATGGTCCGACAGGCGACAGCCGCGAGATCGTCGCAGAACGATTTCAGGGTGACTCGCAGTGTTCCAAATAGCCGGACGGCCATCGACATATAAGTAAAGATCACGTCCTCGCCATTCCAATGCCCTCTCACACTTCAGCATTCTTTCCTTGTCAAGATACTCACCATTGTATTGCATCTGCCATTCCCTGATCTAGCTACTCGTCTTACTTTCCAGCCAAACCCAACAACCAACCGCAAACATGCCTGGCGTCACTTCCAACACCTCCAGCAAGTACAATGCCATCCCCGGTCCTCTGGGTTTGGCGTCGGCTTCGCTCGAGGGCAAGGTCGCCTTGGTAACTGGTGCTGGTATGTATCATCCATCCTTGTCGAGGGTTAAGCCTCGAAGCCCTTGCACCTGCATAGCAGCCCCGCCAAGCACTTCCCCTGTGCGCGGTACGGGGCATTTACCCCAAGCCAAAGTCCGGTGCCAAGCCCACATCCCGCCCCTTATCGTGGCACCACATGCGAGCTGCCTCATCTGTCTTGGGGATCGGCATTCAACCATGACCTCACAGCTAACACAGTGTAGGCCGTGGTATCGGCAAGGAGATGGCTCTCGAGCTCGGACGTCGTGGCGCCAAGGTCATTGTCAACTATGCCAACAGCGACTCGGCCGCCAACGAGGTCGTCCAACAGATCAAGAAGAACGGCACCGATGCCTTCGCCGTCAAGGCCAACGTTGGTGAGGTCGACCAGATCGTCCGTCTCTTCAAGGAGGCCAAGGAGAAGTGGGGCAAGCTCGATATCGTCTGCTCCAACAGCGGTGTCGTCTCCTTTGGTCATGTCAAGGATGTCACCCCTGAGGAGTTCGATCGTGTCTTCAACATCAACACCCGTGGCCAGTTCTTCGTCGCTCGCGAGGCCTACAAGAACCTCGAGGTCGGTGGCCGTGTCATCCTGATGGGCTCCATCACCGGTCAGGCCAAGGCTGTCCCCAGACACGCTGTCTACTCCGGCAGCAAGGGTACCATTGAGACCTTTGTCCGCTGCATGGCTATTGATTTCGGTGACAAGAAGATCACCGTCAACGCCGTCGCCCCCGGCGGTATCAAGACCGACATGTACCACCAGGTCTGCAGAGAGTACATCCCCAACGGCGACAAGCTCGACGATGAGGGTGTTGACGAGGTGAGCCTCCTTATGGATTTACTGCATATTATCACGATGCTAACTGCAACAGTACGCTGCCGGCTGGTCCCCTCTCCACCGTGTCGGTCTCCCGATCGATATCGCCCGCGTCGTCTGCTTCTTGGCGTCGCAGGACGGCGAGTGGGTTAACGGCAAGGTCATCGGCATCGATGGCGCCGCTTGCATGTAAAGTACGGACAGATATTGGCTGGAACTAATGATGCGTTGCTTTCACAATGGAGGTGTTGGTGGATAGATGGGAGGACAGGCTGGATTACCGGGTTATAGATATGGGGGCAGACAGAGCACATTTTATTGCTGAGAGATAGTTGCAGTGCAAATATGTTTACTGGTATGTTTCACAATCAGGGAGCTCCAATTCAGGCTTGCTTTCGTGCATCTGTTGTTGAGGGCGAGACAACGACAAGTGTGGTCAAAGCCATCGAAGCCACGGGGGACTCTAGTATCGCGTTAGATGTCTCGATTCGGCTCCGATGCTGACTGCATCGTGGATGAGGAATCTTGTGTGACCACATGAGGCAAGCCTGCCACATTGACCATCCTGACTCCCGGGCTATGAGGGCAGACCATACCATGGCTGCGTCTGACAAAAGTGTCTCGGCGTGGCACCCATCACGAGAACTGTGAATGGCCAGGTTTCAGCCCTTCCAGCAAATAGATGCCAATCCATACGTCAGAGACATGACCATCAAGAACAACGGGCATGAACACTATAAAAGTAAAAAGGTATAAAGATAGCGGAAAACATCGAGTGAGAAATGAGCCATTCTTTTGCTTTCTTGTCAGCAAAAAGGTTGAGAACTTGCTAACGACCCCCTGTCTCACTACCGCATAACTTTATGCAATTGCGAACCCGCGCACAGTTGGCATTCCTTCCCATTAGGGTAATAGCACACTAAAAAGCGCCACAAAAAAACTCTCCCCGGAAGTCGGAACGGAACGGCGACGACGAGCAAACGGCAGGAGCTCGGGTGATACCGTGAAAACATCAACAATTGGCGAGCAAACCCAGAAAGCATCTTGGCCTCCTGCCAGACACCACTTTCAACATGATAACCAACGGATCCTCACACGACAAGAAACCAGAGGCTATGCATGCCTCTGGTGTTCTTTCCGAATGGCAGAGACTGCAGAAGCAGTTGACTGGAAACGGGGTCGTCTCTGTTGATGGCGAAACCCTGACTGTTGCTGATGTTGCGGCGGTTGCACTGTAAGTTCTCCGTCCCGTCGCTTGTCAACAACAAGGAAAGGCTAAGACTGTGACTAGACACGGCGCAAAAGCACGTCTCACCGATGACGAGGATATAATTCGACAAGTCAATGAAAGTGTTGCTTACCTTGCACACGAGCTCGAAGCAGGGCACACCATCTACGGTGTCAATACCGGCTTCGGAGGCAGTGCAGATACCAGGACTCAAGATTTTGAACGACTTCAGAGTGCTGCCATCCAGCATCTCAATGTCGGTATCCTTCTTCAAAGTGACAAGGGCAACGACAACGGCAGAAACGAGCTTCTCCGAAGTCATGCTCTCCCCAGCCCAGTGGTCAAGGCCGCCATGCTGATCCGCTGCAACTCCCTCATGCGCGGCCACTCTGGCGTTCGCACCAGCGTCATCGAGTCAATCATGGGGCTTCTCGCCAACGACATGACCCCGGTCGTTCCCCTCAGAGGCAGCATCTCCGCCTCGGGAGATCTCTCGACTCTATCTTACATCGCCGGTGCCATAGAAGGAAACCCCGACATCTTTGTCAAGCTCGGCAGCGACAAGATCATCCCCGCTAGCGACGCCCTCCAAATCGCCGGAATCACCCCCGTCCGCCTCCAAGCCAAAGAAGGCCTCGGAATCACAAACGGCACCGCCCCCAGTTGCGCCATGGCCTCCCTGGTCATCGCCCAAGCCAACCAGCTCGCCTTGTTGATTCAAGTCCTGACAGCAATGGGCACCGAAGCCCTGAACGGCACTTCCCACAACTACCACCCCTTCATCTCCAGCACCCGCCCTCACCCAGGCCAAGCCGAAGCCGCTTCGAACATCCTGTCTTTTCTCTCCAACTCCAATATCTCCCCTCCTTTTCCCGCCGAATCCTCCCCCAAAACCCGCCTCGGCCTCGCTCAAGACCGTTATTCCCTCCGCACAGCCCCGCAATGGATTGGTCCCCAACTGGAAGACCTTCTCCTGGCAACAAAACAAATCACAACAGAACTCAACTCAACAACCGACAACCCCCTCATCGACCCCTCCTCAAGCTCGATCCACCACGGCGGCAACTTTCAAGCCATGGTCCTGACCTCGGCCATGGAAAAGACCTCGCTTGCACTGCAAAATCTCGGCCGGTTGATATTCGCGCAGTGCTCGGAGGTGATCAATAACATGACCAGCAAGGGCTTGCCGCCGAACTTGTCGGCTGACGACCCCAGTCAGAGCTTTACGGCCAAGGGGTTTGATGTCACGATGGCGGGGTACATGGCTGAGCTGTCGTATTTGACGAGACCGGTGAGCGCGAGTGTGCAGGTCGCTGAGATGGGGAATCAGAGCGTGAATTCTATGGCGTTGGTGGCGGGACGGTACGCGATGGAGGGGGTGGAGATTTTGGGGCTGATGTGTGCTACTTATATGTGGGTCTTGTCCCAGGCTGTTGATTTGAGGGTGGTTCAGATGAGGTTCAGGGAGGAGGTGAAGCTTTGGTTGCCGAGTTTGGTGAGGGATCATGTCTTTGGGGGGAGCGGTTCCGGGAGGGTGGAGGTGATTGAAAGGGTCGCGGGACAGTTGGGAGACATTATACTACAGAGGTGGGATGAACTCGCGCATTTGGACTTGAGGGAGAGGTGTGACAAGGTTGCGAAGGAGTCGATGGGGTGGTTGCTGGATGATGAGCAACCCTTTTCGAAGGGGGAGATGGTGGATCGTTTCTTCTTGTCGGAGTACAGGACTGCCGTGAGAGAGTTCTTGGAGCAGCATTACAGGGAACAGCATGACATGTTTAGTGATCAGGGACAGGCGGGAGAATTTGTTGGTGAGGGCGGGAAGCTGGTGTATGAGTTTGTGAGGAAGGAGCTGGGAATCCCGCTGAACAGAGGGGTAGAAGATCATCCGCCATTACTGTTGAGGACCAGGGCAGAAGGAGAGAACGATCATGGTCACGGTAATGGCACTCAGGCGGATCCGAGAACCAAAATTTTGGGAACACAGGCCTCTAACATTTACGAGGCGTTGCGGAAGGGGGTGCTGCATGACCGTATCATGAAGTACGCAGAGGAAGCTCGTCTGTGGGCATAAGATAGAAATTAGCAAGTCGGTAGACGAACAAATACACAAGCACGACAAGACAATTCCACTCAGAACTGGTCAATATTTTGCTGGAAAGATAATGCTTTGAGTAACCCTAACCCGAGATTGTTGTGCGCTCGGCCTCTAAAACTTAAACTTTGACATGGCGTCAGTGAGGCTCATGCTCGCCTCTGTCTGGCGACATTTCGAGTGCGACATTCCTCAACCGTCGAACCGAACAGCACCGAGTGTTCGTGGCACCAATCCAGACACATCGACAATGGCGAGCCCCACCAAAATCATGAGATGAGCGACTGGGGGCATTCTTCCTTATAGCGTTGCATCGCATCAACGAGCCCCATTTCTTACCACCAGCTGCCTGCTCTTTGTTTACCTGATATATTTTTCTTGCCCATCCGCGACTCGCACACATCTTCCAACGACCACTCCCTCCGATTGGACTGCCTGACAGGCGCCATGCCGTCCTCAGTCCAAGATTACCAGCCCGCCATGACATCTGGCACCACAGCCGTCGCCAATTTGGGCCTGATCACCTCCCGCCCAACGGGCCGGCAGGGCTCCATCAGCGACCCGGAGTCGGCCATGTCCACCATCACCGACCAGTGCGCCCCACCAACCGCACCTCCTCCGCGAAGCCGCACCCCACCACCGCCGCCCCCACCCCGTCGCCGGACCTCTGTCACCGTGTCCATGGTTCACGGCGACAGCGTCGATGAGCTAGGCGCGGAACCCCGTCTTGCTGTTCTCCATCGCATCCCGACTTACCTCCAACCTCCATTGCCATGGCGCGAACGATTGCTGCACTTCACCTTTGCGTGGTACACCGTCACCATGTCCACTTCTGGCATCGCCATGGTCATCGCCCTCACGCCCCATCGCTTCACAGGTCTCGGCACCATAGGGCTGATCATCTTCCTCCTTGACCTCCTGGCGTTTTTGTTCATCACGGTGATGATCATCCTCCGGTTCGTCATGTACCAGCACACCTTTCGGCGGGCGTTTACTCGACCTCACGAAGCGCTGTTTATATCCACCCTCTGGCTTTCCATCTGCGCCATGTTGCTCAACATTGACGAATACGGACGGATATTTTTGAATCCGGCGGCATATTTACGACTTGCCCCGTTCATGAGAGTCGCTTTTTGGATCTACCTCGCTGTTACCTTTCTGTTTTCGGTTTTGCAGTATCATTTGCTGTTTACGGTCAAGGAAGAGAGACGGCTGTCGATTAATGCCATGACGCCGGCTTGGATCCTACCGATATTTCCGGTCATGTTGGCGGGCTCGTTGGCGGGCTCGTTGGCCAAGTCACAACCTGCTATTCAGGCTCTTGAGATGATATCTGCTGGGTTGGCGGCGCAGGGACTGGGAATATTGGTGTCGATGTTTTACTATTCGACCTATTTGTCAAGGCTGATGGCGTTTGGACTGCCGGTGCAGAGGCCGGGTATGTTTATTGCTGTTGGGCCACCGAGTTTTACTTGCTCTGCGCTGGTGGCCATGGCGGGTGAGGTACCGAGGATATTGGTGGGCTTGCCAGCGATGGAGGTGATTACATTTAGTGGTGGAAATCCAGGGGTAAATATCCAGACTCTCGGGGCTGGAATACGGCTGTTGGCTATGACGACTGCGGTGTTCTTATGGGGGTTGAGCTTTTGGTTCTTTGCGAGTGCGACCACGGCGGTGGTGGCTGGGATGCCGGATAGGAAGTTTCATCTCAGTTGGTGGAGCTTTGTGTTTCCCAATGTTGGCTTCACGTTGGCGTGTATACGCATGGGGAGGGTGTTGGAAAGCGCGGGGATACTGTGGTTCAGTACGGTCATGACGGTTTTGTTGGTGGTGGCTTGGGGGTTTATTGGGTTTCGGTGTGCGGTGGCCGTGCACAAGAGGGAGATCGTTTGGCCAGGGCATGATGAGGATTCTTTGTGATGCCATGAATGCCGGGTATATTTGTCCCAAATATGAATAATGTTTACACGTACAGAATACCACGAATTAAATGGCTCTCAATTAGCTCTCGATGCTAATGTTCAGTTCCAAGCCGGGGAGTCGGAGAGCGTTTGTCTTGACACCGGTTCTCCACGGTCTGCCATCTATGTCGCTTCACATGCTCTTTGAAGAGCTGTCAGGAGGGGATCTGCGGGGGATGGGAATTTATTTGCAAGGGCAAGTGGCAAACCCCGCTTCGAATGTGAACGCGGAGGCGCCAAGACTGGGGAAGTTGCCGAGGTCTTTGTCCCAATCGAGAGGTCTTCAATCCTCAAAACACTCGGCGCCTCAACAGGTTTAGAAGAGACCTACGAACTCGAGATCTTCCCACACACAGCAGGGCAATCCGGACGAGAGCATCATCAACATGGCGTCTATTTCTCTCGGTGCGTTCCAGCTCTATTGGGCTTCCATTGTCCGAACATACAGCCCTGATCAGATCGAGTTCTTTGGCAGTCTTGCTGTTCAGCTGCTCTTCTTCTGGGTCCCTGCCATCGCCTATACCGCTCTCGACTACATCCTGCCCAGTTTCTCAGCTAGGCACAAACTGCAACCGGCACCAAAACAACCGACATGGAAAGAAATAAAACATTGCGCCTATATCGTCGGCCGGAACCAACTCATGAACACAGTATTTGCTCTCTTGATGCTGGCTAGATCCCACTACACCGGGAATCCCTCGAGCTTCCAAATCACAGAGACTCCTCCAACTCTCAATATCTTCCTCCGGGACTTTCTCATCAGTTGGATCGTGAGGGAGATCTCCTTCTATTACGTCCATCGACTGTTCCACACACCCCGATTCTACAAGACGATTCACAAGGTCCACCACGAATTCATCGCACCTGTTGCTCTGGCAGCGCAGTATGCCCATCCGGTCGAGCAAGTGGTGGCAAACACGCTGCCCGTCGTCATGGCCCCTATCTTGTTGAGGACTCACATCTTGACATTCTGGGCATTTTTGAGCTGGCAGCTCATCGAGACGAGCACTGTGCACAGTGGCTACGACTTCTTTGGTGCCATCGCGAAGGGTCATGATGTCCACCACGAGAAGTTTGTTGTCAACTATGGAGCGTACGGGTGGATGGACTGGCTGCATGGTACGGGCCCGAAGCAGAGGGCCATGTCGAAGAACAAGAGGAATTGAGATGGTGGCGGATCAACGGGAGCTGAAGCCTTTTGTGTTCTCCAACAATGACTTGGATCGTTGATGTCATTCGGATGAACAGACAAAAATGAACATTTATTTTGAGATTGATCGGAGTTACATACGTCTGTGACCTCGGGGTAGGATGCACCGTCCGCCAAGCCCGCTACAAGACTGGCGATATCCAACAACCTGGTTTCCCTCAGCCCGCGATCACACCATCAGGACACGCCTCAAGGTGGCATTCCTCCGTGCTCGCCTAACTAGCCCTCTATAGGACGCAGTTTTATCCGCGAATTGTCTAGACAAGACGCAACGGGGAGCGGTGGATCATGTCACTCCGGGGGTTGACAGCGACCCTTGCAACCTGGGACGGAGGTTCCCCTTCCGACATTACAACATCTTGTGTACATGCCTCAGGTGCAACGGCCCGGTGGCCGCTATAATAAGACATCGTGATACCCATCGCTTTTAAATGTTTTGGTTCCTGTTCTTCATCCATCCTTTGACGCCTGGGAGTTGATCAGAACTCCAGCAAAGACACGATGGTCAAGCTCCTCGACATCGGGCTCTTCGCCCTGGCCCTGGCCAGCAGCGCTGTTGCGAAGCCTTGCAAGCCTCGTGATGGCCCCGTGACCTACGAGGCCGAAGATGCCATCCTCACCGGCACCACCGTCGACACTGCTCAGGTAGGCTATACCGGCCGTGGCTACGTCACCGGCTTCGACGAGGGCTCCGACAAGATCACCTTCCAGATCAGCTCCGCCACCACCAAGCTCTACGACCTCTCCATCCGGTACGCCGCCATCTACGGTGACAAGCGAACCAACGTCGTCCTCAACAACGGTGCCGTCAGCGAGGTCTTCTTCCCCGCCGGTGACTCTTTTACTTCTGTCGCCGCCGGCCAGGTCCTCCTCAACGCTGGACAAAACACCATCGACATCGTCAACAACTGGGGATGGTACCTCATCGACTCCATCACCCTCACCCCCTCCGCCCCTCGCCCCCCCCACGACATCAACCCCAACCTCAACAACCCCAACGCCGACACCAACGCCAAGAAGCTCTACTCCTACCTCCGCTCTGTCTACGGCAACAAGATCATCTCTGGCCAGCAGGAGCTCCACCACGCCGAGTGGATCAGACAGCAAACCGGCAAGACTCCCGCGCTGGTGGCTGTCGATCTGATGGATTACTCCCCCTCCCGCGTCGAGCGTGGCACCACCAGCCATGCCGTCGAGGACGCCATCGCCCACCACAACGCAGGCGGTATCGTTTCTGTCCTCTGGCACTGGAACGCTCCCGTCGGTCTGTATGACACCGAAGAGAACAAGTGGTGGTCCGGCTTCTACACTCGGGCTACCGACTTTGACATTGCCGCCACGTTGGCCAACCCCCAGGGTGCGAACTACACTCTTCTCATCAGGGACATTGACGCGATTGCTGTCCAGCTCAAGAGGCTGGAGGCTGCTGGTGTTCCGGTCTTGTGGAGACCTCTTCACGAGGCGGAGGGTGGTTGGTTCTGGTGGGGAGCCAAGGGGCCAGAGCCGGCGAAGCAGCTTTGGGATATCTTGTATGAGCGTCTGACGGTGCACCATGGTTTGGATAATTTGATTTGGGTGTGGAATTCGATTTTGGAGGATTGGTATCCGGGTGATGATACGGTTGATATCTTGTCGGCCGATGTGTATGCGCAGGGTAATGGGGTAAGTTTTTGTCTCCGAACTGAAGATGGTGTGGGATGATGCTGACATTTTGATAGCCCATGTCGACTCAGTACAATGAGTTGATCGCCCTCGGCAGGGACAAGAAGATGATTGCTGCTGCAGAGGTTGGCGCTGCCCCTTTGCCCGGCTTGTTGCAGGCTTACCAGGCCAACTGGCTGTGGTTTGCTGTCTGGGGTGATGACTTTATCAACAACCCCAGCTGGAACACGGTTGCTGTTCTCAACGAGATCTACAACAGCGACTATGTGTTGACGCTGGATGAGATTCAGGGGTGGAGGAGTTAGTAACTTGAATAAAGACATCCGAGCTGCCAATCAGCTATGTACATACTGGTCTGTTCAATACAAGAATAAGCATCGCCACTTTAGGGATAGACAGTTGTCTGTTGGATGTTAGTGCATGTCATTCAGCCGCGCCCAGAACACCTTTATGCAGGTCTATCACTTGGGCGCTGCCAACTGCTGATAGGTGTTACACACTCATGAGCGTACCATTTCTCACCACACACCCCCGCATTTCGTCTTCAACCTCAACAACGCTCTCCTCGTCAGCACACGCTGACAAAACCACAATATGGAGACTCTCAAGCCCTTCCTCGCCCCCCCTCTCAACCTCCCCACAACAACCCTCGTCCCCCTCGCTCTTCTCTTCCTGCTCACCACATTCATCATCATCCCCACTCTCATCCAATACCACCGCCTCTCTCACATCCCCGGCCCCCTCCTCAACTCCCTCACGTCTTTGGTGTACGCCCGGCGCACCCTCAAACCCGGTTCGGCTCAATACGTCTATGACCTCTGCAGGCAATACGGGCCCCTGGTGCGCGTAACCCCCAACATTGTGGTGTTCTCCGACGCGGCCACATTCCGCTATGTGTGCTCCCACAAGGCAAAATACACAAAAGGGCTCTGGTTCGAGTTCTCCCGTTGGGATCTCAAAAGGTGGTCGTGCATAGCCATGCGAGACAATGAATCAAGAAAAGAGAGAAAAAACAAGCTCATTCCTGCTGTAAGCGCCCCATCCCCTCCTAACAAACAAGATAAGAGGGGGGAAGGGTAACAAAAGCAATCAGTGGTCCGGTGCTGGGTTAGCAGCGATGGAAAAGAGAGTCGATCAACAAGTCGGGGCTTTTATCGACTTGGTTGAGCGGAAGTATGTCTCGGGTGGTTCCGACACAAAACCAATGGAGTTTGGACACCGGGCGCAGTTTTTTACTCTGGATGTTGCCACGTCGGTGACGTTTGGACGGCCGTTTGGGTTTTTGGATAGGGACGGGGATGTGAACCGGTATTTGGAGATTACGGAGGTTATGCTGCCGATATTTGGGGTTTTGGGGGCGCTGCCGCAGTTGGTGTATGCGATGCATGCTTGGCCTTTGAGGAAGATGATGCCGGGGGCGGGGGATAAGGTGGGTTTTGGGGTTTTGATGAGGTGAGTTCCTCTGTCTAAGAAGGGGGAAAATGGGATGGTTGCTGATAAGGGGTTAGGTTTGCGGAGGAGGAGGTGAGGAAGCGGGTTGAGGGCGGTGCGGAGGAAAAGGGAGAGAGGGATTTGATAAGGAGTTATTTGGACAATGGGATTGAGGCGGAGGATGTGGTGCAGGAGTGTATCACGCTTGTGTGAGTGAGTCCCTTGATGTGAGCAGTACCGAGCTGATGAAGATAGTGTTGCTGGGTCTGAGACGACGTCCGTTGTTCTCCGCATGACGCTTCTTGCCCTGCTGACCACACCTGAAGCCTACCGTAAACTCCAGGCCGAGATCGACGCCTTCTTCAAAGAATATGACTCTGAAGAAGTCATCAGCTACACCGACACCAAGGAGCTCAAGTATCTATGGGCAGTCATCCACGAGACGATGCGCATCTGGCCCAATGGTGCTGGGCTGAGCTTCAGCAAACAAGTGCCTGATACGGGGGATACCATTCACGGCTATTATCTTCCCAAGGGGTATGTATGCTTTTCTTGACTGTCATGAAGCCTTTTATCCTAACGACTTCACCACAGAACCGAGATCGCACAATGCATGTTAGGGATCACCAGAGACCAAGCCTTATTCAGCCCAGATGTTGACATCTGGCGGCCTGAGCGTTGGCTAGAGGCAACTCCAGAACAACACGACGAGATGTGGGCAGCCGTGGAACTAGGCTTCAGCACAGGAAAGTATATCTGTCTGGGGAAACAGGTTGGGTTGATGGAACTTGGAAAGTGGTTCACCGAGGTATGTCTCTCTGACCAGGGTGACTGTCAGTGGTCAGGATGATCCAGGGCTGCATTGCTAATAGTTAGACAGATCTTCCGACGCTACGATATTGCCCCTGTCAACAAAGCCTCACCGCTCAAGTTGGTGGACGGGGTTACTTGGTTGTCATCAGACTTTTGGATTAGACTCACGAGAAGAAATAAGCAAGTGTAATGCCGGATTTCCACATAGCGCTTCATCGTGCCCAACCCGAAATATGACCTTCTATTATTTCACACTTCTTAATCGGGGAGTTAAGGTAAGTAGCAGGCAATACCTAGCGTCTGACCTCTCGTGTAAGCCTCCTCCGATCACTCCACGTCTTCAATGTTCACTTCGGCCGTCTCAGCATGTTCCATCTCCACTTCCTCGACGACGTGTTGAGGGTTGTAGTGATCGTTATGCCAGAATTTCCTCTCTAATGGTAGTGTCAGCACTTCAACTGGGATAACAGAAATGAGTTCTTGTAGCTCTACCTACCTTCATCCGTTATTCTAGGGCTAAGCATCCACTCTCTACCCCGCTTAATGAGAGAGAGAGAGCTACATCCCTAGTAGGGTACCCCTTCGGTGAACAGAACATTGATGCCAGGACACTTGCGTGGGAGGTAGTGCCCACATGTGTGCTTTTGTCGATGTCAAGATAAGTTCCAAGCGAATTTTCAAAGTCGCGGCGCCACTGGCGCCGTTTCCGAACGAGCTTTCTCAAACTGGTTTCCAGAGAGCCTAATCTGGGGTGGCCTGACCACTTCTGCTCTTCGGATGAATCGGGACTCTCCTCAGTCTTTGAATTGTGGGAGCTGAAAAGCCGGATTTCATGGATGACATTGCTTAGAAGTCCAGGGTGTTCGATATGATCTTTGGCTCTGGCAATTGCCAGCTCCTCCACGGTGTAGTTGCTCATACATAATCGGTGCGGTGGCTCAAACAAATCTATGCTGGGCTTAAACCACATGCACATGGCTAGGTACGTGCTTTTGGAGGCTTAGGTAAGTATGTGTTGAAGGGAAAGGGAAACCGGGGACAGCAAAGTGGGAGATGTTGGATCCGCGTCTGATTCGTCAACGTGGAATGTTGGATTTGACTCTCTAAGGCTGTGAGAGAGATGAAATATTGATGGGTATAGCTGCTGGAAATTGGGACCGAGCTGCCTAAATATAGTAGGTACATGGAGCTGTAAGAGGCGGAGCAGCGAGCAGAGGCAACAAAGCGAGCTACCCAAAGGAGGGCAAAGAACCAAAGGAAACGGCCTGCAGTCAAGGCAAAAGCCAACAAAACCTTCAAGTCAAGTTCTTGCTTCTTTGCCAGCGGGCTTAAGTGGGTTTCACTGGAAATCGAAATGCTTGCTGTGTAATAGATAGGGCCAGCTATGCTCACTCTTGACTGTACACGCAAATGGCCAAACACGAATAAAATCACAAGATACCTTAGGTACCTAGGTACAATGCCAATTTAGCAAGCTTGTTCGGATCCAACAGAGTGTTAGTTAGCAATGCCCGTTATGATAAGTACCCAGACCATCATTTCCAGGGAAATCCAACGCAGATTTCGGAAGTCATACTGCCAAAAACTAAGAGAGATTTGTCTCCCTATCTTCTACACTCACATCCCTCAATCTTCCAACAAACCTAAAGCATATAAGCGTTTGGCGAACCCCTATCCATAACCTCTGAAAGGGATACTTGTCACAGACCAACCATATAGCAAGGCAGAGTGGAGACTGCAGCAGGCCGTGGTAGCCAATCAAGTGAAAGGTAACGGCGGGGCTGCAGGACAGTGGGGCGCTCACCTCTTGGCAGAGGTGAGCCAGGTACGGAGGTACCTGGAGGATTAAGGTCTATATATACGGAGGAACTGGCTGGTGTAGATAGACAGTTCCGCAGTATGCAATATAAGTCACAATCGTGGTTCTTAGCTATTGTGATTGAGACAAGCCATTTGTTGTACACTGTTTAGCTGTACCTAACCAGGATTGTTCAGAAGTGCCTTCAACCAGTATCCCTTTCAGAGGTTCTGGATAGGGGTTCATCACAGCTACACGTAAATAACTTTTAAAATAAATATCGATTTAGTCTTGATTCACGTACTCTACGAGAAACTTAGCAAGGATCGTAAATATAGTTTAAATAGTATTATAATTCTCATGGCACTGGCACAGCTGCCATGCCTTATTTTATTAACTGCTCTTACGGCCCTACTTGCCTAGTTAGTTAGTGCTCGCGCTCCACTATACAGCCTGCACCTTGAAATCCTTGCAGGACTGACTGAGCAAGGCTTTCCTTTCCTTTTTACTTTCTTAGCTAGAATCCTGTCAAATTGAGTGGTCATATTGTAGCCTTGCCTCCTTGAAGCTTCGCTCGTGACAATAATTATCTCCGTTAAAGTAAACAGAGCGAATTTAACTCGTAATTTCGAACTGCTTTCGGGACGAAATTATCGATTCTAAATACCAGTCCGTAGACTTCTTCTAAGTACTCAAGTAAAGTACGGGTATTAAGTTTGGTTTATATATAAGCGGCTTAAATAGCAGTATGTTATTCTCGGTACTCCGCATAAACCGTTAGTTTTTTATTATGTCTTCGGATGTTGTGACCTTCCGTCAGGATGGCTCGACAAGAGATTCCCAGGGAAGCTCCTCTCGTAGAAAGGAGATTCCCAGAGAAGCTCCTTTCGTAGGTGGGAGGCTCCGGAGGAGGCTCCCGGTGGCAGACTTGGTGAGGCCCTGGACACTTCCCAGAGGAATGTCCCGTCGAGGGGTACGGAGGAGCCCAGGGACAGTCCCCAGAGGAATATCCTGTCGCGAAGGCCTTGCCGAGTCTCCGGCTTGTGGCTTCCGGAGGTGGAAGCCGGGGCGAGGACTATAACGGAGAGTCCTCATGAAAAAGAAAGAGAAAGAGGAAAGGGGCGAGCACCCAACACAAAGGATATGAACTGTGTGATATGGTGAATGAATGCTGGGGAGCTTCTCGAGAAAGCTCCCGGTAGAGGTTTTATAGATAGCCACGGAGCGTCCTTGACCCGCATGTGCTCCTCCATGTGAAGCTCGCAGGCTCATAACATCGGATCTATAAAAGCTTTTTGTAATAACGAGAACTATTAATATCGACGGCGGTCAGCTTTTTAGGAAGTATTTAGTGCGTTTCGGGGTTAATATATAGGTCCTAATATCTTTACGCGATCAACCTATAGCGCGTTTAAACGCGTCCTAATCTTCCGAACGTTTAAGCCTAACAGTCGAACAGGTAGTTATTATAGCGGGTATCTTATTAATCGTCGAATTCAAGGTCGGCGTAGTTGTAAAATAGCTTTAAAATTATATCTTGTACGATACTCTAACTGCAAACTGTTAAGGGGCCTAAAAAGGTGTCAATTCTGGTGTTGTGAGAGCGTGAGTTGCCTGGGTGGCTGGGAAACGCCGAATCCAGTGGCTCAGGTCCTTTTTGATGCACGTGTGATTGGAACAGTGATTCAACCCAAATTCTAACCACCACGACTTTCATGTTTTTCTGAGCCCATACGCATGACTTGTTTCAACTATCAATGAGCTCGATCGTGATTTCATGGATGGACAGGTTGTGTTGGATTGACCGAGGGAATCTGCAGATGGTCAGACGTCAGTGACAAACCTGGACGACGCAAGGCACTCACAATCATCCTGCCATTTGCTATCAGGGATTCCGAGGAGTGCCAAACTGGCAGTTCTCTTCTCTAGGAAGGATGTGGCCAGAGATTGCTCCGCAGGCGGTAGGGTTTGCTTGCTGTCTTTGCTGCTGCTCGCCATCTTGAGGATCGGGTTGGGGGTAGATGCTACAAACCTTCACTACAAGATAGCCCATTCTTTACCTTTGTAGACATCGCTGATATAGGAGAGTCTTGTTACACAGGATCGGAGTTTATTTCTACATTCGGAGATGTCAGCGACACGGGGAGCCGGAGCTGTCTCTCCGCCAGTACCAGGGACCACGATAATGTCTGTACGCGTTGAAGTGCACTTCCGGGCCCGGGGAACCAGCTTCGTCACGTTGTCTATCACCACAGACGTTGTGAACCAAGAGCATGCCAGCAAGCCTCATCTTTAGGGTGGTTCCCTGGCGATGGCTGACCAAGTTGTCAACGCCAAGGCATTGCCGCTGTTCCTCTAGGGCGTGGGAGATGTTATGACCTCAACAACATGGCATGGCGTTACTATTACAGTCTTCGGTGAGGATAAACATGCCGAATCCCTGTGAATTGTTGAAGACCAATGAGTCGACCCCCACCAACTGTGATCATGATGAAGAAATCTCGTCATAAATTGTTTGAAGATCTGCAGCGTCCTGTGAATTTTCACCGACTCACAAGTCTCGTACAAGATACGGATTGGCTACCGACTGACAGCCTAGTTTGGCAGGTACCTATCTTGCCAGAACCTAATACACATAGATGAAGTCTTCGTTCTTGACGTCGGTCATGTCCCGTAAAGCATTGTCCTCTTCCAGCGCCTTTGGCTTTACGCCAGCACCTGCCTCCTCAAGCTCTGCCGCCTTGCCGCTTTCCACTTGACCTTTTCCAAACATGGACTCGTCAACAAGCACGGCATTCTTGCCCAACTCTTCCCGACGCTTGGCGTGTCGGCGGTTCAGGTACATGAGGTAGAATGGGATGAGTCTGCCAAGGTCTTGTCAGCCACTGCGTTACGCATGTCAGGTATCCTTGTCACTTACATCGCTAGCGCCGCTACCAACACCAACATGACGAGGTTAGATATCAAGCCCGGTCGATACAAAGGGGCATGATCGACAGAGTACAGCAGTGGGCCGATAATGTTACCAGTACACATCCCGATGAAGACCATGCCAGACGTGCACTTCTTCTTGGTGTCACCTCCAGTGTTCTGCGCCTGCCACGCGTAAATCAACGGTGTGATGGCAGCCATGCATGACACCAAGTAGTACCCAAACAACAACACCCCTTTCTGTTCGCGAGGGACAGTCAACATGATAATCGTGCCCACAATGGGCAACACGCAGACCCCCGCAATGGTCAGTCCCTTGTGCTTGAACCTCGTGGCGACCCATCCCGAGGCAATGATGACAATGAACTGGATAGCCCCAAACGGGATGTTAAACAAGATGGCCTCGAACTTGGTGTATCCAAACGATTTGACGATGAGACTGCCAAAAGTTCCAATACCACCGCTCACAATCCTGCCATGTCCTGTCAGCAATCCTCTCCCCATGACACCTCAGAACAAAACTTACGAAATCGCAACAATAATAACAAACCAACACCAAGTCTTCAAATCCAGCAAACTCTCCCACACATGCTCCCACCTCCACTTCCCGCTCGACACCCCCATCTGGTTCGCCCTCAACCTCTCCACCGCAATCACCTTTTCCCTCTCGGTCAAATACTTGGCCTCCATCGGCGAATCCGGCATAAAAGCCAGCACCACCCCCGCATACACCACCGTCAATAACCCACAAAACAGAAAGATAATCTGGTACTTGAACATCACCCCACTCTCAATATGTCCCAGCCCATAGGTAAATAGGCTCCCGACTATCGCGGTGATCCCGTTCATCGCATTCCAGTAACTCGTCCGCAGCGTCTGCTCCCCCCTCCTCCACCACATCTGCGTGACGGCGATGCAGCTCGGTGCGATCATGGCCTCGAAGCTGCCCAGCATGAAGCGGAGTCCGAGCAAAGACTGGAAACTGGTACAAGCAGCCATGATGGCCTGTGATGAACCCCACAGGAAGATAGCAGAGGCGATGACTTTCCCGTTGGGGAACTTGACCAAGATGAAAGCGGCGAGGGGCTGCATCACCAGCTGGGCGATGTAAAGGATTGAGCCGAGCCATGAGTACTGCTGCCCGACGAGCTTGGCGTCTTCGGTGATGCCAAAGATGGAGACGTAGGACAGGGAGGATTTGTCGAGCTGTTGGAAGAAGTAGGCGCCAAGGAGGAGGGGGAGGATGCGCGTGTCGATGCGGCGGAGGACTTGGCGCTCTTCGTCGCAGGTGAAGGTCGTGTCGGTTTGGGCGTGGGCTTGGAGGAAGGTGGTGGCTTTGTCGGTGGGGGTGTCTGTGATGGGGGCAGGGCTGATTTCGTCCGTTGCGAGTGCTGCTGCTGCTGCTGGCCCATGGGCTGGCTGAGATTTATCTGGGGTGGTCATTGCTGGCAGATTCGACCCTGAGGCTCTGAAATGACCGAGTGACAAATGAGGACTGTATGAGCTTGTGAAACCAGACCGGCACCATGTCCATGGACCTGGAAAGAGGGGATTGATCGACTGAAAGGTGAAGAGGAGGTGGTTGAGGGTCTATCGCTGCTATTTACACCGAGATATATGCAGATCATATGGTAGTTCGGCAGTGATGGGCCAAGAGTTTGGATCTATGGCAGCCAGAGGGTATCATTCCCGGCACGGAAGCTACTTCAATGCAACAGACCATAGCTGTGCATATCCACGAAGGACAATGTGTCCATTCATTGGTGGGAATTCAGGCTGATATTGAATGAGCGCAGATCGTCTGGCGAGACAGGCCAGTTGTATGGCCATTGGATAGATACCTTAGTTGCCGTAGGCTATATCTGTTGACTTCCATATTAGTATCAAGGGCAAAACCGTTGCTACGTCACGGAGATCGGTGCTATTGTCATGGACGATGTGTGGGAGTCCCTGAATTACCCCTGAATGGACCCACCTAAATTTGTTGAGCCAAATAAACACCTGGTGAAGTGGTTCATGGCTTCATTGCCTCATCTGGCCTGTGTGGCTTATCGAATGGAATTCTCCATGAGTGATGCATTATTCAGCGCCAGGTGAAGTCGGGCTGACGACTCATACGGAGCGGTGTTTGGGAGCGTTGTAAGGCTCTGTTGGAAATAATCCGTGGTCGAAGAAAACAGAGCTGATGAAGTGGTTCACAGAAAAGTGGATATTCTGAGCTGTGCAGCCAACAACGCCAAGCATTATCCTTCCAGGCAGCAATGGCGATGTGGGTTTGGCCGAGGTGTTGGTTGAACAAAAACACTCAACCCACATAAAGACCGCTCCCGCCTAGAATTTAGTTTCTACTTCCACTCCATGTTCAACTAAACAGCACACAAACCAGCTTAAGCCCCATCATGTCCTTAGACTCGCCTCCAACCTCAAGCGATAACCCAGAGGAGAACGCCCCGGCCTGGGGCAGTTTGCCTGTGGAACAATACATTCTGGTACTCTCCTGAACAATAAACAACACAAGAAGTGCGACTGACTCAATTAATCTGTGTAGCAAAATTGGAACGCCGATTCTCCACAGCCTGTCGCAGATCAACGTGATGCACTCGTCAAAGCGTTCATCAACGAAGATGTCATCGGACCAGAGTATCAGTCAATCACACACGTTCCAACTCAACAGGAAATCAACACCATCTTGAAACCTTGGCGCCCGCAGAAAATCCGCGCCATTGCCGCTAAACACCTGAGTATCTCATGGCCTGATTTCAAGAATGAAGGGTTCTGCGTCTTACGAACCTGGTATCAGGGCGGTGAAGAAGCCGACGCAAAACTGGAGCAGTGGTTCGGCTATGATGAGCTCAAGGGCTTGTCCGAGGTCGAGATCGAGGAGACTTTGTTAGACCGCGACCGCCAAGGAGGCGACAAGATGAAAATGAAACCAAAGAATAGGTGGTGGATGGTCCTCGACGACAAAGACATGTTTGATGTGGAGGACGAGAACAACGACGACGACTGGCTGGACGTGTACAAGATCCTTCCTGAACTGGCGGCCCCTTCGGTGCATCGGGGATTGAACGTCATTGACGCACTCGACAACCTGCACTTAGACGGCACCCCCTACCCGAGAAAGAGCGAGCCGAGCGAAGAGGCGTACGAGGATGCAGTCCTGGAAGTGGCGAGTGGTGGTCTTAGATACCCGCTTGTCATCCTAGATCAGGAGGCTTTCGAGACGGGCCAAATATACCTTGTGTGGAGGGATGCCAAGGGAAAGGTGGTCAAGGATATCCGTGATGACATCGCAGGGTTGCCATACCTTCAGCATGATATCCATCGTGTTTGTGCGTATGAGATAGGGTGGTGGACTGAGGCGTGCTTTGGAAAGCAATACGACATCTATGGAAAGAAGGGGAAGATGATGCGGAAGCTGCTGCCTTTGGTGAAGGAAGCAGCGAAGCAGACGATGGCACACAATGCAGCGATGTACGGATGGTGAAGTTGCCAAGTCGTTGGTTCGATGCTCGAATTCTCGAGGGACTTGTGTTCTGTGAAGGCCTTTTGTTCCCCTGAAGATCGACCCACAATCTTGAATGGAATTGTCTTGTATTGTACTAGCCAGTTTCCACGCGTCGTTGCTGTGCCTCATAGAACACCAACAGCTGTGGCGGAAATAGCACTAGCAATATGTTCCTGATGATAGACGGCGGTAGCTTCCCGGTTTGTAATAATGCAATGAACTTGTGCAGAATATTGAAAGTAAGCACTATTGTTGGCCCTAGGGGAGTCGCACATTCCTCAAGATAAAATGGACAATCTCTGCATCGCACTTGTTGCGCCTTTGTTGGTGGGGGAAATCTGATTAATGACATCATACCTCGTTACGCCCGCGCATAATAAATAGTCAACCGAACATCGTTTCTACAGCATATTTTACCATGGAAAACATTGTTTTCAGTCCTGATCTTACCATTGCCGATAATGTGGTTCTTGAAAACCTCAGCGGCGAAATCGAGATTGAGCTCCTCGGGGCAAACCTCGAGTCGATCAAAGGTACCTTAACTATTGAGACGACGCCCTCCTCTTGATTTCCAAATTACATGAGTAATCGCTGACAGGTTGTTGAATATAGCCCGAAGAGACTCTCGCGACATAAGCGCTCTGCAATCATTTAACGACCCGAAGAGCCAGTTCTTCGACCCTACCGTCCTCTCGACCTACGATCTTCGACACCTGCGCCGTACACTGCCTGTCATCGTCGGCAAGAATGTAGTAGCGCCATACATTGCATCGGCACGTCGCATCGTGCGCCATGAGACGGATGTGGTCATGGCGACACACCTGATCCTCTACTTCAGCACCTCGGTGCCCAGCGCCATTTGGCTGTTCTACAACTTCACCTACCTCCACGGCGTCCTTCACTTTCTCATGCAGGCCTGGTATACAGGCAGCTACACCCTGATGAGGCATCAACACATTCACCAAAATGGCGTTTTGACCAAAGACTCTAGTCTGGTACGCCTATTCGACATGTACTTTCCCTACGTCACCGATCCATTGATGGGCCACACATGGAACAGCTACTATTACCACCACGTAAAACACCACCACGTCGAGGGCAACGGACCGGACGATCTCTCCTCCACCCTCCGATACCAGCGCGACGATCTGTTTCACTTCCTCCACTACCTCGGCCGTTTCTTTTTCTTCGTCTGGCTCGACCTCCCACTGTACTTTTTCCGCAAGGGTCAAACCGTAAATGGCGCCAGGATTCTCTTTTGGGAGCTCTTCAACTATTTTTCCCTTTTCATACTCTACCAACTACACAGCAAAGCGACGACGTTTGTCTTTCTCCTCCCGCTTCTCCTTATGCGCCTTGGCTTGATGGTTGGCAACTGGGGCCAGCACGCGTTTGTGGACCCTGACGAGCCTGACTCGGACTTTCGCTCGAGTATCACCCTCATTGACGTCGCTGTGAGTTGTCTCGTCGCTTTACGATGCATCATCGTGCTAATATCCATCACTTCCACAGAGCAATAGATACTGCTTCAACGACGGCTACCACACCTCGCACCATCTCAACCCGAGACGGCACTGGCGCGAGCACCCCATCGCTTTCTTGCAGCAAAAGAGGAAATATGCTTGAGGAGAAGGCGTTGGTGTTTCACAATATCGATTACCTGATGATTACGGTGAAGCTTTTGCAAAAGGATTACGACCACCTCGCGAGGTGTTTGGTGCCCATTGGGCAAGAGCAGATTGAGCTTTCGATGAAGGACCGGGCGGAAATGCTGAGGCGTTTGACGAGGAGGTTTACGGAGGAGGAGATTAGGGAGAAGTTTCCCAGGGCGGGTCAAAAGCAGAAGGAGTTGTGAGCGGGGTCAAGGACATGATGCGGCTTGTGGCGTTTCAGCGGATAGCACATAGAGGATAGAACATCTCATGGGGAACACTTTTCTTCTGACCCGGCTATCGACCGAGAGCGCTATACCGACGGATCTGTCGGGCTCACTTCGGAAACGGGTACGTATGCTCTCTCGCAACAGACATCATGTAGGCAGGGGTGGTATCGTGCCGCACGCAGCGTTCAAGCTTTTGCAGCGCTCAACATTTTGTTTTCTTCATCTCTGCGCTCCTCCAGCTGGCTCTTTGACTTCTTCCACTCGAAGGGTCCACCGACCGGTCCAGATTGCGGCGCTTACTGAGCAGCCGCCATGGGCCCCACCAAACCTGTGCTGTCGAGGTTACACTGAGGATCTAGCGCACGGGAGGCGTTCGCCATGTGGTTAGTCATTTCCGCACATACGAGCAGAGCCCTATTTCTGGTCTACAACAGAACGACTACTGTATGGAGGGTGGGCCAGGCAGACCTGTAGTTCACCACCCTCATACCAGCTACAGGCCGTGTCTCGTATATCCCCAGCTCACCGTACCTTGAGGCTACAGATATCTGTCAGCACTATTTGCAAAAAGGTATCATCGTGATGGATAGTGGAATGCATGCTTTCGGGGGACTGGAATGGGGGTTGGAAGAGGACTGAGTCAGCGTCAAGTTGAGGATATGACTATCTCCTCAGGTTGAGATGAGTATAAAGAGCCTTAGCATCGACCTTTTGTCTCGTCGAAGTCCATCATCAGTCAGGCCAGCAGCCCTCAAGACAATCAACATGGCTCCCAAGTCCCTCGCCATCACGGCGATGTCCCTCTTCTTCTCCCTTGCCTCCGCCACCCCCGTCACACTCGAAGCGAGAGACCTCCTCAACCCCATCGGCGCCACCGCCACCGCCGACCAAGAGAAATGGTCCCCGGCCCTCGACTACGACACCGACAGCTGCTACAACACTGTCGCCATCTCCCCCACAGGGCAGCTCAACGCCGGTCAAGACCCGGGCAAAGGCCAAAACGAAATCCTGAGCTTCTGCCGCAAGGAAGACCGCCTCACCAAGCGCAACGTCTACGTCCGGTCCAAGTGCAACAACGGCTGGTGCGCGCACATGTACGACTACTACTTTGAGTCTGACTTTGGCATCGGCGGCCACCGCCACGACTGGGAGCATATCGCCGTTTGGGTCCAGAACGGGGAGCTCAAGTTTGTGAGCGCGAGCGAGCATGGCAAGTGGAATATCAGGTTTCCTGGGCAGAACCCCCAGATTAGATTTGAGGGGGGGACGCACGCCAAGATTGTGTACCACAAAGACGGGGCGGGGACGCACGCCTTTCGGTATGCGACTGGGGGGGATGAGCCGCCGGAGAATCACTGGCAGAGTTGGAGGTGGGGGGTGGGGGCTGGGTTGTTGAATTGGGATTGGATTGCTGGGAATTTGAGGACGACGCTGTCGCAGAAGGATTGGGGTTCGGCAGAGATGGCTGTGAGAGACAAGGACGGGAATGCGTGGAATTTCGGGTGGTATTTGGATCGCTCTAGGTACTACTGTGTGACTGAGCTTGAGTGCCCGGGTAACTTGGCTGGCGCGTTCAACCCTTGGGCTTGAGAGGCACGCGTAGCTGTTGTTACAGATGTTGTCGAGTGATTGAGACTAGTGTTGATAGACTGTTAGCGTAGCAGTGGAATAGAAAGGAGGCTTTGGTGTTCTGAGCTGCTGTTGCTGCCAGTGACTTCGACATGTGAATCCCCATACGATGACCGAGAGCCGGCTAAATCGAAGTCGGGATGTTGCGTCGAATCAAGCTTTCTTGGCACTGGATCTACTTTTGATCTCCACGATCTGCATGCTCCCACGTGTTGAGCTTCCCCTCAGTGGGGGATCAACAGGCTAATATTCGGCCATGGGGGAATTATGACCGAGCATCACGTTATCATCAAGATGGACACCTGCTGTGACAACCGCTTGGCCGGCAACGACTCTCCTGCACTACAGAATAGACCACAACCATGACAACACAACCCAAGAAACGCTATGCCCTCGTCGGCACCGGCGGCCGCTCCTACTTCTTCTACTCGGCCATCGCAACAACCTACTCATCCACCTCGTGCATCGTCGGCTTCTGCGACACAAACCAAACCCGCCTCAACTACGCCCTCTCCCGGCTCACCTCCCTCGGCCACCCCCCGGTCCCTCTCTACCTTGCCTCCGACTACGACAGGCTCATCACCGAAACCAAACCAGACGAAGTCATCGTCACAACCGTCGACCGCACCCACCACATCTACATCATCCGCGCCCTCCAACTAGGCTGCAATGTCGTCTCGGAGAAACCAATGACCATCGATGCCCCTCGGTGTCAAGCCATTTTCGACGCTGTCAACGAGACCAAAAGAAACGTCAGAGTCACCTTCAACTACCGCTACGCACCCCACAACACCAAAATCTACGAGCTCTTACACTCCGGCGCCATCGGCGAGGTGACCTCAGTCCACTTCGAATGGCTGTTGAACACCTCCCACGGGGCAGACTATTTCCGCCGCTGGCACCGCGACAAGCGCAACAGCGGAGGGCTACTGGTCCACAAATCCACTCACCACTTCGACCTCGTCAACTTCTGGCTCAAGACAAGACCTCTCTCCGTTTACGCGCAGGCAGACCTCAAGTTTTACGGCAAAGAAAACGCCGAGCTGAGGGGCGTGACCAAGTTTTATGATCGAGTCAGGGGCAACGAGGAGGGAAACGCAAAAGATGACCCGTTTGCGCTGGACTGCAGCAAGGTCGAGACGTTGAAGAGTTTGTATCTTGATGCTGAGCACGAGGATGGTTATTTTCGGGATCAGTCCGTTTTTGGAGATGGCATCAGCATAGAGGATACGATGAATCTGCTGGTTAGGTACAAGAATGGGGCGGTCATGACGTATTCTTTGACCGCATACGCGCCGTGGGAGGGGCTGAGGGTTAATTTCAATGGGACCAAGGGACGGATAGAGATGGAGGTGGTGGAGAATAGTTATGTCAATTCGGGAGGCGATCAGTCATTGGAGGGGTGTTTGGAACGGAGCACCATCTTGCTGAGGCCGTTGTTTGAACCGCCTGGGGAGGTGGAGATTGGGGAGGCAAAAGGGGCGCATGGGGGAGGGGATAATGTCTTGTTGCAGGATTTATTTGGGGTGCCGGTGTCGGATGAGTACATGAGGGCCGCCAGCCACGTGGATGGAGCGGCGAGTATCTTGACGGGAATTGCGGCGAATAGGTCTATTGCTACGGGGCAGGTGGTGTTTGTGGATGATATTCTGAAGGTGCCTGATAACTAGAGGAGATACAATCCCAGCATAGCTGCCATCATGACCAATCCGAAGCTGTTCAATCCAACACGTTCACCGTTATTTGTGGTTGTGGTAGCACCGGCGGCGGTTCCAGTTCTGCTGGATGTCGGGGCACCGGTGATGGAAGAGCTTCCGTGGGCAGAAATGGGCATGGTACTGAGGTCAGGCTCAGTTGTGGTGGTTGTCAGGGTGGCAGAGCCATCATGAGCTGTGATCAACATGGTGTTGAGATCGGGATCTGTGTATGTCGACATGTAGGCGGTGTCGGTCTCCCAGCATGCCCACCCAACCATGGCGAGCGAGGCACATCGTTGGGTTGATGCGCAACAATCGGTATCTAGGCACCTCGTATGTTAACACCGGGAACTATATTGTATTAGGAATTCAACACTCACCGCACGGTGTGTCGCCCGCATCAGCGCAGACGACACGCGGGAGAAGCCTCCCGTGGCCGAGCTGCGCGTCGTTCGGTTGAGCCGAGACTGTCGACGTCATGGTCAACATGGCCGTGACGGCCAACTGAAGGCTGGAAGAGATCATGATGCCGACAGCAAAATGTTTGGTCTAGACTCTCATTGCCAATGTTCCTCCCCCTCTTCCCCGGGGTCGACAGCCATTTTAACAACCACAGGCCTGGCCAAAGTGTTGTGGACCAGCTGTCGTGGCTGTGGGTTCTTCCCTCAGCCGCAAGCCTCCATTCCCAAACCACTCCCTCTGTATGGATAGTTCCCAATTCCAGCCACCGCAAGCGTTGTCACTCACAACGTTGTCCATCGGCCATTCGACCACATCGCCAAGCGGCTGCGAGATCTCCGCACAGGGGTCCAGAATTCACCGACGGCTTCCTCGCCGCATTTCGGAACGATCCTGCTCGAAAACATATTCCTCTTGCAGCATTCCCATTGGTACTGCCGAGAAGGAATCTCACGTCAATCGGCCAATGCGGCAACCTAAATGTCACCCTTCGGGAACTCCCGCACATCTCTCTGTGCCCCACAAAGCTTGTGTACAAAAAGGTCCCAGACAGCCGCCTCCGAACGTCTTTGTGTCCCCCCGACGTGCACTTCCCCGAGATCTTAACCTTGCATCAGCCGCAACCCACTCATTACCACCACAACCATGGTCCTCCTCTCCAACCTCCTTACCCTCCTCGTCTCCCTAATCCACATTTACATCGTCCTCCTCGAAACAACCCTCTGGACACATCCCGCCTACGGTCGCAAGATATTCCGGATGACAGAGGAATTCGCACAGCAGACAAGATTGTTGGCGGTGAATCAGGGGGTCTATAACGGGTTTTTGGCATTGGGCCTGCTCTGGGGGATATGGCATCCTGTGCCGATGGTCGGGCAGCAGGTCAAGTTGTTTTTCCTCGGTTGTGTCTCTTTTGCTGGTGGGGTTGGGGCGTTGACTGTGGGGAGGAGGGTTTTTTGGGTGCAGAGTGTGCCTGCGATGGTGGCGGGGACTGCGGTTGTGGCTTGGGGGTAGGAGGGTGGTGGTCACCGTGGTTGGAAGTTTAGGGAACAGATTGGGGACATTTTCGCGATTGGGAGGCTTGAAAAATTCTGGTAACTTGTTCTTGGTGTCTGAATCACACTGATGGTCTTCTTCTGGAGCTGAGCTTGGCCGTTATGACAGCGTCTCCTCCTGACGTGACCTCTTGACACGAATTCCGGTGACCACGCGTCGTGTGCTGCGCTCATGGTCATCCCCAGTCTGTCGCCCACCTCGCTGCATGATAGAAGCGTAGCGGCTGGAACGCCTGTTGGCGGCGAAGGACGTGAGTCGGAAGCGGCGCAGTCCCGCTCCGGGGTCTTTGTTGGCGCGGACTTCGCCGTGTCCAAGCAGCCTTTTTTCTAGAGCAACTGCCAGGAGGGCGCTTATGAGTTTTCTTTTTTTCCTTCTCGAATTTACCGCTCATCCCAGCTGCGACACCCAAACGTCGCTTTGCTTGCCCTTCATGGCCCCAGCTGGTCCCGAGGGCCTATATCCGCGTTCCTGCATCGAGACGGCGTCGAGTTCGGGACTTGGCCAGGCAGTGTTGACGGTTGTTTCCAGAGGGCAGTAGACTTGCGCGTAGCTGTCATCACCATCCAGCTGAGACCTGTGCTCCGTAAAAGTCATCGCACCAAACGACCTGCCGAACGACCTTCCCATCGTTGCCCTCGCTCCTGACGACACCTTGGTGCTCGGGGGAGTCCTGATCTTCCTCCAAATCACAGCCAGTGCCGGCATGCAACTGACGATAACTCCGACGGTGATTTCGGCGATGGCGGTTGACCACAAGGGCACCCCGTACGTATCGTTGAGCTCCTTGTAATACCAAACCACTCGGTAGTGAAGTGTCAGGATACTCGAGATCAGCCCAAAGAGCCCAACCAAGAACATTGCGGATACGGCCAGCTTGCGCTTCAAGGGAAGCCTCAGGCTCCAAACTGCCGGGAGCGGCAGAATTATCATGCCCACATCGACGATGACAGACCCAATACCCATGACGAGCCAATAGAGCCGACCTTTGAAGCACCGAGGCTGAGAAAAGGCCATGAGATAGCTGAAAACGTCTTGGCCGGTCGTTGGCGAGCAGTTGACCGCCGTAGCGATGGCTACCGAAAACTGAAAGGCGAATAGGAGCACGATGCTGATCGTCGTTGCCATTCTCATCCATCGAAGAACGCTGAAGATGTTGTAGTAGAGAAGAAGGACGGAGCATTTAACGAAGAACTGCGCCATGGGCGTGATTACTTGGAACAAATGGGCAGACACGAGATGGATCTTTTTGAAGTCTCCCAGTCGGACATTCCAAGTCTGTATCGCGTAAGGACTTTTGCCTGTCATTGCTATAGACGAAGAAATTGTCAGCACGGTCGTTTTGACTTGGTGAGGCACAAGACGTACCGCATATGGTTATCGTCACCGCAGCGAGGCTGGTGACGAGGCCTGTATAGAACACCAGCTCGTGGATGCGGTTCGCCCGTTGGCCCAACCATGTTGTCGAAAAGATTCGGGCGGCCGTAAAAGCGAGCATAAGTGCTGTGCAGAATCCATCGAGAACAAAAATTTGCCAGGCATCCGACGTCGGATTGTCAAGGTTTGCTGTCACCCCAGGCGGCGGTGCTGCCATCGGGAAGTCAGCGACGAGTGCCATGATTTCTGGGGTCATCTTTGACGTGTCCATCGTGACGGTTGAGCCTTTTGGCCAACTTCAAGTTGTCGTGAACTGTTCGCCGCAAACCAGAGCGTCAGCAGGGCAAATCCGGAGGAGGAGAACAACCATCTTTTAGATGCCTACTCAATTGCTCGGGTTGGCCTCCGACGCGGTGAGTTACATCGCTTCAGGCAGAGTGAAGTACTGCCAACGACCAACGCTCTTTTTGGTGATAACATTCTTTAGTAAGGTTGCGATGGGGCACAGAGCAAGAGTTGGGCAATGGTCGCCAGGCATGGCCCAATGAAAAGTTGGCTGCAGATGGAGACCGGATGGCGGTGCCTCACAGGCGCATAGGGTGCAGAGCCAACAGGCACCCCTTGCCCTATAGCGCGTCACCATAACAAGGCCAGACATTGCCAACCGCATTACACTCAGTTCAGGGGGATAAGAGTCAGCCCCCAACTCCGCCACTAACAAGCGCTGAGGCTGGGGAATGAACCTCACTGGTGGCCGCCAACAGCACCTTCGAGCCTGAGGATGAGCCGAGTGTGATGGATGTATGGATGTTACGAGTGGCCCTCGGTCAGCCAATGGCTGTGGTTTTCTTGCTCAACTTTTTCCCAACTTTGAAGGCATGGCCGTCTTTTGAATATGAAAAGGCAGCACTTGGCCTTGGCCATGTACTGATTATGTATGTCACTGCATTCGGTGCAGAATCGGTGACTCTTAATCACGCCAGCCACTTCGTCTAATGTTGAGAACGTTCCGTGAGAGGTGACACCTACTTGCATCTTGAACGTGTATTTGAAACTCGCCATTGATATGAACATTGTTGCATCTTTCACGATGTCCCCTCGCACCGTAACGATCCCGCGTGTCCACCAAGACCGTGGCAAGAGTTTGTGCTACATGGAAACATGAAAACATAAATGAGACGGCTGGCACGCTTTAAGCTGTCTAAGCCTTCTCACGACTCAAGGATATATATCACCTACCTAGCCACCTAGTACCGTACCTACCTGGTGTCCATCATACCCGTGCTTTATCACCAGCTCTAACAGCTTCCACGCCCATTACGACATTCTAACCTCATCGTTATACTCTCAGCACTATCGACCCACTACACCACTTCCGCTGCTTCACCACACCTTCACCATGCCCTGTGACAAGAAAGAGGACGAGTTTAAGGAGGACAACAAGATGGAGGACAAGGCCGACACAATCACCAAGGACAAGGAGAAGACTTCGGACAGCTCCCCTGCCGTCCCCAAGATGATGGGAACTTGCTGAAAATGCAAGATTCCTTGCTTCGAGCCCGATCAGCTTTGTCACCGCCAAAAGCCTAAGTGGGTACCGTTGTAAGGTACCCTGACCGTAGATCTGTTGACACTTGGAAACAAAGAGACTCGGTGTGTTCCTCTGGTGACCTGCAAAATTCGAGGTTTAGGAATAGCGCATCTTCATACAATAGACACAGTTGTGTTTAGTTACCTGAGAGTCGAGGGAGTCAGTTCTCAGCTCAGACTTTCTCATTCTTGCCCAACTTCGGAAATATCGCATTCTCTGGCATGTAAGCCTTTTCGTTCTGTAAGCCCCAACAAGAAAGAAAAGACGGGCTTTGTTCGCTTGACGATCGAATCTTTGCCTTGAGCACAGAGCTGCATATACGTAGCACGATAGGCAATGGAACCCAAGTGACTCAACATCGAGCCATCAGATTTCTGGAGACATATCACTCATCTTTGGCGTACGTATGGGGACAGGACTTCGAGGTAGAGTTTTACCCGTTCTTTTTCTCCAAAACAATAAATATCTGCTAAATGCCCGTCAAGGTTCACGGGTGGCACTGAGAACCGAAAGAACGTTCCCTAAAGCTGCTTGAATAGCCCCGGACTCAGCTATCTGTTTACAATGCCAACAAGGTGCTGTGGTGCCCAGGGACATATGTAGCACTTGGAGTTGTCGATACGTCCGATACTTTTGCGATACTCTAGCGAACATTCCGATGCAAGGTACACTTGAAAGGTCTTGTCAGGTTTCACAACATTAGTTCTGGACACGAGGACCACCCCTGCTGAGGACAGAACGGCAGAAGCTTGTCCTACACGGAGGATGGACAGTTAAGGCACGATACCTAGCCAGGTCTACCTGAGGCCTCAAACATTCAAAACGACTTCCCAATCTTCACGAAAGGTGTTTAGTTTCTATCAGCAAGTATCTTCTTTACAATCGCAGCATGTGCAATCGACCCAAAACACTGCAGGAGACTGCCGCCATGATGGCCGCGTACGATCGGGAGCAGGCCTACAAAGCCAGACAGGAGGGGATGGCCGGGGACAAGACCGACGCAACAGCAAACAGCGATGCCAAACCTTCAGAGACTTCTATTGCCGGCCCCAAACGCGAAGGGGCAGAACCTGAGAGCATTTGTCCATGTTGTAAGACGAATTGTCCCAGCTGGGCTTTTAGGAAGCAGTGAACGCCCTGTTGATAGTGGGGCTGAACATGGTGAAGGCTTGACTTGAACGGAGGAGCAAATTTGTCATTTGGGGATTTTCGACTACTGTTTTGATGAGAATACACGTGTTTGGTTGCAGGGCGTATTTCGAGCCAGAAATAGAAGATTGTTCATTTTGGTCAAGCCTAGAGACGGTGATTGCGACTGACAGCGTGTACTCTCTTCGTTGTTTGATGATGGTGGCCGACAATGACTATAAGCCAAACAGGTAGGTATGTAAGGTAGAAGGCAGTTGGCTGTATCGATTCCTGCATACCGGTCCAATAATTCGACTTCATACTGTTCACTTCTGGTGGAGCCCGGCGTCAAATAAATCAACCAGCCACCTGGTAAAGTATTCTTGGTCTAGAAAATAGTGGGCAAAGTTACCATATAGCAACGACAACCAATTAATCCACCCACCTCCCGTGCCTGATCCCAAGCACCACTTGTTCTCATGCCCCAGTACGCCAAACCACAAGTCATAATACCACTAGCGCACCTCGCCGACCATGGTCGAAGAGAAGAAACACACTGTTACTGAGAAAGAGGATGTTCAGAAGGACCCTAAGACGACTAGCAACAATGGTAAAACCTCAAACTACGCCTCCACTGCTGTCCCCAGGCTGAGCATCTGCAGCAAGTTCGTTCTGCAAGCGCCCTTGCCCCAACCCGCCTGGTTTTTGCGGCCACTGTTTGGCCGGTTTGACGAAATAAACGACAACTACCGGGTCATTATTTGGGATGCACTGAGGGATAAAACGGGAAGGTTGGGACACTCATACGGGGGGAATGACATGACAAGGGAGTGCCAGTGATAGTTAACTATTGCTTGATCTATGACTTTTGGTTCAAGAACAAAACCTGGTAGATGAACAGCGTTCCTGCCGTGACGTGCCAGGAGCTATCACCCCGGTCTTTACCCCAATTGAAGACATGGAAGTGCACGATGATATGGGCAAGTAACTGAATAGTGGCGAAAAATGCGCGAGAAGTTTGGTGATCCCTGCTTACCTTTTATACTGGCAGGTGTGGTGTTTGTTGATGGTTTGCAGTTTGGCTGGTTGCAGGAGTGGTACCTACTAGTGACTACAATAAATCCGGGCTTTCGCCCAGTTGTTCACCGCTTGCAAATTTCGGGCAGTTTAGTGAAGACCACTTCAAGTTTGCCACATTTCTCTTGACTCGAAGCAAAAGTCCACGTCTTTCTCCACAGATCGCTCACCGCTTGTATCTTCTCTGCGAGACCGTATCCTTGACTACGCTTTGCTTCATCCACAATGCACCCCGACCATCCTGTCAACAAGTCGCAGCGGAATAAGAACTCAACCCGGCTGGATGGCCTGGACCTCATCAGTACGTAGGTGCGTCCCTAGCCATTCTACACTATCACTGTAGAACGCTTATCGCGCGTGTTTCTTGTCAGGGCGGCCCGGATGTCAAAGGAATAACGCGCCTATCTATGTCCAACTTAAGAATCCGCGCTCGTTTCTTTGTGACCCCTCAGGGGCGTGCCTGGCCTCTACCGAGATATAGATAGAACAAAGCCAACAATTTGGCTTCAAAGAGCGGCCGGGCTCGTACCCATCGGCAAATATTGGAATTTAGTGTCACGAGGAGAAGGATCATCGTCATAATAAAGAGATCAATAGACTACTTTCCCTGAGCGATGGGTCTCACCTGCGTCGCCTTGCGGGCTGGAACCGTACCTTTGTCGGAGATGCTATTTCAACCCATTCATATAAGGCCGGCCCAGCGCTCCTCTCATCCGAAGACCATCTTTTGACTTCTCTTGTCATCTCTGTCCGCTTCCAAAAAAGAAACCATGAGAATTCCATCCGCCATCGCTGCCATCCTAGTGGCCGTTGCCTCCTTCTCCCCCGCTGGTGCCGTCCCCGTCGTTAGCGACGTCGAAGCTCGCGAGGCTGACCCATGGGGCCCGGTCTGCTTTTATGTTGCTAGGCAGCCCAAGAAGCCTTGCACCTACTGGAAGCAAAAGAGACAGGACACGCCGGTCATCACCAAGATGGGTCCCGGTCACGTCTATGTCCCACCTCTCCGATTTGGCGGTCTTGGCCACGTCTCTGTTGCTCCTCTCCCTGCGACCAGGGTTCAGGTCATCCCCATTGAGGACCCGACTCCCGCCCCGGCACCGACTGGCAAGCTTCAGGTCATTCCTATTGAGAAGAGAGCCCCTGAGCCAACGTTCGTAACCACCTTCACCGTTCCTCTTCTGACCGGTCTGCTGACACCGGGTGTTACAGTCAGGCCCACGTTTAAGACGACGATCACCATCTCGCCAGAGGCCACCTCCACCAGGCTGTCAACTATGACGCCTATCAGAGTGATCACTGTCACCCAGAAAATTTGGCCGGCTAGTCCTATTCCAACGTTCACCATCACATCCACTGCACCGCCAAGATCGATCCCAACGTTCACTATTACATCCATTCCCACGCCTGCTGAGCCGACCTTGGAGAAACCTACCAACATCGATTTGACCTCCACCTTCCAGCCTTCGCCTACCCTGGAGGTACCAACCAACATTGATCCGACTTCCACATTCAAGCCAAGTCCACCCCCAAGTCCAACTTTGATTACCAGCCTGAACTTGGGTCCTCTGGTACCTCCCACCACAACCCCAACGCCATCCCCAACACCCATCGCAATCCCCACCGAGGGATCGGAATTCAGTTCTCAACTCACCTTTCCACTACTTCCTCCCGTTACTGCTCGCGCGTTACATCCTTCCCACAAGGAGGTGATCATCGAGCTGAAGCCGGATGTTTAAACCTGTCTTTTGCTTTCTTTGCAGATATAGTAATCCAAAAAAAAATGAATACAAGAATGACTTCAACCAATCTTCGTGACATCCCTCCCTATTCATCCCCAAAGTCCTCCGTAACCATCCTAAAGACCTTATCCCCCTTATCAACCCTCACCACCCACCTCCATCCCTCCTCCACTCCCTCCCTCCTCTTGATATCAACCTCAACATCCCTATCAGGAGCCATAATCTGCCCCGCAGCCCCCGTATTCCAACTGGTCGGCGCCTCCCACCCTTTCTCCTTGTCCACCGGCTCCATCTCCAACCTCGCGACAAAAACCGCCACCACAGCCAAAATCTCATTCGTAGCAAAGTGCCTTCCGGGGCAAAGCGTCTTGCCTCCTCCAAAGGTCCTAAAACAACTCTCCTTCGGGCGAGAAGATTTGTTTTCGGGCAGGAACCTCTCCGGGACAAAATCATTGACGTTCTCCCCCCAGAGCTTCGGGTCAGAGTGGACTACCCTAGTGGGCATCTGGATGAGCGCGCCTTTCTTGAGGAGATACCCGTCCAGGTACGTGTCCTGCGTTACTTCCCTCACTGGCGTGCCCATCCCCACATAACGAAGTGTTTCCTGGTAGGAGGACAGCAGCAGAGGGCAGTTGGCTTTCAACGTGACAATGTTGATTGTCCTTGTGACCGTCCCGTCCTCGCCACGAGCAGTCTCAATACACGCCTCCACTTCAGCCCGGATGGACGCCAAAAGGGCAGGGTTGGCGTGGACGTAGAACAAGGTCCAAAAGGCAGCGGGGATGGTGTTGACCATGATGGCGATCGTGCCCCCGATTTCAATCTTGGCGATGTCCTCGACGGGGAGCTTATTCCGTGTGGCGACACCGTAGCGGAGGCGGGTGAGGAGGGAGGCCGACTCCTGCCCGTTGGAGGTGTAGTATTTGTAAAAGGCTTGGGAGACCTTGGCTCGGGCGGCGATGGCTTTGCGGGCGAAGAGGGTGGGGAGGATGTTGATTATGATGGGCATGATGCCTTGCTCGAATTCCCAGAAGGCGTCGGCGATCGACTGGTCGTTGTAGGGGTTCATAGGGCCGTAGACGGCTCTGGTCGTGGCCGAGGTGAGGGTTGTACGAAGCCAGGAGTAGAGTTTTATGCGTTTTGTTTGGCCAATGGGGGGTTCGAGCAAGTCGAGAGAGCTGGAGACTTCACGTAACATGTCGCGGTTCATCTCGTCAATGTTGGATGGTTTGGTTCCGTCTCTCAAAGCGATGTGGCTTTCGTGAGCAACGCCGTGGTCACCGTCATCGCCGTAGACGTTGTGCTGTAAGATGGCGTCTGATTCCTTGCTGCTGCCGGCTATGATGCTTGAGAATTTCATGAGGATGGGGTCGATGGAGAAGGCTCGGTGTTGCCTTTGTATCGACTGGATCAAGTCTGGACTTGAAACGACGTACATCTTCTGTCCTGGGAGCGGCACAGTGAAGATTGGCGCTCCAGTTGCTGCATAGACATCAGAGTAATAGTTGTAGGTTCGCTTGTATAACCCAATTATGTGGCTGATGATTGGAATACGCTGAGGAGCGAGTGGAGGTTCGCGCGGGTCGTAGTCGAGGAGCTTGCGAATGGCCAAGTACCCCAGGGTCACAGCCCCGGAGACGGTGGCAAGCCACAGTCTTGGGTCCATCGTAACTGTGATGTTGGCGATGGTGAAGCTTGACAGTGGTGATGTTGATGCGGGGGAAAAAGAGTTTAAATTGGCCTTTGTGGGACGTCAGCTTCGTGCCTGAAGTTCTGTTGGCTCTGCCCCCCCTGTAGGGCTGTAAGCGTGGCGTTCTTGAACAGGTCTAAGACATCGGCGTTGGTCCAATCGGCAACATTGTAGATAAGCGTTGACGGTGAGCGCCACCAACAAAGTCGCAACGCATTGTCTGTTGTTTCTCTTGGGAAATCCGAAGCTGGGAATGTTGGTTGTTTTATTGGATGTGGAAGGAAGAGTGGAAACACGAAAAACAGAGCCCGGTCCCACGCAAAAGGTCCGCTCGACTTCGATCTATGGAATAGTTCAGTTAGAAGCACGTCAGAATCTCTAATGCACTTTTACCAACCAACCGCAAGCCAGATAATAGATGTCCATTTCACCACGCCTGCATGAACAACTTGCAAACCACCGTCACGTCTCTTCTCGAAGAGTCGGAACTTCGAACCTGTCCATGGTCGATGGGACCGGAAGGCGATCGACTCAACTTTTTCTCCCACTCTCAGATTTCAATGGCAGCCACCTCAGTGCCGTCCCCAAAGCGGCTTGGAGGGTGATCGCAAGCTTCTCCTCTTTGCACCCTTTCGAATGTCTTTTTATTCAAAGTTTGTCTCAGAAGCTTGTGCCTGGTGACTTTCAGTTTCCGTTACATCAGAAATCCACTTTCCTGCTGACGAATTGGCGGGGACGGTGATTGCAGGACTTTGTTGTTTTACCCTGGAGAATCACCGGATTGGTGGAAATTGGCGATGCTGGAGCCCCACGACACCCACAAAACACCACGCAAGTCATCGTTCCAGTACCCTGGTATACTTGCCCGACAAGTTATCCGAGGGCGATCGCCGTTGGACGGACGCGAGGACGAGAGCGCAAAACCTGCCATGGCTTCCAAACATGTCTTCGGAACCACTTCACCTAGCGCGGAGAACACGAGGGCAAGGATCTTGGAAAAACACACAAGCGGCCAGGTTTCACCAAGAAAAGATTCTCCGCCTTGCTGGAGCAGGACCAGGCTATCTTGAGCAAGGGTATTGCTAACAGGTCGTAGATCCATGATTGGAGTTATCAGCAAATCGTGTATAAATCCTCAGTCATATAACCTTCCGTCCCAAGATGTTGGTTCGCTACTACCAGACCCAGGACCATCCGAGCCTTCCCTGTCAGATCTACTACTCCTTCAAGCGCCTAACTTGACGACATCGAGCCACCATGAAGCTCCTCGGTCTCAGTGTATTTCTCGCTCTGGCACAGGCCACACCTACCCCTACTCTCCCTGAGGAGAATACGGTGAGGCTCGAGAAAAGAGCCAGTATGTCAGAGGCAGCGACTCTGGGATTTGCCTCTTTGAACGGAGGGTCAGTATCATTCCCTTGTCATCTCTCTTTTAATCAAGGCCGACAACTAACAAGCGTTTCCACAGAACGACTGGAGGTGCAGGTGGTACAGTAACGACTGTGTCCACGCTCCCTGAGTTCACCGCCGCTGTTGGCGAGAAGAATACGGCCCCAACCATCGTGGTAATTCGTGGAGTCATCACGGGCAACGAGAAGGTCCGCATTGGGAGCAACAAGAGTATCATTGGCCTGCCCGGTTCTGGCCTGAGGGGCATTGGCTTGCACTTCCGCAGACAAAACAACCTCATCGTGCGCAACATCGTCTCCTCCTTTGTTGTGGCGAGCACCGCTGAGGATGCACTCAAGATCGAGGTCAGCTCCTACCTTTCATTCCTCCTCGCCTGGTAGTAATCGCGCCTACTAACGACCGCCCAACAGGGAAGCACCAACGTCTGGGTCGACCATTGCGAATTCCACTCCACCCTGAACAGCGACAAGGACTTCTATGACGGCGCTGTTGACTCGTCCCACGGCTCCGACTTCATCACCGTCTCCCACACCTACTTCCACGACCACTGGAAGACCTCCCTCGTCGGCCATAGCGACAATAACGGCTCCCAGGATAAAGGTAAGCTGCGCATTACGTACGCCAACAACTATTGGAAGAACGTGAATTCACGTGCACCGCTTCTCCGCTTCGGAACGGCCCACATCTACAACTCTTTCTACGAGAACATGAGCTCGGCTGTCAATACCCGAATGGGCGCTCAGGCGCTAGTTCAGAGCAACGTCTTCCGTAATGTTACGGCTGCCGTCGTCAGCCAGGATTCCAAGGAGGTCGGGTTTGCGGTTCTGGAGGGCAATGAGCTTGGTGGCGGCCTTGCCAATGCGCCGGCTGGGAACTTGGGGTCGAGCAGCATTCCCTATTCTTTTTCTCTGCTGGGTGCCGGTGCGGTGCCGTCGAGGGTGCCTGCTGAGGCTGGTGCTATTCTCAAGTTCTGAGTGTCGGTCTTGTGTTGCGGACACATGAACATCATATCATACATGTAAATATGCGCAACCTCTGATATACCTATCTTCAACTCATCCTGGCTTTGGCCGACATGTGGCCGTCTTCTCGGAACTCTTTCGGCATGTTCGGTGCTTATCATCTCGCCTTGTACCACTTCTTTGGTAAGTCAAGGGCTTGACCCGCTGAGTACACTCGGCTTCTTCGGTAAGCCCCGGGCTTATCGGCTCGCTGAGTAGGACTTATTCGGTTAGTCCAGTGTTTATCTCATAATCTGCGGTGAGCGCCTGACACTACCGTTTACAAGCGGCTACCTCAAAACCGTAGAGACTTCAAACGGGAATCCTGCCCTTTCAAACGGATAGCAAAGCGCAAGACTTCGGATTCTACTCACCTAAGATACCTATCTTGGACAATCACTACCTCGGTCCAACTCTGACCGGGCACCGTTGCGTACTCAGCAACCCCGTGGTGGCTTCGGTGGCTTGGATTTGGGTCATTCGTGCTTGCAGTTGCCTTAGTAAGAGCACCCAGTCAGCGTCTTGTGATGACTCGATTTACACCACACGTCATTGTTTTTTCTCGGAGTTGTCGTCCTCGTCGCTTTGGCTTCCGTCTGGGGGGCAGAAACACATTCAACTTGATCAGGTTAAATAACATGGAAAAGAAAACTATAAGAAGCTGAGCTGCCGTACTACCTGCCTCATCATGGAAAACATCAGGTTGAATCAGCACATTGAAACAGAAGAGATCATACAACTCAAACAACGACAATATGAGTTCCCTTCTCTCGATCGCCTTGATGGCCTTTCTCGCTATCACCTCAACGGCGTCACCCCTAGCGGCGAACTCGAAACCGTCCACGACCGCCGCCTCGGTCCCCACATATACACCCCTTACCCCAGCCGAGATCAAGGCCCTGCAGACTGAGCTACTCCTCGCCCCCTCGTACAAGGACAAGGAGAAGGTCCTCTTCCCCCCCAACAACGGCGGCAGCGCCAACAACGTCTCCTTCCAGTTCGTCCCCAACAACGGCCCAGCCCCCCAGGACGGCAGCGTCATCGTCGGCAGCGTCGACTCCATCCCAGGCCTGATCGGCACCAACGTCGCCGCAGCCATCGGCTTCATCGGCCCCTGCGGCCTCAACGTCCCCCACCTCCACCCCCGCGGGAACGAGTTCCTGACCGTGGTCAGCGGCACCCTCATCGGGGCCTTTCTCCTCGAGCCGGACGGGCCGTTCGTCGGGGACGTCCCCCAGGTCGCCATGACGCTGAGCAACTACACCGGCATGCTGTTCCCGCAGGGGCACACGCACTGGCAGTTCAACCCGACGTGCGAGCAGGCTGTGTTTTCGGCCGCGTTTGACAGCAATGATGAGGGACGGTTTCAGGTTGCGCAGACCTTTTTCTCGTCCATGCCTGATAATGTGCTCACGGCGAGCTTGGGGAATCCTACGTTTTTGGGACCGAAGCAGCTGGATCAGCTGAGGGGGATTATCCCTAGTGCTTTTGTTGTCATGGTGGATAGTTGTGCCAAGGCTTGTGGGATCAAGACTGCTTAGGTGGTTGGTCACTGGCTACCTCAGCTAGGTAGGGGGTTCCGTGGGTGGATGGGAGACTCCAGGATGGCGGCTGGGATTTTTTCAGAGGGAGCGAGTTTCGATTGGGGGCATACATGTAGTTAGTGTTGGCTAGTTCTGCTTGGGTTGATGAAGGGAAATGCAGGTGGTGTGGGTGCAGACTGTGGTGTGTTTGCATTATCATCGTTTTTGTCACATAGATATTCGGTAGCAAGCTTTTGGGCCGTTTCTCGATTTTCTTCTATTGCCAATAGTTATGAAACCCCATCCCTAGTCTAAAAATGAACGCTAAAGACACCGGCTCGAACCAGCTCTTGTTCACCTAGTCATGCTCTGCCAAACAGGGGGCCTGCATACAGCATTGAGTGCCAGAGACAACATAACCGCCATGTGCGCGCATCCTCGCGAGCCTCCCTCTTTCTCAGCACCCTCCAAGCGATGAACCCGCTCAGGCCAACCGACAAGGCATAGGTGCGCCATGTAAGCTGCCAAAAGGAGGCGCAGGCGCAGGACCAGAACAAGACGCAGAAGGCCAGCGCCAAGCGCGCCACTCCGTCCCCAGAAAGGAGAGGGACGGTCTTCCGGCTGCGCTGGCGATCACCTGCCTGGTCCTTGAGATCCTGGATGTGCATCGTGGTGAGGATAACGGCGCTGATCAACGCCGTCCACGCGTGGCCGCGATGAGTGGCGCTGTTGTGGGGGCCGATGGCCAGCCGGAGCGAAGCCAGGTTGAAAAGACCATATGATATGGCTATGATGGCATCACGGAAGACTGAGTCGCCGGCCGTGAGGTCATTGTAGTACCATCTAAAAAGCTGGATCAGGAGGCCCTCATTCCGGACATTGAAGCTGTAGTTCAGTCACAGTGCCACCGGAAGGAGGCAGAGGAGTGCTTGGCGAGTCTTCTCTGGGGTGATCTTGCCCGATGGGATCGGACGCCACGGTTTGTTTGCACGGTCTTCAGCAATCGACTCGGGCGATCGTTGGTTCGCAAGGTCAAAGGTCAAGAGGTTATAGGCGCTGAACAGGAGGACCGTGGGGCAACGCTTAAGGATGTCGACGGGTGACGGATCTGGTCCGGCGACGAGTCCAGTAGAGTTCCCAGCCGCTGCTCCTATGATGCCAAATATCGTGTTGGGAACAGCAAAAGTGAGAAAGTCACTCTCGATAAATTCCCAAAAGATTCGGGACTACCGGGTCAGAGAAGAGACGAGGGACCGAGCCGGCGACGACATCCTCCGGGGGAAAGACTGGCAAGAACGTCGGGTCTGTAATAGGAAGGCGAAGTCACCGGACGGCCGTCAATGAAACCAAACTCTCATGAACCCCATCTGCCGTATTTATATACCTTGGCTTATTTACGAGATTCGCAAAACTAGGTCGGTAGGTTACCCATCACTTATCCACCGAGGGAAGATGATGGCGGTGCGCACGGCCGGCAGCGCATTCCTTACGGCATAACGGTTACGCTGTGGCGTGGCAGAGATAACATGGGCGTTGGTTATGTTAGTGCTGATCCCCCCTTGAACGGTTGTAACCTATCAGAGAATAAATACTGGCTACCGAAAAACGGCTCCATCAGACCCCCTCCAGACCTCTCGAACCTGTCATCCCGCACAAGTCCCTTCAAGTTCATGTCGTTCGAGAACTGCTAACCTGCCGTGCACCTCACGCACCTATCCACTGCGCTTCCAGTCTGAGCACTTTTGCACTAGTCCGTTCTCACCATGATTAGAGGTTCTCAAAGCTATTCTCTGCTGGGATGGATCGTCTCCTTCATCATCATTTGTAGCATATTCGTCTTGCTGCGCTTCTGGTCCTCGAGGATTCAGAAGAGAAAGTTTTATGCAGATGACTTCCTGGTGCTGCTTGCGCATGTATGTGACATCACGCATTCAAGTCCGAGCCTGTCTCTCTTGTACATACCTACTGACACCGCCGACCGCAGATTGCCATGATTGCAATGGCCAGTGTTACGATATGGGGCATCGTCAATGGTCTCGGGAATCCGGCGACGGAACTGAGCATCGATGAGTTCAAGGTCATGGCGCAGGTACTCGTCGGCGCGTCCGTCACCTGGACTGTGTCGACAACCGTCGTCAAAATGGCCGTTCTTTGGCTGTACACGAGAATCTTCGACGTCGTCATCTTCAGACGCATCGCATATGGCCTGATCGGGGTGTGTGCCTGCTACGGTATCGCCTTTGAGATCGTCTTCATCACGCGGTGCAACCCGGTGTCGCAGGAATGGGATCCGGTGCCGTGGGGTAGCTGCAAGGACCCCAAGGAGACGCAACTGGCGTCAAACTCGATCAACCTCGTTCTCGACGTTGCCATTGTCGTCTTGCCAATGATCCCTCTGTGGTCACTCCAGATGGCACTGACCAAAAAGCTCGTCATCACGGGCATGTTTGGCTTTGGTTTCGGGTAAGTCCTGGCAGCTTTCATTTCAAGAGGATAACACGCTTACCAGCATACCTATCAGCACCGTAGCCGTAATGCTCTACAGAGTCTACGTGACAGTCCACGCCAACCCGGATCCCGCCCTCGCCCTCGCCGACGTCGGTCTTCTCAGCTTCATCGAGCTCTGGCTCGGCATCATCGTCGCCTGCGTGCCCACCACCGCTCCCGTCTTCAGGACCTACGTCAAGCCGACGCTCTTCAAAGCGCTCAGCCAGTTCTGCGGATACTCGAGAAAGACAATCTCCAACCCGATCGAGACGATCGGCGGGTCAGGCAAAGCCTCTGGCGGCCGTTCTGGCCACCACCACAACTTCCGAAGCAACCGTGACTACGCCGAGCTCTCGATCGCATCCACCTTTGACAGCCGCCGGTCCTCTGACATTTCCCTTGTGCCCCCTTCCGGCGCCAAAACTCGGACTCACTGCGGTCCCGGTGGGGTGGTTGGATCCCCTGGGCTCCAAGGGGGGGTCTACGTGGAGCAGCAGTTTCACGTGCAGGAGCTAGGAAATAACAATCGCATTCGGTGAACTTGAAAAGAATAGAATTGGACCGAAAGGTCCAAATTGGAGATAGCTGGCGAACATGAACGTAAGATATTGCCATATTGAGAAGGAGAGCATCGCGTGACTGGCTGCCCGATTCTCGAAAATGGTGTAAAGGCGTGGCACGGCGCGCCCCATGCCGCAGCGGTCCTTCCAGTGTTAAACGGCTGATTGTGAAGGAAGAGATCAATTACGTGACTGTGCCTCAGAAAGTCTTCCGCAAACATTCCAAACTCTTTTCCAAGACAACTGAATATGATCCCGTGCCCGAGGGTTGTATTCTGCAGTCAGATCACGACATTAATATGGGAGGTTGTCGGTGGGCTGTATATACCAGCCTAGCTTATCAGCGTGATTGTTTGTCTACTGTAAGGATGCAGTGAATGGTTCGCATAGATTCAATTGAGGCCCCAGAGGATCGGATCGGGGAGTTGGACGACGTTGGTCTGGTAAACGCTACAAGCGCCACCCACTTGCACCACCACCAGAACTGGGCCTGCCCCACAAGGCGGTCTCTGGTAAAAGAACGAGTGTAAGGTAGATGTACCGATTACCGTGCCTGTACATGACTCAAAGAGCCCAACGGGCTGTCTTCATGACAGGAGTACCATATTCTCCATAGACACCAGGCCTTTTATAGTTCTTCAGTCCATGAGAGAAGCCTACTCTTCCTACCAAGCTCCTGGACGCAACGCCTGGCAACTCGGCACAAAGCTTTCATCTCACACCATCATGCTCGTCCATAGCCTGACCAGCCAGGAGTTCCTCTGGGCCGGTGGAGCTCTTTCGGGAGTTGCCATCCACCTAACACTCTTCATCCGTGGCGAGTGGCATGTTCACGCTCCAGAAATCCTCTGTGCCTACGGCGCCCTCGTCGCTGTCTCAACCCTGGCCGGAATCCTCTATGAAGCCACAATCATCGGGCAGGCACTCGCCTGCCACTTGCTAGGTCTGACTGCCAGCATCATCACCTATCGCATCTTCTTTCATCGCTTGACCCGTGCCGGGTTCCCGGGACCGTTTTGGGCCCGCTTCACAAAGCTAGGTCATGTGTGGTACTTTCGACACTCCAAGAACAACCTGTACCTGGATGAGCTGAATGCAAAGTATGGGGACGTTGTGAGGACTGGTATCAAAAAGCCCCTTTTTCAGAAGTAAAACACCATCTAACGTTTTTCGTTTGTCTCACGCCCTGCCGAGGTCACGGTATTCCTCCCTGAGGCTCCCGACGTCATGACAAGCCGCCACTCCAACTGCGTCAAAGCTGAATTCTACGATCTGATCTGGCCTGAAATGGCACTGTTCGCTGCACGGGACAGAAGTGTCCATTCGAGGCGGCGGCGAGACTGGCAGCCTGCTTTCTCTCCTCAAGGTTAGTCCTACCCCTTCAAAAAAACGGAATCAATACCTAGCGATCCCGGCTAACTGAACCGCCAAGCTATCAGACATTATTGAAGAAAAGGTGCTGTTGCACATCGAAGAGCTAGATCAGCAGCTGGAGTTGAAAGCAAAGAGCGGCGCCGTCGTGAATGTCATCGACTTTTTGCTCTGGTTCACCTTTGATCTGATGGTGATCAAGGATTGGTACGAATCAGTCGACTGGTGCCAGGAGCAGATCCAAGCACGCCTAGCCAAGGGGCCGGCGCCGGAGCTACGAGATCTCACTTATTACATCATGGAGAAGGAGAAGGAGAACAAAGTCGATGCTGGGCCTTGGCTCAGGGGGGATAGTCTGCTCGCCGTCTTGGCGGGAAGGTCAGTTTTCCCTCTACCTTTGTGCGCCCAGTGACCGCTGATGCACAGTCAAATAGTGAGCCAACCGCGCAAGCCCTCGCCGCGGTCCTCCACGAGCTGGTGCTGCACCCAGAGCATATCGACAAGCTCCACGCCGAGCTGGGAGACACATGCCTAACCGACACCAACGCCCTGGCCGAGCTCCCCATCTCAACGCCGTCATCCAGGAGGCCATGCGCCTCCACCCATTCCTGCCCATCGGCGGAATCCGCAAAACCACCGACACTGGCGTGACCATCCGGGACGTGCACATACCGCCTCACACGACAGTCCTAACTCCTCTTTACACCATCTCCCGGCGTGAGTCTCGGCCCATCCCTTATCTCACCGATATTAAACTAACCTTGAAATGTCACCCAGGCGAGGATTGCTTCGAACAGGGCTCCTCCTTCATCCCAGACCGGTGGACCACCCGCCCGGAGATGGTCCGCAACGCGGCCGCCCACGCCCCGTTCAGCTTGGGCAAGTACAACTGCATCGGGCAGCACCTCGCCATGCGCATGATGCGGTACACGCTTGCGCCGGTCATCAAAAAATACAGCCAGAGTGTCACTTCCAGGGAAATCTGCTTCTGGTTTTGGAAGACATACTACCAAAATTTGAGGACAATTTCTCTGCCATCATGATACGCTCACTCCCCTCGATGTATATTGATAGAGGGTGTTGTTAAATGTAAGCGCTGGTCGAAAATGGAAATCGGAAATAAAATCGGCGGCGAAAAGATACCTAGGACCTCGGGTAAATACGAACGGAATCCACGTTCCTGGCTGTTCTTATTTTTAAAAGTGATGCCCTTGCGGTACTATACTAGGTTGATGTTAGTCTATGCGTACATTCCTAAGGTGCAAGACGAGTGGCAAGACTCGCATACCTATCCATACCATATTAGCTTGGCATGTTGTGACGAACCCCTATTGGTATCCAGAACCTCTGAAAGGGATACTCTGTTGAAGGTGCTTCTAGACAATCTGGTTCGGTACAGCTAAGAAGTGCACAACAAATGGCTTATCTCAATCTAGATGTCATATCTTCCTCGGAAACAAAACCACTGCTCCTCCCCCTCTGTCCCACACTCAACCTCTCATTTACATGCACCTGTCTTGATCTATTTGGCATTAAAGCATTTCACAATGTCCTATACAGAGTTATGCAAACTGGTCGGCGCCAAAGCAAATATGTCTAATGCCGGACACTCCAACGTGGGATTCCCCAGCATCTGAGGACTCCAACCAGAAAAATAGAAAAGTATCAAGCGGTCCGAGGTTGAGGAGGTGACAAAGCATTCAGGAGAGAATGTAAAGGGGTTTCTGCCAAGTATCATTCTCGCTCCCATAACCCCAGTGATACACACTGACCCTTGACTGGCAGAGGACCAACCCGGCGGGGTGAACAGGTTGTACGAGGAGAATGGGTGTCCCGCTTTGCAGGTTGCAAGCGCTTAGAAGTACACTAACAATTTTGTTTTCATTAATACAGCTGAAGAAAGAGCAGGCCGAGGCCAAAGAGAAGGACCCAACCCTTGCGGCAAATACTCCTCAAAACCTGCGGATTTGGGTTGGACTGACAGATGCACCGCAGGCAACCCTCCACAACAACAGGCCCTCCATGGGTGCACTAGTTGACAAGGAGATCGAGGAAGATGAGCGGGCAATGCTTGAGAAGAAGAAAGGGAAAGATATGATAGGGGAGAGTTATTATTAAGTGACGGATCTCATTCAATCCGGAATAGCTATCTAGTCTCAATCTGGCTCTCAGGTTTCTCTATCCCTCTTAACAATCTTTCAGCTTTATCAGAGCCAGAAAAGTGCCATTTTCAGGGAAGTCTGATTGTGATCTTGGAAGACCTGCTACTTGAACGTGTCCCTATGACTTTAATCGCAGGAGCAATAGAAGATGATCGCCACAAAATGCCAGTGCCATCACGGAAAGTCCCAGTTTTCGCTCGACCTAAGGTAAGCGCAATAATATATTTCACGGTGAGTGAAGTTATCTAGCTATTAACCGTTACAACTTTCTTGTGCTAGTAGAATATTGCATAGTCTGGGCAGGCGTTATATCAGCAAAGTGCGCTGCTAGAACTCTTGTGTTCAACATGGGTGCTGGGGAAGTAGGGAGACTAACGAGCTGCGCAGTACCTGTCGCTTCTTTGGTATATGCCCTTAAGGCATCCTGCGAACTGGCAAGCGTCTTTTCTAGACGATCAGTATTGCACAAAATAGACTTGCATGCCCGACTTACGTTGTGAGCAGTATGTGGCTCCTTGAGATGGGCTACGCTTCCTGAAGCACCCTGATTCTGCACATGCATCTTTTATGTCGATGGATCCTATCGTTAGCCCAATCCCAGCTTGTGAAGTGAGGCACACGTACGTTGAGAGCAATAATCCGAAGCCGTCTTAGTCCCGGTTCCATAGTGATAGCTTGTGGCTTTTGGATTCGCGCAACCTAGGCTTTTGCAGCCGTCTTATGGAAGTCTTAGTGCATATATTTGTGGGCGGAAGGAGTGTACGATGACAAATATTTAGACTTACGGCGTGTGCAATATCTCTTTCCCGCTTGTGCCTCTCTGTTGCAGTAGGTTGCATCATTACCAGCGCAGCTATGTGGCATCCTTTCGTTGCTTGTCCTTGGTGACTCCCTCAGTCAGAATTGTGGAATATAGTTAGTCAACAAGTGTTATAGAGAGGATATATCGAAGGTGTTGTTGCTGAACTGTGGAAGTAAGTAGGTTGGCAAGCTGCATCCCTCACATAGTTGCGTATGAAGATAAGGGGAGTGGTAGAAACAGGTTCTATAAGTAAGACAAAACTGCACAAAACAAGGCGACACGACAGTGCCCAGCCGCCGCCAGTCACGTATTATCCAATCATTAGGTTTAAGCCTCACTTTTACCAAGAAGGCAACCATCAAGGCACTGTACCCGGTGGAGGTCATGCATGCAAGCTGGCGTCCAATCGATCTGCAGCAGGATGGTCTGGCAGGTGGTGCCACTGCATCTGCCACGTAACAGGGGCGCTTAGTACGCTCAGGAGACTGAGCGACGAAGCAGTGTGCTCAGCCTGCTCAGGGACTGAGCATGATGAGCACTACTAAGGGAGGTCTATATATACGGAGAAACTAGATAGCTTGTAGATAGTTCCGCAGTATGCAATCACAGCTTGTATTCACGGTATCTTGTGTTTACATTGAGACATCTTGTTGTGCGCTGTTTAGCCGCACCGAACCAGGATTATTCAGAAGTGCCTTCGACCAGTATCCCTTTCAGAGGTTCTGGATAGGGGTTCGTCACAACTAAGTAAAAAAGAAAAACTGGACTGTAGTTAAGACGTTCTAAGACGAATCAACTTAAGTTTTATGTTATTTTATTTTATCTATTTGCAGAGTATTCGAACTTAAACATGGTTAATTTGGATATGTACATACCTAGGTATGTTTCAAAGTTGAAATTCGTTAACGTGTGGCACATAATAGATGCCGGGTAAGACTTAGGTGTTGAGGTGCCGGGTAGGTCTTCCAACTTCTTCCCTATAAACCTACCCAGAAAATATCAAGGGAAGATTTGTTAGCTGTCGAAGGATATCGAAGTCTGTAGAACTAAACTATACTCTCTACAGCTTAGTTGTCCCACAGAGTACCTTGCTACTCTCCAAGGGCCCAGTGCCCTACAGAACCTGCTGGAAGACCAGCACACTTGTATAAGTAGACCTCTCCTCTCCTCTCAATCCTGTATGTAGAAGAAAGTAAGCACAAGCAAGTAGCACAAGTCAATAATATACATGCACTAAAAGCCTCTGTATTAGACTAAGTACAAGCACTCAAAGCCTCTGTACTGTGACGTCTTGCCCCGGGGCGTGTAACCCCACACCCCCACCCTAATCCCAAAGCGGCAACATATTTCCCTCGACGAGGAAGAACAGGTTTTACCATCCTCCCGGGGTGGACGGGAGCGAGATGGAGGGGGAGAAGGCGGATCGGTTTACGTCTTTTGCTGGGCCGGTGCCGCTTGTTTTTGAGCTTAGATGAGGGTCTGGTGCTGTGGTATGGCGATGGCAGAGAGATGGATGCCGTGTACCTAGGTAGGTAGCTAAAGGTATTGCATATAACTGAGAATAACACAATTGTATGATTCAGTGTTGCAGCCTCACCACAGTCTGTACCAGTCTACACAGACTAGACAGAGCTTGAACGCGGCAGGAGCTGGCTGGAGCACGCGCCGCCTGCCACCATCGGTGACTGGGAAGGCGGTTGCCGTATTTTCCAAGTACATACTGCACCACGAGTGCCGGGTGTGTTATTGCCGGCGGGTAGGTCTGTGCCTTGCGTAGGGCAGTGGCACACAGCGGACGACCTTTCGGCATGTTCAGCCTGGGGATAGGCGGCTTGGATAGGGGGGTAGGTGCGGGACGTCTCACGGTTTTCGTAAAACGGATGGTTGGGTGGTTGGGTAGGGCTGAGCCGCATCAGGAACGGTGAGGGAGGGGTACCACAGTTCTGGAAGTGTGGTCTCGATTTGTTTGTTGGTGCACTTCTTGCCCGTCAGCGTCAGGGTAGGTAGCATTGTGGGGTCATGGACCGAGGAGTGTTGGTGATACAGCAGCAAGGCGGGCATCGGTGCAACCAACAAGGCGCGGAATAGCGAGCCGGATCATCTTGGTGCGAGCAAGATTGCCTATAACACCATGACTGGGCAAGGATGCTGCTGCATGGCGTAGGTACGGTGAGCGCATGGAGCGATGTGAAAACAGATATGTACCGATCGAGCGCGGTACTGGGAAGGATTTAATCGCCGAGGCATGTAATATGCAGAGTAGGTAGGTCGTATGCGATCTCCTTCCTATACTACATTGGACTTGAGCTTTCCAATAGGTAGACAGGCAATATATCAGCTTACTGTCCCTGTAAAAGAGCCGAGTGGCATAGAACGCACAAAGGTGTCTTGGACACAAATAGTAAGATAACCGCATACTGTCCTCGACGCCATATGTGAGAATGAAATCCTCGCATTCTTGCTGCATGCGATGCCAGGATCTTTGAGAACGAATCAAGCCATCAGCATCGCAACGCTGCATGCTCGGCGGCCTGAACAGAACCAACAGACTCTGGTTTACCCCAGAGGTCTCTACAGAGGACCTGTCGGGTGTCGCCCGGCTGATAGCACAGGTGGGGATGCCCGTGCATCTAAGCAGTCGAAAAAGCGCAGCAACAAACCAACGTGCATAATGAATGTATGTGGGATGCTGCAATCATCAGGAGTAAACCACACAGGGCTTCCAGCATGAAATCAACCAACTCTCTTCTACGCCGTACACTGACATCAACGTGCCACTTCGGTCGAAAGAGCAAAGGATGCCATGGTCGAGACTCTACCCCCACCTGGATTTAAGAAATAAACCCTCTTCCTGGAAAGTCCTGTATCGCCGAACACTTTTGTCCAACTACGAGACAAGCTGAATCGGGCAAGATGACTGAAAGTGTACCGCAGCAGGCCGAGTGCCTCGCCGCAGCGGGACTCCAGAACCGAATCCTTCTTCCCACTTCTCCAGAATATGCATCCCGAATCGAAGCATACTGGAGCAAGAGCTCCCAGCTCAAACCGGCTTGCTTCATAGAGCCAACCTCAGCCACCGAGGTCGCCGACGCACTGAAGGCCCTGGTTGCTGCAAAGCAAACCTTCGCCGTCCGCTCCGGGGGGTGCAACTTCTGGCCAAGCAACAACATCGACCATGGCGTCACCATTGATCTTGGTCAGTTGGCCTGGATCAAGTACAACCCCGATGACGAGACAGTGAGCATTGGGCCAGGCGCGCGTTGGGGCCAGGTTTGTTCTCTCTCCTTCTCCCTGCCCTTCATACTCCGTGTGGGATGATGCCAACTTCAGCTGCGGCTAGGTCTATGAATACCTCGCCAAATACGACCGCGCAGTGGCAGGCGGCCGTGAAGCTAGAGTGGGCGTGGGCGGACTACTCCTCGGCGGCGGTAACACTCTCTTCACGGGGCGTCGCGGTTTTGCCTGCGACAATGTGATTGAGTACGAAGTCGTCCTGGCCAACGGAAGCATCGTCAAAGCCACCGCCAGCGGCGAGTACAGCGATCTTTTCAGGGCGCTCAAGGGCGGCGGCAATAACTTTGGTATTGTCACCTCCTACACCATGCCCGCAATCCCATGCGCTTCCATCTGGGGCGGGCTCGTCATACTCCCCCCAGATATCATGCCTGCGGCGGCCGACGCCTTTGTCGATTTCACTAGCAACCTGGAAAAAGATCCAGACAGTAACTTGATCCTCATGATTGCTCATCTCGAGCCCAAGCCGGGCACCGTGATTGCCGGCTTGTACGCGAACGTGGCGGGTGTCGAGAAGCCGCCAATCTTCGACAAGTTCCTCACGTTCCCCGAGTTGTTCAAGACATACAAGAAGACAACCCTCGTTGAGTGTCTGAACGCAACGGCCCAAGGGACAGGCTATCAGTAAGCCCACTTTCGTCTTCGTTACAAGGCAGTCCGGTAACTGATGTACATCGGTGCTAATCATCATCCACAGCGGCGTCTGGTTTGCCTCCTCTTTTGCCAACAACCCGGCCATCCTCCGACGGGCCGCAGAACTACACCAGGAGCTGGCAGCTGAGTTTGAGGCGCACATCACCGACCAGGACTTCCAGACCCAGTGCATCTTCCAGCCGCTGCCGCGCGCCTTCGCGCAGAACTCGGTCAAGTTGGGAGGCAACATGTTAGGGTTGGAACGTAACAAGGTCGACGGTGTGCTTTGGAGCGCACATATCATGGTTCGGACAGCGGAGCAGGAGGCGTGGGCCTACCCGCGTGTGCGCGCTTATGTTGAGAAGGTGCGCGCTTACGCCGCTGAGGTCGACGGGCTCCTCCCCTGGATCACGGCCAACTACGCAAACCCGGAACAGCCGGTGCTGGAGAGCTACGGACCGGAAAATGTTGCGCGGATCCGGGAGGTGGCGAAGACGTATGATGCCGATGGTGTTTTTCAGACCTTGTGCCCCGGGGGGTTCAAGATTTCCAAAGTAGAGGGGTAGCAGACGCGCCTGAGGTTTTGAGTTCTAGGCAACGACCAGACAGCAATACAGAATACATGAAGATGAATCCAATGTATTTGTCCGTTTTTATTACTCAGTCCTCCTGATACATAGGCTGTTGGTCAACTTAGTTGGGGGCTGGTGCAACCCCAAGCGTTGAACAGGTCTCATTGACAGACCTCGGCACACACCACGCTACCTGGTAATTATACTTCCACAACACTCCTTTTTTGCCTGCATATGCCGACCCAGAACAGCTGAAATACATACCTACCTACATTGCCCGAGGTACCTTACCCAAGAGGTTTATGGTGGGAGAGAATACTAGATCGTTCGAAGTCTTGGCGCTGCCCAGCAAAGCGTTGGCGTCCTGTTGATCTTTCTACCCATCAATTACAACATATTCCCTTTGCTTATCGCTATCCCCTTTAGCTTCCTCCCTCTCCTTTTCCCTTTCTCTTTTTTCCTTTTCCTCCCTTCCGGTCTGGCCTCCCGCACGATCGCTGGCCTCTTTCAAAACAAGCCTAGAGAAATGCGTGGCCAGACAGGTGTCAGTACCAAATCTCGCAGTTGGAAGGTCACTTGAGAAGATAACTAGAACCAGGCTTACCTGTGGTTGCCGACACGCTGCAAAACACGAACCTGTAGTCATGTCTTTCCACCATGACGTTAAGCACATTGGGCCTCAAGCACGTCCCACCCGGTAGATCGCAAGGACGGGATTTATGATACTGGGTTTGGCGTTGTGCCAGGTTCTCTCCTATCAACCTCATGGGGATGTCTACAGCCAGATTTATCGCCGTTCCACGCTCGGTCGAGCACACAACAGCATCACACGACCATTTGCACTGTTGGCCGGGACGGCCCCGAAGGGAAGGAGCAAAGATACGAGTCAAGCAGAGCGATGGGGTGGTTGTAACTGCCATAGGTTCCGTCGCACTGGCGGGCAACGTCGAAGGTGATGTCCTTGGTCGAGACGGCGGCTGACGGGGAGGAGGCAGTGTGAAGCCATTTGAGGAAGGGCATGAAGTACACCTTTGCCATAATGTCTCCCCCGTGAGCCAGGTCAAAAGCCACCCAGGCTTGGGAGAGGGAGGTTTCATGGGGAACTTTTGGAAGGAGGGAAGGGGCGGTCGAGGCGGGGAGGAAGAGGCTCCGAATGAACGTGTTGTACTGGCCGAGATGGATGCTGGGGATTGACTTGGTCATGTCGTGGAGGAGGCGGGTGGTCTGTTCTTGATTGTAAGGGTCGATCGGCGTACCAGCTTCGGGGACTGTGGCCTCAATGGTGAATCGTACGGTGCGGACGTTGGAGGTCTCTTTGAAGTTGACGCTCAGCTCCATGGGGGAGCCATCGGCCATGATGCGGGCGTTGAAAATGGGCTTTTTACCGGACTGGGGACGGCCGCCCAGGGCAGGGATAAAGCGGTTGTACCTGGTCGAGACTCTCGTCAGTCGAGCCCAGCGATAGAAGGATGGTAATAAACGAGGAAGAGGTTCATACCATTTACTATGAATCACGATATCCTGGTTGCTGTAACCGCTACTCTGCAGCAGTTTTATGAAAGGGAGAAGGGTAGTTTCGTGCCAGAACTCCTTGGAGTCGTCGTCGAATCCCTTGACGAAGGTATCCTCCTGGCGAGATACCTCAACGGCGACAGTAGGTGAGTCCATATTCGGGTAGAACTTCCCAGTTCTGATGATGGAAGAGTATGGTACGATGGATTATCGGTTGGTGTCCGATTTCTACACAGCTCCCTGTTTGCTTGACGGGGCATTTCTGCTTCTTATACTTTGTCACCCAGTTCCTGGTATGTCCTCTTTTCCAAGGGCCAACATGGCCAAGAGCTCACGACAGCAAGTCTGACCATCTCACTCGCAGCTCCTACAGTGGCTACTGCTCCTCGAGCCTCACGAGCATGACTACACAACATTCATTTTGTGTCTGACATTACTGGTTTCAGCCAATAAACCGGCCCATGACTGTCATGCTGCTCTTGTCTGCTCTCGGTTCAAATTGTGGGGTCACTGTTCCTGATCACAACAGTCCTCCCATTGGCAAGCGAGAGCCCACATGATGCTATTCAGAGCTCTGATCTACGGCCGCTAACCATGGTTGATTAGTTACTGTGCGGAAGAAGTCATACGCACTTTTGAGGAAGCAACGTGAGGGCCATCGCCAAGATGTGCCATGAAATAAGGGCGAATACGGGCCTCCATGTGCTCATTGGGGTTGACGATTAGGTGACTGGCGCAAAATATGGGTGTCATGCCTGACAATAGCACAGGGGCAACCAATGCTAACACCTCTCTTCCTCTCTTGTGATCGGTGCTGGTGTTGAGGGAGGGTTAGGGTCTCATTCTGTGTTGTTGCACAGACCATGCCAACCTTGATCGCTCAGGATGCAGCCTCCCTTGCAGGTGGTGATGCTTGCCGATCAAAGTTCTGGCACGAAAAATCGATCTCACATTTGGTCAACCTGCACGCTCTGTCTCGGTGAGATTTCATCTCACAATGCGCTAATCATGTCGTGCATTTCTTGAGTCGTGAGGGGTTTGGGCGAAGTGAGGATTCCCGATTCAGACGACTGGGGGCATCTGATTGGTCACTGATAAGAAAAAGAGATCTTATCTTGATAGAGCTCTTATCGGTTTTCACCTGCCAGCTGCCTCTAATATGCCCTCCAATGATTCGGAAGACCTCGCCGACTGGACATCTCTGTTTGAAGCTTTCTGTGGTGGCAGATAAGATATCATCCAGATCATTTTCCCAATGATTGGATTAGATTAATGTTTTCGGGATACAGGTGAGTGATAAAGAAGTTTGACACCGGTTTACTAGAATCCTCGTGCTACCTAGCTCCAATATTGGGACTATCGAAAATGAGATTCTGTCATTTTCTCTTCAACAATGAGAAATATTTCCGGGATCAAAGGTTTTATCTTGCCACTTCCCTGGTTAGTGGTTACTCGGTGAGGCTTGCATTGCCCGTGAGTCGTGGCTCCACGTTTATTCGGCCTGCTGCAGTGATTCAAGTCCTTCTTGTTCAATGAAAAGAGTCGAATCTGTTTGCTCGTTTGACCATTGTTGTTGTGATTGAAAAGACCCAGGAAACAATACGAGATATTGCATATACCACTCTGGGCACCCACATGAGTCATGCAATACAAACATAGACATCAGCTTCAGGCTCTTGTCAATGTGAAAGAGACTGCTCCCCACGTCAAAGGTTTCGCCCCATCTCGAACATACACCTTGACTTGACGTCTACTTCTTGGAATATATTCCATTCTATTAACAAAGATGAAAACTTTGCCGCTAGGTTACAGTGTCTTGTGGTCAGATCAAACCCACATGTCTTAGCAACCACTCCTCACTCCCTGAGACCTGTGATGTTCTTCGAAACAATGACGTTGAAGGAAGCGGTCAACTGGCGACGAGCCAGGTTCTGATGAAACATATTTGCTTTCCTTCATACACGTGTCGCCAGTTTACTATATCCAAAGTATTGATCAGTGGTTGACCCACGCCAAATTCTTCTCATGATTGGTTTGCAGTCCTCAGCCCAATGTTTGCCAGTCCATGTAAAAATATCGCTGGGCTTGAATTTGGAGCTGATTTGATTGGAGTTCCCTCCCGTCGGGATGTCGAATTTGCCTGGTGCCGACCAAACGGGAGTAAGCTGGAACATGCCCGACAGTCCTCCAGAGAGAAGGCACTGGAGTGTTTGTTTGCCCTGAGCGAAGGGAGCCCACTTCGAAAACGAAGAAACTGGAACCAGGTCTCTTCCAAAATACACCGCACATTTCGTCAACGGGCAAGACTCAAACCCCACCGCTGTTTCATTTTCGCTTCCTCTCTCCCATCGCCCTTTCTCCCACTTTTCCCATTAAACCTTACACCTTCCCTCCTCCGTCTTCAACGTTTTCCTCAACTCACAAACGCGCTTTCCTATTGATCTTCATTTTTGTGCCGCATTCCTGTTCCCCGCAAGCTGCGTGCCATCATGAGCATGGCAGGTCCGACTCTGGACAACGATGGCCATGGATGGACACTGCCGGATGTCGAATTCGCGATCCATCATGTGTTCTTACCGCCAAAGGTGCCCCAGTCCGACGACACCACTGGGACTGGAGAGGCCTTTCTCATCCGTTCGTTTCTCAAATCGCTACGCGAGTTTGCAGCTCTGCAGCCGGAAGAGGCGACACGACTGCAGCCCTTGGTGCGAATGATCGAGCGACTCTTGCGACTTCACATCAACGAGTCAAAGCAGCAAGTTACGACTGAGGTTTTGCACGAATTGAGTGATGGTGGTAAGTCTTCCCAGTGTCTCGCTCCCCGACACTATCTATCACTCTTGGAATACGCTAACAACAGTAGAATCTGCCGTGTTTTATGTTCGGGAGCAAAATGCTGGCCTGCTTCTTACGGGAAAGGCCAATACCATCTTGGCCCAGGGCTTCGAGCTCTTGTCGGACAATGCATCGGTCATGTCAAACAGAGGACGTCTGATCCGCCAATTCCCCAATGCGGCAGCAGAGTTCCCTCGGGCCCTGTTGATGGATCCCAAGTTCGTGGAAGTATTTACCGATCACCTTTGCGAGTTGAGCAAAACCCCCATCGCGGCGGTCCGTCCCACGACTCGCAAGGCGAACGCTGATCATGACGAATATCGTGACACCGTCTCCCCTGTATTGGTCACGGGCATGCTTGTGGCGATCCTTCAAGGTCTGGGCCAAGTTATCAATCCCACAACTATTACCAAGCGAATGAGGGAGCAGGTCAATTGGGACAACACTGATAAACCATTCCACCGGTCCCCGCTTTGGGTTCTTCTTCGTGCCGCCGTTGGAATCTTGCTTCGCCAAAGCTCAGGGACGATTGACCGAGACTTCCTGTACAAATCTGTCACCACTTTTTATCATGCCTCCCTGCTCGAGCTGGCCACCGACTATGGTTTCAATAGTGACCTTCGATCCACCATGGCCGCGAAAATTAACCGTAGAGTTGTCAAGCTCGATCACTTGGTGGAACTGCCTTGGACGACGCTCGTCCAAAAGGTTGTGGCTCGCGATCATGATGAGCTCAAGGGTAGATGGCTTGCTGCCCAACAAGAAAAACGTCTGTCAAAGACTGACAGGCCACTTGCGGGCCTTCGCTTTGCCGACGATACCAACCTTCAGCTCACCCGGCTCAAGAAACACCTGACCTGGATTGAATCTCGTCCATCAGCCAACACGGTTGATTCTGGACCTGGCGATGATTCAACAATGCCTGAGTTCTCGTCGACGAGGCCTCCCTCCCTAGACTCAAACCTGGAAATGCGGCCATTTGTTCTCTTGAACTTTGAGGCCTGGGTCGATCAACATCTGTCGTCATGGGTGGTCTCTCAACTTGACAAGAACAACAAGCAGCACGACAGGGCTGCGCATGGTATCAGTGAACTGGAATGCAAGATCCAGACGTATCTTTGCTTTGCCAAAGACTTGTATGTCAATGACCCGGAGGCATTGTCCATGATGCATTTGGTCACCATGGAGCTGTGGGTTGCATTGGACCGGATCGCTGGCGACGCCATTCCCCTTTTGTTGGAGTATGACCCTGGCTTTACTTCCGACATATTCTACCCTTTGATTCTGCCGACGAAGAGGCGAATGGAGCGGCTGCAGACAATTGAGAACTATCTCGCCAACCGTCGAACAGGCACCTACCCATCTATGTTTTGCGGTTTTGGTGGGGCCAACTCCTTTGCCGTTCGGTACTCTGATGCGTCTCTTCCTGGTGGGCATTCCGATCTGCATTCCCAGATTGTTTCGTACGCGGAGAGGAATAAACATCAGAAGCTCGAGGAGTTTGATGGAAAGCGCCAGGAGTATGTCAAGTTGTCCTCGGAACGATCACAAACGGACCATAACAGGACATGGAATCCGCAATCTCGCAGGCTCCAATGTTCCTTGGACTGTAAAGCATGTGACCTGGATGCAAGGCTACGGACGATAACAATTCGAAGGTTCGAGTGGCCACTACCTACGAATCGCTGCGAGGCCATAGCAGTTGTTTTCGAGATTGCTGTCCCCAGCGTCGTGCTTGTTTGGCGGAACACCACCGTGCATATCTTCCTGTCTATTCTGATGAACAGCAAGCTTTGTAAGGAGAGGGCGCCCCTGGAGCTTTACTACCCCGAAGAGCATTTTGGCTTGCAACGCTTTACCGGAAGCACCAGTAGCATCAAGCTGGCATCGGTGGTCAAATCTGTCGAGAGGTCTCACTACGGCAGTACGCAACACATCAGCATGTTCACTGAAGCGAATATCTGTGTTGAGCATGGATGCCGATATGACTATTACCACACTGGGAAGAACTTGAGGCACGATGAGATCTTCGAGAGGCCGTCCGTCGACAGCGCGTGTTCGCATGCAGCGCACGAACAAAACGCTCACCTGAGTAAATTTATTCGACAAAGCTCTCACGACTCAAACTACGTCATATCCTCCCAAGAGTGTTGTCCCCAGGATATGACGCTCGAAGCGTTCAGGGCTTTCGGACATCATCGTTCCGGGGATAGCCTCCAATGGGGCAACACCCTGAGCCAGTTGACTATGCCCTCACTAGATCTGAATCGACGGTCCACCTTTCTTTTAGTGATGCAATCATGCACCGAGGCTGGCGCCCAGGACAAACTCAACTCAGTCTATCGTAAGGCTCACAATGATGCGGCAGATGAGCTCTTTGCTGGCAAGTTTCTTGGGGCGTTGGAAGACGCATTTGCCCGATTCCACGAGAACTGGCAGAATGACATTGCTGTCGGGCTGTTGGCCTGTTTGGCCACTCGTATCCTGTCCCTGACCAGCTCTTCTTCTATCGTTTCAGGGGTCCTCCAGCTCTTGGCCCGCATCAGGCAAACCTCCATGGCATGGACCCGACAGCTTTTGCGCAAACGATCTAAGAGTTCGTCTGAAAATGAACGCGAGGCGCTCGCCCACAGAGCACTCATGACAGCTTTCATTTGCATGTCGACATTTGACATGGATTCGGATCTGCTCAACCCACTGCTATCGTCACCAAAACAGCTCTCACACTTTGTCGAGGCTGCAGTCACGGCATGCGATCACCTTCCTTCCAACTTATCCAATCCTATCTATCGTTTTATGGCTTACAGATGGCGAAATGTGATGTATCAGTCAATGAGGGTGATGCGAGCAGAGATTATTGGAAATCGGAATTCCGGTTTTGGGTCCGCAGTGCAGCATATTTGGGCCGCCTTCGATCCATCTCAGTCAACGTGGTCAACTCGGCAAGGATCACAGGGCCATATCGTGGAGTCTTCGATGTACAAGAACGGGAAGAATACCAAGGCAAGCTGGAACATGTTGACAGGAGAGCTCCTTGTCAATGGACATCCGCTTTCACGGCTCCCTCGGGAATTTGAGAGCGATCAGAATTACAGCCAATTGTTTGGAACACGGGTTCTCGAGGTTGTGCCATCCACGATTCAAGGTATGCACTTCTCCGCTCGCCAGGACCAGAACGGATGGATTGTGCATTTTGCCATGTTGGACGGCATAGTCGTGATACAAGCTGTCAAGAGGGGATCAAACGACGAGGAGCTCTGGGAATTCATCCCACGTTCTTGCTTCTTGGGAGGCCTTTCCAAGTCGTTCGTCATGGACTTTTCACACTGGAGAAATAATAGCACCGGCGAGATTGAGTTTCGTCCAGCAGCAACACCATGGGAGCACTCGCCCGATCACTGGCTCCTCGCAAAAGAAGGCGTCCGAACAGTTTTAAGGCTAGACCAAGACCTTGTCATAGACCTTCATAGCGAGACGGCTCTCGCAATTTCGACTAGACTGAAGCCTTTAGACTGCAGGGAGAACATTGACATGATATTTCATCAAGGTGCAGACAAGGGCCAGCTGAATGTCACTTTGCCCCGATTCGCTCTTTCCTTTTCCCTTGCACCAGGCAGTTCAAGTCTTCGTTCGAAGCATTACGCCGGAATGATTATCGACGAACGTCAGGAAATCGGTGCTCTAATTGGGCTCAAGAGCAAGCTGGTTCTACGAGACGAGAAACATGTGGACAACTTACAGCCTTCACGACTCCTTCTCATACCTCGTGGCCAGCCCAATGTCACAATGCATGATGACCATGTCCGCGTCAAGATCCGAAAGGGAAACATACCACACGTCAAGCACGAAGCATTCAGAATTGACACCCGACTTGGTCAACTCGTCGACAACGGATCATTGGTCAGCAAGCTATATCTATGCTTGCTGCACGCTTTGACATCCCACTGTCTCCCTGATCCTTTGACCAGTCGCACTGGCACTGAAGAGGCAACCAGAGTACTGCAGCTCTCAGCGGTCCGGTCGTTCCAACGCCTAGAAAGCGATTGCATCGCAATCCTCGCGAAAATCTCTGGCCTGTCGCCGAAAAGAAGCTTTTATCCAGAACATCTACAAAACATGGAACAGTGCAGTTGGAATCCTAACCTTCCCGTGCTCTCTCAGTATGATGGATTTCGGGCAATCGTCGAGGAAATTATTGCACATGCTGAAGATTGCGAGGTGCTATACGAGCAAAGCGAGGGTGGTGCTGGCAAGGCAATCCGTGAGTTGGCCAGGAGTGTGAAGACCCATCTTCTCACCGAGCGAGCAATCATCAGAAATTCGAGCTTCCGAGTCACTCAGTTTGGGGCCGAGGACCATTCGGCTCGGCATGATGTCCGTTATGGAGGACGGCACAGCAAAGATCAGGAAGTCGAACGTTCAAGCATAGCCCGGAACATTGCATTGGTGGTTAGCTCTGGAGCTCCGCAACTATTGTTTCCCACAACACCGAGCCTCAAGCAATCGATCTTGTCCATAACTAGCAACAGCTTTTCTGGGGATCCTCGAGTCGGCTTGGGATTCAACGCCGAGTACTATGAGAAGCCCGAGGTCGCTCTGAAGGAGCTCTGGTGCGGGCTGCACCGAGCACTCGCCACAGAAGAGAATTGTAACCGGATCATCTTCTTCCTCTCTTCCCTCTCTTTTGCAACCAAGGCAAATCTCGACGTGGTTCAAGCCTTGTTGGCCATAGCTACTCAGCGACGCATGTCTGGAGGTCTGGTCACCCCTCCTGACGAGCAGTCCTTTGATCTGGCCCATGACCGACTGTCATTGCGGCAAAGAGTTAAGAGCATCGTGACAGAGAAGCGTTTATCCATGAAGCTATGCCCCGACATGCCCGTCTACAGACAACGACACGAGAGCGAAAGTGACTTCCAAGCAAGGTACTATCAAGAATGGGAAACTCTGTCTGGTTCAATGGTTAGAGCACTGGTTTCAGACTTTGAAAGTCAGTGGTCGAAGTCTTGGACAGTCACGAGGCCTTCTTCGCGACAGCCTTGTGAGCACTGGGTACCTCTTAGTGTTGTGATACCATTGGTGAACAAGACGCTGGATCTCACCAGAAGGACAATTCTGTTCACAGACTATCTAGACAGCTTGGCGCTAGCCATTGAAGGCATGACCTGTCTAGCAACATCTCGTGGTTCTTTAGTGGCATCATTGCCATTTGCCGATGATGAGAACACGCAACGGCCATCCAGTACACCAAATGGTTTCATCAAGGACACTTCGCTTTTCTCCAATCCGCCACCTGAAATCCATCGCCCCGTGCCAGAGAGATTCTTGGATCTGTTGGAAGAGATACCACCCGTTGACGTGGGAAAGAGGCCAATCACAAACCTTATCGAGCATATATCAGCTCTTGGACAGGAAGAGGAACACCAGCGCATCTACGTACACGAGCTTCACCAGAGTTCTAAAAGTGTCGGCACCGTACACGTCAGACTCAAGACACATGGACAGGCTCTTTTCTCCCGACTCTCCCAATATCTCATCAAGTGTCAAGGCGACAGCGCGCGGATCGAAAATGACATCGTGAGGGCATTGAAGTGCGGTGGAGTTTCCAAGGAGCTTTCTATCAGCGCCGACCTCTTTCCACGGATATCTCCCATTTTTCTTCTGCAGCATCTCAGAAGGAATAGATGGATCAAGTTATCTCCCGAATGGCGATTGGCTTTGATCAACTATGCCCTTTCGCTCGCATACCTGCAGCGGGCCGAGCGCCTAGTAAACTCCTGCCAATCCGCCAACCGGCGAGTCGACTTTCTCAGGGAACTTCGAAATTTTGGGCACCATAACGAGAAAGACTTCGACCCCTTGGACTGGCCAGAGTATGTGCTGCTGGAGGTTGAACAAGGCATTTTGATACGGCCGGTACAGCATCAGATTGCTGCAAACATGCGCCAGCCTCCGGCGGGGAAAAGCTGCGTCATGCAGCTCAATATGGGGGAGGGCAAATCTTCAGTCATTGTTCCCATTGTCTCTATTGCGATCTCAGATGGATCCTGCCTAGCACGTGTGGTTGTTGCCAAGGCACAGGCGAAGCAGATGGAACACACACTTGTCAGTGCCATTGGCCGCTTGGTTGGCCGTCGCGTCTATTTTCTTCCCATCTCCAGGGCCGTCCGCGTTGACGGCAAGGCCATCAGAACCATTGCACGCTTGATACGGCAATGCAAGGAGGAATGCGGTGTGTTACTTGTACAGCCTGAGCACATCTTGTCATTCAAGCTCATGGGATTGGAGGGAGTTTGGAACAAGCATCCTGTGGCTCAAACGATCCTTAGCACATATAGTGAGCTTGAAAGTATCTCTCGCGATATTGTGGATGAGAGTGATGAAAACTTCAGTGTCAAGTTTGAGCTCATCTACACCATGGGAAGTCAGCAGCCAGTCGATATGAGCCCCGAGAGATGGGTGTTGATCCAAGACTTGTTAGGTGTCGTCAGGGATGTCGCCAAGAAGCTCAAGCGTGGGGATGCAAAACAATCAGGGCCAACTGATGGACTCCTTTTTGAAGAGGAGTCCAACAGTGGTCGGTTTCCAACAATTCGGACCCTCGATGAGTCTGCTGGTACGCAGCTGATGGAAGCCACTGCTCGCGAGCTGTGCCGTTTGGGCATGAGAGGTCTGCCCATCCAGCATCAGACCAGACAGATGCGTGATGCAGTTCTACAGTACATTATGGATCCTGATGTTGATCAACAGCACATTGAGATGGTGGAGAATGATCGGTCCGGTCTCGTTCAGAACGACACCATGAGAAGAGGACTTTTCCTGCTGAGAGGACTTCTGGCATCTGGTGTGCTTCAGTTTGCCCTGGGTCAAAAGCGTTTTCGCGTCAACTATGGACTTGCACCGGACCGGCAACCAGCAAAGATGCTTGCAGTACCGTACAGGGCGAAGGATTCGCCGGCCCCACGTTCCGAGTTCAGCCATACAGATGTTGTCATCGTTCTGACGTGCCTGAGCTACTACTACCGTGGTTTGACGGAGGCCGAGCTTTTTCTGTCCCTTGAGGTGCTTTCAACCTCTGATCGGGCTGAGCAAGAGTACTCCGACTGGTCTCGAGCTTCTCCGCTCCTAGACCGTGCACTGAGACATTTCTCTGCTGTCAACCTGAAGGACAAAACACTATACACAGAAAAGCTCTTCCCAGGTTTGCGCTTCTCGAAACCGGTCATCGATTACTACCTGTCCACCGTTGTCTTTCCGAAGGATATGAGAGAGTTTCCATTCAAGCTTTCGAGCTCTGGATGGGATCTCGCCAAGCCAAAGGCACATGCAGTCACGGGCTTTAGCGGGACAACGGACTCGAAATATGTCCTCCCCCCATCCATAACCGCGCTGGATCTTCCAGAGCAGATATATACCAACTCTCATGTGCTAGCATGTCTGTTGCAGAGCGAGAACACGGTTGTGGAGCTGGGAACTGAGCAGGAAGACCTCTGCGCCTTGACAGTGAACATGCTCCTGTCAGCGGTTATCAAGTCAATCCAGGCGATGCGCGTCATTCTTGACGTTGGTGCGCAGATCGTTGAGCTCAGCAATCTTCAATTTGCCAAGCACTGGCTTTCTGTTGTCTCGGATGCAGACGCTGTCATCTTTTTCAACGACAACGATGAGCTGTCGGTGGTCACTCGAGATGGGACAGTGGAGTCATTCTACACTTCACCTTTCAAGACTCAGACGGAGCGGTGTCTCGTTTTCCTCGACCAGGCACATACCCGCGGTACCGATCTCAGATTGCCAGATGACTACAGGGCTGCCGTGACTCTGGGTCCAGGGATAACAAAGGACACTCTTGTACAAGGTGGGTTAGCGCGTTCATTTTTCCCACAGTCTAATCATTCGTCATGATACTAACTCATGCTTTCAACAGCCTGTATGAGAATGCGGAAGCTTGGTAGCGGTCAATCAGTGACATTTTGTCTCTCCCCCGAGATGCAAAGGAAAATTCGCGATTATGAAGGCATGGATGCCTCAGAACCCATCACCGTCATGCATGTTCTTGCGTTTGTCATATCCGAAACGTGGGATGACGCCCGCCGAAGCGTTCCGCTCTGGGCGACCCAGGGCCTGCGTCATCAACGCCAGGAGGAAATCTTGAGTCGTGTTGGAGGTTATGACAAGCTCCAGGTTGAAGATGTTGAAGAGTATCTTGAGGCTGAGGCACAGACTTTGGAGATGCGGTACCGACCAGGACCAGGAGCTCAGGCTCAGAGTTTGTCTTGCCAGCTTGAAGATGCTTCGAGTTTGGTGTCGAGACGGGCCGACGTTGCCGCCATTCGGGCGAAATGTATCAAGTTTGGCTTCAAAAACTTGGACTTGGTTGTCACACTGGAAGAAGAACAGGAGCGGGAGCTAGCTCCAGAGATCGAGCAAGAACGACACATTGAGCGTCCGGCACCTATGAAGCCGCTCATGCACTCGCTTCATCCAGATATCAGACTGTTTGTCGTAACTGGCAGGCTGGATCCAGAAAGTAGGGCAGTCTTGCCCGCATTTCACGCCATGCTTCGAAGCAGTGCGTCGAAGGTCTTCCCCGCGAACAAGTTCCCGTCTAGTTTACTGGTCACTAAAGATTTTGCCAATACTGTCCGGCCCAGCCAAGCTGGCTACTGCTCTGATTCATATCAGCGGCCCGTCCAATGGATCCTTACTTCGAAGATCTCCGGAGATACTAAACAGACGGACACGGGCTCAAGAATGCTGATGGTCGTGGTCAGCCCCCACGAAGCGGAGATTATCAAGTCTCAGATTCTCCGGGACTCCAACGTCGCGGGCACTCTGCACAGCTACCTCCCACGTTCGAGTCTCTCTTTCCGGAGTATGGAAGATCTCAAGACATTTACATACCCGTTCATGACACCAACGCAGCTCGAAAAGTGGACACCGCCCCCAGAGCTGATCATGCAGCTCAATCTCTTTGCCGGGCAGCTCTATCTTCGCAGTTATGAAGAATATGTCCGGATGTGTCGGTATCTCGGGCTGTCGTTTACCGAGAACAAGAGTGATGGTTCTGACGGGGTTGTGGTTGGAGCGGATGGGTTTGTTGGTCGCGCTGGTGGGAAGGGCTATGAGGATTGTCCTTTTGAGGAGAGTCCTGTTGGGTTCTTGAGCGTGCTTTACAAGAGGTTGAGGAGGGATTGTGCAAACATTGATAGGACGCACATGGGGACTGTTTTGGTGGGAGGGATTCTGACGGAGAAGGATTTTGAGGGGATTGGTGACGATGAAGAGGGGACTGGAGGTTTGGAGAAGGGGGTAGGACGGATGGGATTGGATTGATGGTTTGGTGTCGTTTGAAGAGAGGTTGGTTGGGTTGGAGATTGTTTGGAGATGGTGATTTGGGGAGATGGATATCGAGGTTGGGGGTTTCTGCTCTTTGGGTATGGTTTATTGTTGGACTATTTGTTTGGAGACAAAGATGGGTTGCGAGGGTCATTGTTGATACCTCTATGTTGTGAATTGTAACAAGTACTAGCAAATAATGAGATGTTGGGGTCTGTAAATTGTGGTCGCTGTAATTATAGCGGTTGTCCCCTGTAACTTGATTGCCTGTGCGAATAGGGGCGCGCAGTGGGAGCGCACTGTGCAATCCCTGGCGCTGGAACGCACTAAGATAATGGCCGCTACTGAGCAGCCACAGCCGCATCACAAAGCCCCCCCGCATTTTCAGGTTCCTCTACTCTCCCACTAACAACCTTTGACTGTCTGGGTCACCTTTCTCGCCTTCAAACAAGCTCATTATATCTCAAGTCTCAGGCTTTCAGTGGGGACACTCAGGTATGGTGTCTGTCACCGTTCTTTTTGATGAGATCAATGGCCAACGATCTAACGAATTTCCAGACTTGCTACAAAGTAACATCAAGCCCGCTACCTGCGCCGCAAGCCCCCTGCCGTTGGTTACACCACAGGCATCGTCGGGTGGGCTGCAGCCACTGAGATCTCTCAGCAGAGTCTATCTGGTGGAGGAACAGCATTATAGCCGGGATTATGGAGAGATTTTATCCCCTTAATTCACCATGTGGCACAGCACAGGGCCAGAATGCAACGCGACACCAACCTTGAGCGCATCTAGAGGACACCCGCAGGTGGAGATCTTGGAATGAAACTTGGACTGTTGCGGGGTCGGGAATCGCTCGAGGTTCACCTCTCGACCATCTCGACCGACCCTCGCTTCCTCGCGGCAAGCTGCTTCGTGGGGGCAGCGTGGTAGATTCAAGGGGCGAGTGCGCCTGTTGGCTCGGATGCGGCCATCGTGGGTTCCGTTCTTTTCCATTTTCTGAGCCTCACGCTTGCCGTTGATGGGCGCTTGTGACGGGCGGGAGAGAGAATCGCGTTTCCTTTTTCCCCCGGCCTCTCCTCGTTTCCCTCTCTTTCTTTTCCTCGCTCCCGTTTTGCACACACGGTTTCCTATTACGTTGCGGTACTTCCTATCTTTACAGGGGTCGGAAGCAGCACGCGCTGTGATCCGCCAGAAAATGAGGACTGCCACGGCAGCAACTATCCTGCTGCTATCAGCAGCGTCAGGGCTGTTTGTGTCGGCGCAGAGCGATGGTCCATCTCAGTTCTCGAGTTTCTTATACCCAGTGCAGGATGATGATTCGGAAACCTACCACTTTATGGACACGGTGAATGTCCAGTACATTAGCAGCTTCACCAGGGTCACTCTGTGGACGTTCTGCAAGCCCGGTATAGGAGAGACGCGTACGTTCACCACATACCTGACCCAAGCAGCCAGCATATTCTCATAGACATTGCTGACACCGGTTAACAGAATTCATCCAAGAGGCACCCGGCTTCAACGCTACTGTGCCCGTCCTTCTCAATCTCACCTCGGCTACGCCGTGCTGGTTCAATCTTAGAAGCCCAGATGAGAAGTATGGTGCCAATAGTCAAACGTTCAACGTTATCGGCCAAGAGCGTAAGGGAGGGAGCAAGACGTTTGGGTTGGGAAATCCGCCGTCGAAAGAGTCGGCGTCGCCAAGTCAAACTCAAACGCAAACACAGACGACAACCTCCACGTCGACTTCCACAAGTGCGAGTTCAACGACCCAGTCATCGACAACCCAGACTGATGCTGCCGCCAACCAAACTGATGACAGTTCACCGACACCGACAAGCGGAAGTGTCCAACCGAGTTCGAATGATGCTCCGAGTTCAGGTCTCAGCGCAGGGGCATCGGCGGGTATGGCCGTCGGCGTGACGGTGGCAGTCATTGCCGTGGGAGCTGGCGCGTTCTGGCTCTGGAGGCGCAAGAGGAGAGGCGGGAAACTTCCAGTGGAAGACTACCAGCAACCACCAACAGGGCCCTATGGGAACGGCGATGTCTATGCCAAAGTTGGAGCTCCGCCAAATTATGCGACAGCTCTAGGTCCTGCGACTCATGATCATTCCTATCAGCAATATCCACAGCATCAGTTTGGTGGGGAGTTGGGAACAGCAAACTCTCCGATGGAGATGGGGGGAACAAATGTGTGGCCTGCGAATGGCCTTGGGGGGCGGGCGCATGAGATGGCTGGCTGATGGGTTTGTCGTTATTGGGGGACCTTAATTCTGATATGCTTTCTAGGTAGCGAGGGCGTTCATGGTTGTGGGTTGGGGGTTGCATGCCGTCTGGTTGAAACACACCCATACTTGATGTTATTTGGACATTCTCATATCATGACAGACCAACTTTATCGCAAGCATCCAGACCCCCCAAGGCGTCCACGGGCTTGTTTCCCGCAAGATCTCGGGGCCGGACCTCGAGAAGCATTTTGCCAACCGTTGCCGGCAAAGTCAAACGATGGTACGCCATTGTATTCCTCATCAATAGTCAGCATCACCCGCGGACTTCGGCTACCGGATACCCCAATAGGATTTGCGACTTCCAAGAAACCAAGATGGCGTAAGCCTGAAGGAGTGGCTGACCGCATACCCCTTACTCCAAAACCACTCTACACCACCACCACAACCCCGAATCAACCCCCCAGAAAAGGGAGTAAGCCCCGAGCCGGATGATACCGCCCCATTGATTCATTCATCATCACCTTTCCCGCCGTCAGTGATTGGGCAATCGCAATTCCCGCCTTCAAACGAAAAGGTTCCTGCATGAACGAATGACCCATATAGTCCCCGTTGGTAGCCTATAAGACTTGGCCGCTATCTCGTTCCAAGAAACCTGGGTACTTCAGCCTGATATGCAAGTCGTAATAAACACCCACACTTGCGCTAGGTACTGGTAAAGATCATCATACTAGGTGCCATACTCCCCCGCATTCATGTACACTCTAAACCATGTTGGCAAGTCGTGTTCCTCCCAAGCCAAAAAGTCCGGAGCACCGGTTTCCATGGGTCACCTGGGGCCATTTCAATCTATGAAAGTGTGTGTGGAATATTTACCGGGACGCCGGCACAATGGGTTGTTTGACGAAAGATTGAAATCAAGGACCTCTCATCCAGACTAAGTAGACGAGTGAGACGTAGTCAGCGTGCGGGGAGAATGAAACCATAAGCAGTCCCAGAAGGATGTGGTAGGTATATATAACCGAGGCATCCGGACAAGGGCGGGTGGGGTTGGTTGGTGCCAGTCTGGTCTGGGTATTGTAGTGTCGGTTTTTGGACTTGAGAGAAAAAATATGAGGTTCTCGACAACGTTCATCATGGCCTCGGTCGCTCAGGCAGCGGCGGTTGTTCGCCAGACTGAAGGGTTTGCCCCGGGTGCTGATGGGAAATATACCATTTCCGCTCCTGGGATCAAGGCTCAGGTATGTCCTTTTTCATGAACATGGCGTGATCGTGTCCCTTGGCGGCGAATTCAATTCAAAAGCGGGGAAGACGGAAGCATTCACACTGACAAACTTGAAAATAGTTCATCCCCTACGGCGCCACGCTCACCAACCTCTTTGTTAGAGACAAGAACGGCGATGATATTGATGTTGTGTTGGGATACGACGACATTGACTACTACCGTCAGTACACCATGATTCAAACAGAAAACAGCCTGAACCCTTTCCCTCCCCACAAAACTTTAGGCGAAGATGCAGCAGCAACTTGATCACTGGACCTTGACTGACAGCTCGCTCGCTTCCAGCCGTCGACCCAGGCCATCCCGTCTACAACGCCATCCCGGGACGCTACGCCAACCGCATCGGCAACGGGAAATACTCCATCGGCGGCGTCGAGTACACCACGCAGAAAAACGACGGCGACAACACCCTCCACAGCGGGACGAACAACTGGTCGTTCCGCTTCTGGGACGTGACTGCCCTGTCGGAGGACTCGATCACTTTTTCGATTTTGGACAAGTCCAACTCTTCCCAGGGGTTTTTCGGCGATGTCAAGTCGAGCGTGACATACAGCGTTACCGACAGCACGTGGAAAATAAAGATCACGGCTGATTCGCTTGATCAAAAGACTCGTTTGTTTTCCCCCTTTTCCCTTTTTCGTCTCGGTTGCCGCATTCTAACACTCAGATGGAAAAGCGATCCTCCTGACTCAGCACACCTACTTCAACCTCGACGCCTACCGCAACCCGGCCACCTCCCTGATCTGGGACCACACCCTCCACCTCCCCTACTCCTCCCGCTACCTCGAAGCCGACCAAGGCGCCCTCCCCACCGGCAAGATCCTCACCGCCGCCCCGGGCTCCATCAACGACTTCGCCTCCTCCGCCAACCTCAAGTTCGGCCACTCCCGCGATGACCCCAAGTTCCAGGGCAACTGCGGCGCCAACGGCGCGTGCGAGGGGTACAACGGGTACTGGCTCATCGAGGACGCCCCCGAGGACGCGGTCGTCCTGACGCTGGCGAGCGAGTTTAGTGGTGTCAAGGCGGAGCTGAGGACTGATCAGCCCGGGGTGGTGATTTATTCTTGCTCGTGGATGGACGGGAGCGCGGACGTGAAGAAGAGCACCCAGGGGCTGGGGGAGAAGAACAACAAGGTTGTCAAGAGCAGCTGTGTCGCGATTGAGGCGCAGGATTATCCTGATGGGATTAACAAGCCGGAGTGGGGACGTCTCGAGAAGCAGATCTTTGGGCCGGGGGAGCGGTATGTTCAGGAGACTTCTTGGACTTTTGGACTGGTTTAAGAGTCGAGGGAAATGTGAGGGATTGTTGGAGGGGATGAAGGAGAGATAAGTATATTGGTGGAATGGTGGTATGAGTTCAAAATCATTCGGTACATACTCGTAGTCTGCTTTGAAGAACATTGGTTTGTTGACATTGAGAAAGACAGCTTTCCATTATGAGGTGCTGAGCACAGATACGCCCTACCGAAGCCTTGAGTGAAGTTAAACTTTCTTGATATACCGGTAATGAAAAACATGGGGCTTTCAGCTTTTCAAGATAAACAGTCCGTCCACATGGCAATAACCGTGAAACAGCCATGTATACAACTCTCAATCAACGCTTCTTTGAAACACCTAGCTTCTGCTCGCCCCCCTAACCGGAGCTTCACTTCCCAAGTCCCAAACCACACCAATCCCTCAAACCATCAATCATCACCGTACCACCACCCCTTCCCGTCTCACCCGCAAACCGCGTCCCACCACTCCGTCCTACACAAACCAACACTTGGAAGATCCCAACGGTCCGCGTACTAGGTCGATGACAGATGAAACACCAGATCTACCCATCCCACTGCTCCCTTTCCCTTCCCGACCCTGAAGATCTCAGCCGATCCCTCCACCCACACCTGACGTCACAAATGGAGCTCTCCCTAGTCTACCGTTTCGAAAACAGAAGATCCCATCGCGCGCCGTTAAACCCTTTTATCCTTTTATTTTTTTTTCTTTGCCACAGTTTGCCTCCTCTTTACCCTGTGGAAGGAAAAAGTTTGTCCTGTCCCTCCCCTTTGACACACGTAACCTCTCACAAGCTTCACCTTTCACCAAACATCATAAACTTTGTCCGTCTGATACGTAGAGTAAGATAGATCTTCGAGATGGTGGGTATCCGCATTTTTTCTCGCCTGCTTGGTGCTACATAACATCCAACTCTTCCCCCTTAAAAGTAATGCTGCTGCTAAACAAATGCAATATGCATCCTGCTCTCCCCTCCCAAACATACACATTAAGTAAAAACACAAAACGAAACGAAGAGCAGAAAGAAAAAAAAAAGTCTGTATCAGAAAATAAAATTGTGGCAGCACAAGAAAACAAGGGTAAAAAGACCCAGCAAATCCCTTGATAACCCACCACCCCCCCCTTAAACCCCCACTAAGCAAAAAACGTTTTGCTATGCTGTCAAAAAAAAAAAATGCTGCTGGCCAGCCACCCCTCGCCCGTTTTTGCTCCATGACTCCCCGCCCAAAAAAGGTAGTGTGGTGTAAAGTGTGGTAAAAGGACATTCCCATCGGCCGTTTGCGTGGTAATGCGTTGTGTGGCTTTTGAAAAAGAAAAAGAAGTGTTGAATGATATAAAGTACCGTTAATAATCCCGCCCTGCCTTTCATGTAATCTTCCCTGTAGTAAATAATTCTTTCATACATAAAAAGACTTTTGTTCCTCGCGTCGTCGTTCATTCCTGGTCGTCCTTGATGTGCTTCATCGGATGCATTATGATATTGGGTGCAAATATTTGCCCGTCTTGCTGATGTAATAACCAGGGGAAGTCGACGTCCTCCTCCAGCTTGCGGCCTGTCCACGCGCTGAAGATTTGACGAGGGAAGTCCGATTCCCACCAGAAAGTCAGGCCCATGCCCCGAGGGTGGTCGAGATTGTCGGGGCCGTTGCCGGATTTGCTGGCCTGGGGACCACCGCGCCACCACTCATCCTGCATCTTGTCATCGCCGTTGTCGCGGTGGAAGACGGGGTGCTGAGGGAAGCTGAGCTTGAGTCCGTGCCAGAGCGCAAAGCTTGGGAGAGTGGCCTCGCTTGGCACACGGATCCCTTGCTCGACTTGGGCTTGGTGAATGGCCAGGAGCAGCGTTCTGCTGCCACGCATGATGGCTGGTGGGCAGTAGTAGCGGGGTGTCTGAACGCCTTTCTTAAAGCCGTAAATCCACTCCTTGAACACCCAGCTATTCGGTTTGTTGGCGTCGTTGCAGTACGAAGTCGTGATCACGTCAGCCTCTTCGCCGACGCCCCAGCGGAAGGTTTCGTTGCGCGGGTCGGATACCGGAGGCTCGGGCCCAATGGGCAAGATCTCCCTCACTCTCATGGGACCCCAAGCCAAAGACCCGCCGTTGTTCGCCTTGTCGACCTGCTTTGAGAATTCTTCGTAATCTCCGATTTCGTTAATCATATGCCAGAAAGTGGCACGCTCGAGGGCCTGCTTGCGGGGCTCCTCGCGCGCAAAGAGTGCCAGCCTGTCGAGCATCTTGCCGGCATCACCCATGAAGCGCATGTCCATTTCGACCTGCCACCAGTGATCAAACTCGGGGTAAAAGAGCGCGAGGAGCTGCATGGGCTGGAACACCTGCCACATGGTGCTAGCGTAGCTTGTTAGTTCGCCTGTCAGCCAAAACGAGATATGGGGGTTGTCGCCATGTCGACCCGGTTAGCTTACCGATGCTCCTCAACGTCCGGGTACCAGCTGTCCAGGAGCCGGTTGTCCCACAGAATCGCAATCGAGGCAAACTCGGGAGGAACGCCGGCATCCTTCAGACCTTGCTCGTACAGCTCTCTCGAAGCAAAAATCTCGGGCTTGTATCCCTCGTAATCCTTCATGTCGACCAGAAGAATGACCTGGTACTCGCCACCGGACTTGAGCGACGTTTCAGCAATGAGCGAGCGGATGTAGTACATATCCTCAGACGAGTACTCGTATCCCTTCCACACGCGCACCACAATGGCGGTCCTCCTGCTTGGCTCGAATTCGTGCCAGTGCCTGATTTCCGAGAAAGGGGCGTTCTTTCGGTAGGTGAATCGGGTCTCGATGCGCGTGTCGTTCAATGGCTCGGCGGCTTCGGGGAAGCGCTCTCGGTTTCGGTAAAAGCACTCATTCTGCAGCTTGCCCCAGTCAAGGTTGGCCCAGTCGACCTTTTGGCGCTTGTAGTCCTCCTTGTTTTCGCCGTAGCCATAGGGTCCGTAGCGGTTTTCGGCCGTCATGTAGGTCAAGTCAAAGCCGAGGGCCTCAAAGGAGCCGGCAAATGGGATTGGGTAGGCTGTCAATGGCATTGTTTGTTAGAACAAAGAAAACCGCGTGAGATAACGACGCCGAAGGGAGCGCGCTTACGGCCATCAATCTCCTTCTCAACAAGGTCGTCGTCGGGGCTATGTCCCAGAAGGTGTCCACGGGGACCGTAACAGGGAATGCGCGGAGCGAGTGGTGGTAGGACATTGTGAGTTGGCATCCGTTGTGGTTGTTTCCGCAGATCGGGAAGCTGAAGGCCGAGCCGTGACCAGTGCTCTGAAACATCGTTGCGCATCGACACGGTGACGAACCAGACGAAGCATATGGCGAGGCCGACGAACAGCGCCTGACGACTGAAGGCCAGGCGCCGTATCTTGGGATGGGCCAAAGCCAGACGGTTCATGGCAGCGGCAGCTTTGGACGCGGGCGATTTGTCGCCCGGTCTGCTGTAGGTGAAGGCCTCCAGGTTGGCGGGTGGTGGGGGGATGAAGTGGGAAAATTACGGTTGGTGGCTTCTGGACTGCATCGATCGTGAGAAAGAGGGGAGCGGCGTCCGGGTAAAGACAACGACGCAACGACAATAAACGAGCGACAGGAGCGACTGCAATAGGCAGAGGCAGAGTCAGGCTGTGAAAGCAAGCAAGCAAGCAAAGCAAGCCAGAACAAAACAACCGCAGCGAACACAAGAACTCGGCACGATAATAAATGGAATGGAGAATGAATGAATGAATGAATGGACAGGTGCGACGGCCTGTGGTTTGCGAGTTTGCAGTTGGCAGGATCAAAAAATTGGGATTGCCAAGTGCCTGGAGCCCTTTCCTTCTCCCCTGAAGAAAAACCCCTGAACGACGCGCAGACCAGTGGACTATCCCCACATATTTGCTTGGAAAGCCCCCGTTTGGGAAAAGATGGGGCGCTATTCGCTGCTGGGGTTTCCTATCGGCACGACACAACCGCCTTTCCACCTCCCCGTTGCAAAGCCAACCGCAGCGCCGAGACATTGCCTCCTCCAGCTGCGCTGCGTCTTTCCTGTTATCATGTCGCATTTTATGCGTACACTTCTTGGACGGCTCGAGAACGGCTTGACTGGCATGGGCAATGGCGGTCTTTGTCATAAATCAGATGAAAATACACGTGTGAAAATCAGGGTCCGGTGTCAGATTGCAAGCTTGCTGCACTTCCAGGTTGGCGTCTGTCAGAATCAACATGGGTGCTTCCAGGTTAGCCCTGGATTCAAATGTTGGAAGTGGACACTTCGGATGGAGGCGACCTAAGCCAGATCAGGTTTAATATCCATTTCAGGGGGCTGTACCCCCACGATCACAGCGGATAAGGTGACGCGATCCCCCGCGAGAAGGTCGTGATAAGAACTTGTACGGTTATTATTTGGGGGCACATGTAAATGCGCTTCACTACATTCTAATAGTTTATCGTCATACAATACCTTGAGGATGCAAAGTTGTGAGGACTCACACTTCTTCCAGGCCAAGACTGTGCTGCAACTCCAAACATGCGCCAAGTCAGCATCTCAGCATAGACCTACGGCTTACCTACTCGAAAGGGTAGCGAGCAATCTGCACCAGAGGGGAGACCTCATCCATTTTTCTGAAAGCATTAGCATTCTTCCGCTATCTTGACTGAATCATTCCTGCTTGCCTTTCATGATCCCGGGTATATCTCCAAGTGCCTCAATATCGCCTCCTCGCCCAAAGTAACCAGAGACCGTTGGTTCCTAAACGTAAGCCGCAATCTCTCCCCAAAGCCAAGCCCTTTACCTCATGTCCAGCCACCTTAGTACCGGTGTCTCGTGGAATAGTCCTTGGGGCTGACCACCAGACCACGGCCCTTCTTCGCACCCCGATATACCGTCTCGATAATGTCGATGAGCTCCTGCTTGTCTTCCAGCACCCACTTGATCTTGTTGTTGTCACCGGTGCCCAGATCGATCATCATGTGCTTGTTGCGGAAGAAGAACATGAGGGTGCACTCGTCGTAGAGCTCGTACATTGTGTTGAAGTCGGGGACCTTCTCGATGTCGCAAACGTCTAGAGTAGAAAGTCATGGTTAGCGTTTGCTTTGCGCCAAAGCCAAAAAAAAAACAGATAGAAACGGAGGGAAAGCTTACAGATGACTGCAAAGTTCTTGACCTTGTCGGCGATGCGGTAGAGCACCTCATCTTGTCGCATACACGCACTGCTGCCATCTCTGCCAAACCTGATGACTACCAGGCGCTCTTCTTCGCTAAGGATAGCTTGGTCGACGTGCCAGCCGGTCTCCAAGTGTGGCAGTACGAAACTAGAAGCCGTTGGTTGGTTAGTAACTAACCGACAAAGACACAGGCGGCTAAGGGGCGGGGCTCAACATACGACATGGTGATATATACGGGCTGGCTTGTCGCAAAACGGCTCGGTGTAGTATTCGAAATGTAGATAATTTCGTTGCTGGCGTAAAATTTGGCGCGCAGGAGTTTGATGTAGTTGCTGCGGCAGGATTAGAAAAGAACGAGCAAGTTGAAGTGAGTGAACTTTCTGGACCGTCGCCTTCTCGAAGGCTGTCGAAAAGCCCCCACCGCGTTGCATCAGATTTGCTGACGTAACAGGGCCTGGCCTACCAGCCTTACGGGGCGCACGGTCCACTCGCTCTTTCGCGTCGACGCGTTAATGGTTTTGGGGAGACCCCTCTATTGCCTCGTGAGCAACACCACCATTCAACAAGCCAGCACTTTCCAGCGTTGTCGCGAATCTTTCAATTTCCCAAATATTCTCAAGTCTTGAAAATGACAGTTGAAGCCCCTTCCACAACCCCCGCCGCGCCGGCCGCGGCCCCAGCAGCCACCCCCCCCCTAAAAAGACACGAAGAATACCAATACCTCGACCTCGTCCGCGACATCCTCGAAAACGGTGAACTCCGCCGGGACCGGTATGCCCCCTCTCTCACTCCCCCTTTCCCACTCATCATCTAACCATCTTCTCTCCAGAACCGGGACAGGCACCTACTCCCTCTTCGCCCCCTCCCCCCTCAAGTTCTCCCTCTCCACCCCAACAGGAACCCCCCTCCTCCCCCTCCTAACCACAAAACGCGTCTTTACCCGCGCCATAATCCTCGAACTCCTCTGGTTCATCTCCGGCTCCACCTCCTCCCTCCCCTTGTCCTCCCAAAACGTCAAAATTTGGGACGGCAACGGCTCCCGCGCCTTCCTCGACAGCCTAGGCCTCACCCACCGCGAAGAGGGCGACCTCGGCCCCGTGTACGGCTTCCAGTGGCGCCACTTTGGCGCAGAGTACGTTGACTCCAAAACCGACTACACCGGCCAGGGCGTCGACCAGCTCGCGCGCATCGTCCAGACCCTCAAGACGAACCCGTACGATAGGAGGTTGATCCTCTCGGCGTGGAACCCAAAGGACATGAGCCAGATGGTCCTCCCGCCCTGTCACATGTTTGCCCAGTTTTATGTCTCTTATCCTAGGTCGAGGAAAGAGACGGAGGAGGGGAGGGAGGTCAAGGGGCATCTACACTGTCAACTGTACCAGCGGAGTTGTGATATGGGGTTGGGGGTGCCATTTAATATCGCGAGTTATGCGCTGTTGACGCACATGCTGGCCCATGTGTGTGATTTGGTGCCGGGGAGCTTGACGCACGTGATGGGGGATGCGCATGTGTATTTGAATCATGTTGATGCTCTCAAGACGCAGCTGGAAAGAGAACCGAGGGAGTTCCCAGAGTTGGAGATCAAGAGGGAGAAAGGGGGAAGTATTGATGGGTGGAAGTTGGAAGATTTCGAGATCAAGGGGTATAACCCGCACAAGGTTATCTCGATGGAGATGTCTGTATAGTTCCAAGCTGATTTGGCATCATAGATAAAGTTGCAGGCGACTGGATTTTCAACCCAAATAATTAGACATGTAAAGCAGAGGCGGTATATTCATCTGACACAAAAGTCCATGCTACTTGTTCCCAAGACTCTTTTCCATCGCGGTATCAAACCCTTTCTTCTTACTTGGTATGCACCGGCACCTCCTTGCTCTGCGTAAAGTGCCTCGGCAACCTATTCTCCCCCTCCGCATACGGGAAACCCGCCTCCTCCCTCGCCATATCATTCACCCACTTCTCATTCCCCTTCAGCCCCCCCTTCCCATGCTTTTCCACGCCTACCTCGTTCCACTTGGCCGCCAAATAAAACCACCCGAGCGCGTTGCCCACGGTCCCGATCTCATCCGACACCCCCGTGGCAGCAGCATGGCTCATCTTCTTCCACAGCTCCTCATCCGTAAAGAGCTCCATCAAGTGCCCCGCCACCGCCTTCCAATCCCCCGGCTGGACCAAAAACCCATTCACCTTGTCCTTGACCTGCAGCGGAATGCCCCCCGTGGCAGTCACAATCACCGGTCTACCCGCATGAAGTGCTTCCGAAACTTTGACCTCGAAACCCTCCCGAGTTGACAACTGCAGCACGACGTGCGCGTTGGCAAGCAGGGTATTGATCAGCTGATCATTCGGATCCAGCCTCATGACGCTCACATCCTTGATCAGGTCAGGGTAGTACGTCTCGAGCTGGCTCATGGTCTGATCATAGATCAGGCTTGCGTCTGGATCGTCAACGGACCCGTTTCCGCAAACCACCAACTGAGGCACATCGGTGAGCCCTTGCTTGTCACACCTGCGACGGAATTCGGCATAGGAGTCAATCACGGTAGGGATGCCCTTCGCAGGGTCAAATCTCGCAACTTGAATGATATACTTCCTCGCTGGCCAGTTCAGCTCCGTCATGCGCTGCGAGTGGCAGGCCACGTTGTAGATGTGGCCGTAGTAACCGCTGTCCCACTTGTTGAGGTGCTTGTTCAGGCCGTCGAGCCAGTCGGTTGTTGCGGGGAGGTAGACGACCTTCTCTCGGGGGACAGTGTGGGGGACAAAGATGGGGATGGGGTGGGAGATGAACATGTCTGCGCCTTGGATGTTGGACCACAAGAAGTCCCAGATGTCGGCTTGGGGCGAGCCGGCCTTGGCGACCAGGTCGCTGCGGATCTGGATGTGGGAGCGGTAGAGGACGGGCCGGTCAGGAGTGGCTTTCTTGATCAGGGGGATGAGGCCGGGCATTTGCGGGTCGTCAATCTAAGACAACGTCAGTAACCGTGGTACTGTAGGAAGAGAAAGAACTCCCCCACGCTCCCGTTGTGGTGGCTGTGGTCAGGTGGACAACCTTAACCAGGGAACGTGCATGATGGAGGGTAGACGTTGGTTCGAGTGAGAGGGGAAAAAAAGACTCATAGAGAGGAAAGTACAAGGTACCTACAATGACAATATCAGCACCACCGTCCGCGGGCGAGCACAGTGGCCCACCCTCAGAGAACCAGTAACGGTTCGCATTGTCGGTGATCCAGTCAATGATGGACTGCTTCTCCTCGGCCGAGACTCGTTGGTCGGGGTGGCTCACACCCTGGAGAATGTTGTGGATGTTCTTGGTGATACGGAAGACACCAGGACGAGGCTTGGGGACTGTCCAAAAACGTCAGCCTCACAGACTCCTCCGAACAGAGCTCAAGTTGTATCCTCTACTTACCATACCAAGTCAAGTCCACCCCCATGAGACGGGCAAAACGGACCAATGCGTGACGCATCAGAGCCACACCACCACCTTGAGGTGTGGAACTGAAGAAGGCAATTTTGGTCTTGTTCGCGCGGAGCTTCTTTGCATACGTCAACATGGTCTCCCACGTAGCATGGCTGCAAGTGTCCTTGTGGTTCTGGACTGTCGTAAGGTGGGCTCGGAAGCCAGCATCAGTCTGGACAATTCCTCGCCAGCCAACGTGAAGAAGAGGAACAAGAGAGGGGCCGAAGTTCCTATCAGGTCCCATTAGCGTCTGCCGGTTGAGCTCGAGTTGTACGCCAACAACACTCACATGATACACTTCCGCGCCATAGAATCAGCCTGCTCGTCCACCCTCTTCACATCCCAAAACGACTTCTCCTTGTGCTCATCGTCCGGCCGCATCACAATCGGCACAATATCCAGCTCCAGCCACAGCCTCGAGCACAAGCTCGGGCTCATGTACTTGAGCGTCGTGGGCAGACCAGCACCGATAAACTTGGCAAAGTTCTCGTGCTCGTACTTTTCCACTTCGGCAATCACGTGGTCAGCAATCAGATCGGCCCCCATCTTCATGGCGTCGTCCAGCATAATATGCTTGACGGAAAAGTCCACGAGATAGACTGTGTCGTGAATTGCCAGGGCTACGACGGCCGTGTGGTCGTCTGAGAAGACGGCCGAGACACCGAGGTAGAGGGTCTTGTAGAGACAAAAGCCATCATCAGTTTTTATGTACTGTGAAGAGAACAAACAGAGACAGGCAGGCAGGGTGGCTAGCTTACGGTGAGGGCAGGACCAAAGTGACCTTCCTTCTCCACCAATGTGCTCATCTGGCGCTTGCGGTGCACCGAAGTGCCCGTGGAGAACTTGCGTCCCTTTTCGAACGCCATGGCTGCGTTGACAGCGTGTACGACAGGACGAAGACTCTTGTGGTTGTAATGATCGGGATGGGATCGATTATCTGTATGTGTATGATCTGAGCTCTGCTCGTGTGGATCTGCAAACAAAGAATTGGCACGATCAGAGGAAGTAGATTGTTGAGGTTGAGCGAGAGTAGAGGGAGCAACGGGGGAGGACAAAGGGCTTATAGCTCTTTCCTGTTCCTGGATCGCAGCTGGGGACGAGGCCAGTTGACGGGCAAAGCGGGGGGACCCAGACCCGTTCTGGGCTTGGGATGGCGAGGATGGGACGACGGTTGGCGCTGGGAGGCTGTCGGTGTTTTCGTTATGGTGGCGGGAAGCAAGGGTGGTCGACGGTGAGGAGGGGCGCTGATCCTGATCCATTGTTCAAGAAAATCGGGAAAAAACAGCTGTCGAGCTTGCTATGGACGCGGGGGGAGGTCCTCACGAGGCGGTGACGCAGGTATTCGTCTTGCAGCTGCAGCCAGGCGGGTCCAGTGGGATGCTGCGATGCAGTGGTCTGCTGCTCTCTGCTCTGGTACAGTGGTACCTGAGGTACTTGGTAATGTGAGGCGGGGTAGGAACAATGAGCTCAGCTCGCGCAAGCGTAAGACGATGGGGGACGTCCGCCGAGGAGTATGTTCTTTGTCGAGTCAGGTTCGATGTCAGGTCGGTGCTTCCCGAGGGACTTCTCTTGGGTCCAGACTGCCGGGAATTGGTGGTGTCACCTGCGAGATTGTCAATTTCACTATCCAAAACCTGGTTGATCTGTGTGCCTCGAATGGGCGAGAACGACAATGGCGATATCTCGTCGTTCCATGAAGCTCTTCTCACTTTTTGCCCCCTGCCTTGTGCCACCCTCGACGTGGGACACACGGTGCTTGATCCCCGCGCCACAGCATGCCACCCATCTCGCTGCCGGAGGGCTCACAAGATACGCAGTCTGTAGATGGCCCTGGCAGGGCAGGAATGCATCTCGTGCTTGGGGTCACGGCGGGGTTGGCTTGGAGCCCACAGAGGTCATTGGACGAAAGCTACCACACCTGCACAATACATGAAAGTGCAGGTGGTAAAGTCGGTGAGAATGTCCATCACCAAGCCATGGCTGTGATAACTGTGGTTCGGGGCTTCTCTCGAAAACAAAAAGAGTTGTCCTCGTCCGGCCACGGCCCGCGACCTGTCGGCTCGGAGACGGTGACAGCTCAGAACGAGACTATCGACTCCATGCGCGAGTCTGAAACGGGCACGTACAGCAAGGTGTAGGAGCGAGAAAATGGAATAGTGCAGGAACTTACAGCAGAAATTCTTTTCTTTTTCTTTGCGTAACGGTCTCGCTGAATAGCAACAGCTTGTCTGAGACCGGCTTCCGAAGAATCTGATCTGGACGGTGTACGGGTTGCTGAGAATTTCTCTTCTACTTACTGTCAGATCATCTGAAGGATCAATTTGAGATGGAATGATCTCAGGAAACTATCCGTCAGCATTCCCAAAGTTTTGAGACGAACCTTTCTCTTCTATCACGACGTCTTGGAAGTGGTGACGTCTTGGTTACAGTGTCCGTTGTAACCGCTGTTAGCGGGCTTCTAGCGTTGGAGATGTCGTGCGGCTAGCGGTGCAGTTCACAGGGGCCTGAGCTAGGGGTGTTGACAAGGGGGTGATTGGATGCGGGGTTGTGAGGTTGTGAATCTGCAGGTGGAATGAATTGGATGGTGGTGAGGGATAGGGGATGTGAGACCAACAGATCGAATGAGCTGTTTAGGTAGATAATCGAGCTATGAGTAATGAGCTATTGATTGTGTTGGCAAACATCACACTCAGTCGTGGGTTGATGACTTATACATCAGCTTCAACTGCTTGATGGGCCACTTCAACGAGATCATACGATGGCTGGCTATGCTGAGGGCAGAAAATATCCCACGACTGCTCGGCTATCATGCAACTGGGAACGTCTTGGAACATGTCGTTGATCGAGATCTTGGGCTTGGTCAGCGGCTCTGGTGCCCGTATTGGCCCTGAAGGTGGGCCTCTGCAGGAACTATTTCTCAGAGTAACATGTGGTTTGGCGGCAGTGCCGGGCAGTCAGGTCATCACCAGGTATTCACATGTGGACCGTATCGACCAATTTGGTGCTTTGCTTGCTGCCAACAAGCTTGGAAGGGTGAAAGAAGGACTCATATCCCAGGATTTCGTGCAAGTCCCTGCACTCAATATGGTAACCTATACGATGACTTACTTATACGATCGGAGAGAGCGGAAGAGGCAAAAGTATGCCAACCCACTGAGTACGAGAGGAGCTTGAACAACTCAATCATATCATTACCAAATATGAACAACAATAAGGATAATCCGTACTCCGTGCTGTGTCCTCTGAGGATGTCCCAACTGTCGTCCACAATAGCCTTAGCATGGCGGGGAAGAGGGGCACCGATGATCCGAGTCCCATGGAAGGGTGCGGGGCAAAACGGGGAAGCGACGAGTGCCCCACTCGGCTTCTGAAGCCAAGTGCTTGGTGACCATAAACTGCACACTGCACGGGCCAAGCCGCCCAAGGATGGCCTGTCAACATTCGACGATGCTCCTTCACCACACCCCCCGTGACACCACGACACCATCTTTGTTTTACTGTGTCACCCCAGGGCGGTATTTGTTGAGACGGCGGTGTCACGTCCCGACGAGACATTTTCAGCCTCCACACATCACGGGACCCTGAAAGCTTTTCTCGTCCACATCCTCCAAAGACATGGTCGGATTTTGGGTCGGTGCCGGTCGACCGAGCCGAATCGAATCCTACAGAACATTTGACATTGATCGATGATCAGTGTAGAGGCTGGACTAACAGGTAAGACGTCAATGGTATTCAATAAAAGAACCCCCATCCTACATACGCAATACGCTCTCATTTACATAATACACATTTCGTCTGCCTCCTTCTCCCGCTCCTTTAGTCATATCTCTTGGCAACCGTCTTCCAGTTGATGATGTTCCAGATGGCATCAAAGTACTCGGCCTTGCGGTTCTCGTACTGGAGATAGTACGCGTGCTCCCAGGCGTCAATGCCCAGAAGAGGCACAAAGGCGCCGGTAACGGGGTCCTGGTTGGCGCGGGTGACGATGCTCAGAGTGTCGCTCTCCTTGTCCTTGACGAGCCACGCCCAGCCGCTGCCCTGGATGCCAGCCAGAGTGGTGTTCATCTGCTTTCGGAAGTCCTCAAAGCTGCCAAAGTCGTCCTCAATGGCTTGCTGCATTACACGAACACACGTTAGCACAATCTCTAAAACTCTTGCTCGGGCCCAACGTACCTTGAGGTCTCCCTTAGGCTCACCACCGCCCTCCCTGCTGGCAGGGGCAAGGTTCTCCCAGAAAAGAGAGTGGTTGACGTGACCACCACCGTGGAAGTTGAGAAGAGGCGCAATCGAGGCAGCCTTGGTGAAGTCACCCTTCTCCTCGGCCTTTGCGATATTTTCCAGCGCCGTGTTAAGGCCGGTCACATATGTTTGGTGGTGCTTCTTGTGGTGGAGCTCCATGATCTTGGAGGAGATGTAAGGTTCGAGCGCATTGTAGTCATCTGTAACCAGCACAGGTAAGTACAATGCCTTATCATGGTAAGTTGTAGCTAGCTACTGGCGTCAATTGCGACAGATTGTGGCAGCGGCGTGGCTGGCGTGTGGGAGTAGCCCCATAGAGGGCAACCAATGTAACCTCTTGACTGTTCAACACTTACACGGAAGATCTGGGAGAGTGGCCTTGCCGCGAACGAAGCTGGTGCTGGCGAGAGCAGCAGCAGGCTTGACAGCCGAAGCCCGGAGAGCTCCACGGAGCGCGGGGACGGTGCGAAGAAGAGTGGAAGACATTTTGATAGTGATGGTTGTGTTTGCTGTTGAGATAGGGGGTCAATTGAGTGTCTGGCGGTTTAGAGTTTGGAGGCGTGCCGTAAACATACCCTTTGAGTTCCAATGATGCAGACTTGGGACGTCAAACTTGTTGGGTCTGGTCTCAGGAGGGAACCTCGATGGAAGCTTCGGTTACTATCAGTCACAATTCCGTCATTGCCCCACCTCAAGCTACCCCAGTTTCGGCTGTATGAACTGTTGTCTGGGCCGCCAGCTGGCACGAGCGTCGCTGACCTAACAGAGGCGCACTGCCCCTCCAGGATGTTTCGCGTCCTCTCGAAGCCCAAAATTCAGGGACCAGTCGAGGTTGGACTTGCGGTTGGAGTTTCTTTCATTCTTTGCATTGGATCGCCTCACTACCGCGTCGTCATTATGTCTTACTACGACATTGACTCTATTCTCACCGACGCAGAGGTACCAGACTGGTCTCCTCCGAACCTTCTCTCTGTCACTAACCGGCACCTTGATGGCCACAGAAAATCCCATGTACCTTCCAGCTCGACATTCCTGACCTAGGCTACCTTGACAACACCCCGAACCAACCCCTCAAAGCCGGAACAAAAGTTAACCTCCCACTATGGCTCGCCGAAATGCTTGTCATCGCCAACACCGGCGGTCCCGATAACAAGACCTTTGTCACATTCGACCTCCCCCGAGCTCTCGGAAACGACGTCGTTCAAGCCCTCAAAGCCGACCCTCGAGCCGTCCCATTACGCGACCAGAGCGCCCATTTTTACGGGCTTGCAACACACATGATGGATCTATCTGAGGAACAAGAGCTGGGGAGTGTCCTGCGCAAGACGTTCGTCACTCGCGCTGCCGAGATCTCATTACATGCTCGCAAGGTTGGGGGCGTCAGCACTAAAGGGAAAGGGAAAGAGGAGGGGAGTAATCTTGGGATTGGTGGTGCTGGTGAGGAGTTCCTCAGAGGGCTGGACGAGTGGGAGAGGAAGCTCTTCCGCAAGGCGCACGACGGCGCCAAGTCTGGGAAGGAGTGGATGGACAGTATCAAGAAGAACTGAGGGACTGGGGAGAATCTCTTCAAGCAAGAGGTGGAGGAAGCCAACCCACGCCCTCGCCATCCCTTCAATTCCCAAGATCGCCACCGCCGACGAAACGAAGAAATTACAATATGGCCAGCGCCTGTTGTGGGATCAACCCGTACGAACAGCTGTACCAAAACCTTACTTGATGGCATGGGTTCATGCTCTAATATTTGGGCTGGCTGGTCGTGGACACGCCGGCCCACATTGGACCTCGGGGAACCATTTGTTGAAATCCAAATTCGACGTGACAAACCAAGGATGGCGCAGAGAACTGCATAATAACCTTAAACCGGACCAATGGACACCTAGTTCAATCGGTAATCGGCGCAAGATCAACTGATATTGCCTTCTTCGATTCCAGATACGGAACAACTGGGAAATACGGTGCGCAGGCGTCAAAATGTGGAATAGGTATGATAGGCCATATCGCACGGCACAGCGTTGCCGGTGTAGGGCTCATTCTGTGGCAAGACAGCACACATATATTATGCACAATACAGGAGAACATCAAACCATCAAATCTGTGTAGTTTGGGACTATCTTGATGTTTCGTCTCAGTTTGCGAGCACTTCCTCAGCTGTCAGGGTTTTGCCATCCTTTTTGAGCTGGGGTTGGCGGTGGCAATCATGGACGCAAGCTCCACAGAAACACATCAACAAAGCACCAGCCCGGCTAGCGCAATGGTAGCGCGTAAGACTTCTAATCTTAAGGCTGTGGGTTCGAGTCCCACGTCGGGTGCAAAACGAGTTGACCCAAGACTTGGTCAGCTTGCATTCCTTTTCAACCCCGCTTTTTTGGGGATATTGTAGATTTCTAATTACTTTTCCCATTCTACTATCTCTTCTTATGACGATGGCTGCCCTGGAGATGGCGAGGCACCCCTACTAAGACTCCTCGCTCTTCCGATAAGCTTCGATACACCCAGCGACGACGTCTTTTTCTTGAGGACGTAGATTTTGGGCATGCAGGCTACGAAGCCGCTTCCGGAGGGAGGATTGGGAGATGGGAGGGCGAAAGGGTAGATGGTGTAGTTGTCTGAGAGCCAGTGGTGGACTGAGTAGAAATCGCTTTTTCCCCACGGGGTGTGTTGTTAGTATCTTGGTGCGGATTGGCGACTGATGATAAGTGCACCGAGTGTCTTTTTTCACAGGGACAAGATATGTAGGGGGGGGAACTTACGTCCATCTACTGGGTGTCTCTGGCAGGTTTGAGTCCGCTCCGTCTGGCCAGAAGGAGAACTCTTTTACAATGATACCTGGTCTGACGTCGAGCTCTTGGATGAGTTTCAGAAGGGTGTTGTTGAGGGTTGTGTCGAACAGGAGGGTGTGGGAGTTGATTTTGAGGATTCCTTTGTCGATGTACTCGTGGGGGGATTGAAAGTCGGGAAGGAGAAAGGTGCGGTGCTCGAGCTGAGTGTGGTTGTCTGGTTTTTTGCGGAGGACGCGGGACATGTCTTCGAAGAAGTAGGATTGGCGGTTGATGTTGTTGTACTGGAACTGTGGGTGGATTATACTGTTGTTGGGTGGAGGGTCGATGGAGGGGGGCTTGCTGGAGGAGCTTTGGGACGGGGGTTTCTTCTCGGTGGGGGATAACTTGGGCTTTTGGGCTTTGTGGGAGACGGCTCGGGTGAAGTGGAGGAGGTTGGTGATGGAGATGTTGGATTGTTTGAGGTAGTACTTGAAAGGACCGCCGGGCTCGCCCATTTGCTCAAGGATGTGTCCTGCTAGGGGTCCTGTGTAGAAGATATGTTCGGCGGTGAGGATACGGCGCATTATTTGGTAGTAGCCCGGTTCGTTCAAGGGGTTGGGCTCCTTGAGGTCGTCTCTTCTGTAAATCTTGCGCTCTGTGAGCCCGGGTGGGAGTGAGTCGATAATGTGACATATTCTTGACCGATTTCAGTAACGTGTTGGACCTCACAAAGCAGCTCTGGACCTACGTCGCGTTGTCAACCATGGCCCATTCTTGGCGTCTACTAGTGATGATGTTGTATGCGGCTTGAATATGAGGAGGTACTTCGAGATAATTTTGAACAAGGTAGTCAGCCCTTCTGACAACCTCGTTCCTCCGAGCATAGCCCGGGTGAGTGTCGAGTTCTCCAGGCTCGATGGGTTTTGCACGTGGTTGCGACATTTCGATGCTTGTGTCTGTGAGGTGGGTGAGGAGCAGCGACTGAGGCCGTAGGGAGAGGTTATATGTGAATATGGGGTTCGTCAAGTGTGGGAGGTATTGCTCCGGTGGATTGGTCCAGACAGGTTGCTCCCTGGGCTTCGGCCCTGAGGCCCACAAACCAGTCTTGATAGTTATAGGTGTTTGCTCTCGGAGCTGTTTATTTGAGTATCTCTGAATATCATTAACTTTTACACATCTCTGCGGACGCCCGACATCACGTGGGGAGTTTCTTTGTTACCCAAAGCTTCGTTGGTGACACGAACAACTGCGGGCGGTCTGTTGGTTTCATTTTGCGGGCAGCATCGTGATGAACTTTGAGACACGAGACATACAAACGTGCCATACGTGTGAATTGTATGGGGTCGGATGGTGAATGGAGTCCAGACGGGTGCTTTGGCCCTTTTGCCACTCGGCTCCAACCGCTAACTTTTGGTGGGAGGCATCCCGAGAGGGCAGTGCAAATTACGTATCACAGACCGCCGTCCGGAACCAGCTCAGGGGTCCAGGGGCAAAACCATCGCGTTCTCATGCTAGGAGAGAATTGTCGTGGAGCTCACTCATAAATGATTGATGGTGTTGAGAAAAGGTATTCTGCCGCACCATACAGCTCCCACACCACGAAGTCCAGTCAACGTCTGTCAATCACTGCGCACAAGTGCGAGCTATCCCCAACCTATTTGATGCGCACTGTAACCCTTTATCACAGTCGTTTCACTTTACCCAGCCAAGTCTAGCCACTCAGGCTTATGAGTTCCGGAGCTATCGTACGTCTCCAACGACCTGGCGAAAACGAGGCATGTGAAAAGAAGATTGGAGAACAGCGATATCCCCTGGCACCACACCCAGCCACCGAGACATTCAGTAGACATTGTTCAGGGTAGATAAAACCACAGGTAAAGAGTCTGTGTGCCAAGAAGAGTTGGCAAGAACACATACCCGCGGTAGCCTTCGTAAGAGTCGTGGATAATACACCAGAGGATTACCCTCCCAAGACCTGTCCCTGCAAGTCAGATCAGTGCAGCTTGTCGGACACGGAAAATGAAACTTGTTTTCCGTCTTACACTGGCTGTCCTCTGGAAGGATGCAGGGTTGGTGGTTGATCCCCAATCGTTGATGATCATCCAAGGTCCAACCTTGTCACCTAACCATTCTCCAATTTCCGGATCAAGTACAATGTGATAAATGAACCAGATGCAGATATAGCCAAGTTCTCTCGGCCATGCCAGGGGGCCAGATCTAAAGAGCGCCGAGAACAGGGATCATCAGTGTCGAGATGGCGCGTTGGAGAGCTTTCTCATGCAGCAAGTCCTCTATCTGTACTGTGCGACGTATGGGGTTTTCGGACAGGCTTAGGTAGACTTCGTGGTTCCGATAGGCGATTAAAACGAGGACTTGTACTGCTACCCATCCTATAGACAAACACCAAGCGGCAGTTTGAAATCCGAGTGGTATCGTGACAAAGACTAGTTTGATGATGACGAGAAGACAGCAATGGTGCCGAGAATCTTGACGATCAACTCGACATAGGATTCGTTCCCCCTCAGACTCTCCCTGGCGCTGCCAATAGACCTGATGCCACCAGCACGTGGACTCCTACGGCCGAGTTGGTCATCTTCTGATGGATTTAAATTTCGATGTCCATGAATATCTCGTGTCGAGGCATGGTCGGTGATATCAAGGCTGCTGGCGGGTGACGCTTCGCCAGAGTAGGGGATATCTCCTAGCAGGGGTGATCTTGCTTCGTCGTCGTCGTCGTCATGTCCCTGGGCATCCGGGTTTTCGGACCAGCGGTTGGAACTCCGGCGCTTCCACCAAGAATTAGTTGGAGTTGGGTTCACCAATTTCCAGGATGCCGGGAGGCTGCCGCGACTTCGTAGAAGTAGCACAGCTGTGGCAGTCATCCGTAGGTTCCCCCGGAGCCCCAATCCAAGATCAGCTCTTGTCAACCCAATACAACGGATGGTCGGCCAGATGCATTGTGACAATGCGAAGATGATGAGGTTTCGTGTCGGTGTGTTGGCATTCGTGGCTTGGGTTGGAGTTGGCTGCCTCCGAAAAGCGCTGAAAGTGGCCACCAGCGAGAGCGAGCCCAGCCTTGGGACCGGCATTGTCGCTAGTTCCTTAGGTACCCAGGCAGAGTCATTTTGACCAAAAGAGTTTAAGTTGGCAAAAGGAATCTGTAGGTATTCTTTGAACCGTGATATAGCTATATAGGTCGGGACCCGATACTTTAGGTACTTGAGCCAAATTGGCTCCTGTCAATAGCAAACCTGAGAAGTCGAACCCATTCCAGCCATCATTGTAGTTGCGGTCCGTCACCAAACAAAGATTCAATCTGATCTTGCTCCAACACAGCATCAAGCTTCGCCTTCTCCTCAATAGCTGCGACTTCCGCAGGAGCAATAACAACCTCCGGCTCCTCGGTGCCTTTGTTGTCCGCGCCAGCAACTGCCTCAGCCTTCATTCGGCCAAATCGCGACCCAAACGTCCTCCGTCTTTGGATCCGCGATCTCACAGGACCTAACCCAGGTTAACCATTTTATTCCTGCACGCCATACGTCGCGCCAGTTGACTTACCCTTGACAGGTTCACGACCTTCGGCTCCCCTCCTCGAGTTCACCCCCCCACAGTTCGGCGCAGAAATCGGCACCAACGACTGCGGAAACGGATCCAACGGACCCCAGACATTCCCATTCTCATCCCTCCCAACACCCTTGGTCAAGAACTCCATCTCCCGAAACTCAAACGGCACGCCGTTGGCGAACAACCCCGGGATGTCCATCTCGGTCTGAACCCACACGTTCACAGGTTGGATGTAGCTCCCTGCCAGAATTCCGTTCCTGGTCCTCCGGGTGATGGGGACACCGTCAATCTCAGCTACGGCACGATACTCCCTTGTGTAGCCAAACAGGATCTCATTGCGGTACTCGAACTTGTTCTGGAAGTTACGTCCACCGCGAAGACCGACGCCGGCGATCATGCGTTCTGTTGTCTCGCCTGTGCAGGGGTTTACGTCGAGGGCGTAGAGGGTAACCGAGGTGCGGGGGTTGGAGGAGAAGCCGATGAACTTGGTGGGGTTTAACACCGGTATGGTTGTTTGGGGGAGGGCAGGGCAGGGGGCTTACTCTGGAGTCAGCGATTTCAGCTGCCGGGCTGGGACTGAAGATACCGAGGAGAGCGAGCTCCATGCGGATGTAGACAATGTCATCGCCAGTGGTGATCTGAACGTTTTGGGCGACGATGCTGAAGGCGATGACTTCGTCGCCGCGCCGGAAGCCACTGAAGGTGATGAGATCGCCCGGGAGGAAGGGGGCCATGACCAATGGGTCGGGGGCGCGGCTAAGGGTGACAGTCAGAACGCTGAGTTGACCACGATGTTGCGGATCGCTTACAAGATTCCGGGACGGCCAGTAGGCCGATTGCTCAACGGACACAAGGGATCAGAACCGTTGCGGGGGATACACATAGGAAACCCTGAAAACGCAGTGATGCTGGGACTTTGATCATCCGCCGTCATGAACGGCGCACCGTCATACCCAACAGAGAAGACACCGTTGGGATCGCTGATGCGGACGGTAGGTCCGTTCTCGATCTTCATGCTACCATCAGTGTAATTGAGGGACTCGATGAAGCCGAAGCTGAGGCCCTCGAAGAACTCGGTGATGACCACCTGACCGACACGGGGGTCTCCCTCGATAGTGTTGCCCATGACCTGTAACAGGTATTAGCCAGCCGCTAACTTGGAGTCGACAGCAAGCGGGGGCTGTTTACCAAGGTCTCAAACCCAATGAAGTCTGACTTGCTCGCGACAAAGTCTCTCCACGGCACCCACGCGGCAGGAAACTGGACTAAGAGGTTTCTTGGGATGTTCAAAACGAAGCCGTTGACGGTGATTGTACCGCCGGCGTTGTAGGATGTGTCATTGGCGGTGACGGTTGCGTCCTCGAACGCTCCCTGTACCCAGATAGGAGAGTCATCTCGGAGGACCTGGGCGAGGACACAAGGGAGGAACAAAGAGAAAAAGAGAAAAGAGAGGATCGAGGTGAAGATGTGACACCTCATGTTGGCAGTGTTGCTGAACGAGTCAAGGACGGACGCGGGTACCTGACATAGAGCCAGCACAAGTCTCTGTTGAGGCTCATGTCTTATATAGGCTCTTCTCTGCGACGGCTCAGTCATCACAGTCATAGTCCATGTTTCTTCTCAGCGGCAGCTCCAATCTGTCAAGGCATGGCTCTCTGGCTCACTTCTTCGTGACTCGGGGGCAAATATTTCAGCTCGGCTCGACCTGCCCATCGGCTTGGTCATCAAGGTAGAAGCGAGCTATAGACAATATTCTGAGATGAACTCATCCATCAGGAGAATCTAGAGTCTGTGGCCTTGTGTCAATAGAATCCATGTGAATACAACATAACAAACATATAGGTTCCTGTTAAGCGAGCAGATGCCGACTATCACAGAGCCAAGGCCAGTCTAACATCATGTGCCGCTTCCTTTGCAGCTTTATTCCCCACCATCAGAGATTCGCTAAATCTTTCTTCCCGACGTTAATCCTTCAGTTATTAGGACAGATCTCACACCTCCACCATTTCAGGTAGAACTTGTAGGAAATTTCCTCCGTCTCGTCCCGGCTGAGATTCCTGTTGGGAGATGGCAAAGACTCGTGCAACAGTCTACATTGTCTTGGGTGTAACCCGACAGAAAAAGAAAGGTTCAACGTATAGCCGATGATATCCAGAGTAGGTAAGGGGCAAAACGGGGGGGCTCATTAACAGTCCAAGAGCGGGCCGTCGCGTGGGAAGGAATAGGGGTCACGCCCACTCGGCTTCTTCCCGATGACGTGCTGGGGTGTTGTGAGACGCCGCTCTCTGCCGAGTTTGGCTGCTGGAGGGTGCCCATATCAGCATCGAGGATCGACCTGCATGGGACTATCGGGTATTTTAATTTGCTCAGGGCTGAGCGATAGCGGCGGTAGTTGCCGAAGCGAAGTTCACCCCCCCGGCGCCCATGGACGTCTCGTATTAGTCTGCCCCCCACACACCCCTTAGAAATCTAAAGATGGAAACAAGAGCGTGTGTCGTTGACCACAAGTTCGTCACCACACCATCGCTACATCGGGATTATTGTTTCGCCACTGAGAATATCGCAAGAAGAAACGAAGTGCGAGATGAGTTCATCTGGAGCTGACATACCGAGGTTGCTGGCTGGGCATTGGCTTGGAAGAAGAGATGGCAACTCGAGCCGAGCGAGCCAAATCGAGATGCCCTCATATATCTGGGTGAGCAAATCTATCAGTGGGATATCCAGGCCTTGGATGTTATCGCCGGTGATCTGTTTTAGACACTGCCATCGTCCACCATGGTGCTGTTCTGTTATCTCAAGCTCGCAGCCCTTGCAGTGGTACTGGCCCCCCATCTTTCAAAAGCCCACCTCTTGCGTCGTCCTGAAGATGCTTCTTCAGAAAAGATCACGGGCAGCCATGATCACCTCGGATTTCGTTCAGAAACAGAGAACCACCATCTGGTCAAGAGGAAGCACCCAAACCTGAGCCCAGACTACCCGCTCATGTTCCAAGTCCCACTTCCTATCCCTCCTCTGAAGCAACCCACCCGGTAAGTCCCCACGCTGCCATCTTGGCCTCGGTCCCTACCATCGGACTGACACCTCCCAGAATTGTCAAAGTCCCCACTCTGTCCAACATGACCTCCCCGTTCTCGAACCTTACCAATGCCAACACCACGATTCCCAGGTTTGTGCATTACTACGAGATTGAGATCAAGCCCTTCCAGCACTCCATCTACCCGGACCTCAGTCCCGCCAATCTTGTCGGCTACGATGGCATCTCTCCCGGTCCCACCATCATGGTGCCACGAGGGACCGAGTCCGTCGTTCGCTTCGTCAACAACGCCCACGCCAACAGCTCCATTCACCTCCACGGATCCTATTCTCGCGCTCCCTTTGATGGTTGGGCCGAGGACACCACCGCCCCTGGGGAGTACAAGGACTATTACTTCCCGAATCGGCAGTCGGGCAGGATGATGTGGTATCATGACCACGCAGTGCACATTGTCTGTTCCTCTCCATCCTGCAAGTTCCAAGTCATGGCACGCTAACCCATACGAAAACCGCAGACAGCAGAGAACGCCTACATGGGCCAAGCAGGCGTGTATCTCGTCTGCGACCCAGCAGAAGATGCCCTCAACCTCCCTTCCGGCTATGGCGAATACGACATCCCCCTCGTCCTCGCAGCCAAACAGTACAACCTCGACGGGACACTGTTCTCCACTGTCGGGGAGAGAATCAGCCTCTGGGGTGATGTCATCCACGTCAACGGGCAGCCGTGGCCCTTTCTGAACGTCGAGCCACGCAAGTACCGGTTCCGGTTCCTCAACGCGGCCGTGTCAAGATCGTTCTCGCTATACTTTGTCAAGACAAGCAATGCCGGCGGGCTCAACGCCAAACTTCCCTTCAAGGTCATTGCGAGCGATTCGGGGCTGTTGGAGAAGCCAGTTCAGACTTCGTACATGGTTTGTCTCCTCCCAGTCTCTTTTCTTCCCTGAAATGGTAGCTAACCAGTTGACCGCCAGTACATCTCCATGGCCGAGCGCTATGAAATCGTTTTCGACTTCTCCTCCCACGCCGGACAGACCATCGAGCTCCGCAACTTTGCCAAAGCCGGCGGCGCCGGGGTCGAGGACGACTACCAAAACACAGACAAGGTCATGCGCTTTGTGGTTTCCAACACCACCGCCAGCGCCGACACCTCCGTTGTCCCTGCCCAACTACGCACCGTTCCATTTCCCCGTCCCAAGACAAGGAGAAAGATTGACCAGCACTTCAAGTTCCACCGCGCCAACGGTCAATGGCTCATCAATGGCGTTGGCTTCGCGGAGGCCAACAACCGTATCCTTGCCAATGTCCCCCCCGGCACGGTTGAGATCTGGGAGTTGGAGAACACTACCGATGGCTGGTCTCACCCAATTCACGTGCATTTGGTGGACTTTCGGGTTATCTGGCGTCGACGGGAGGGTAGGCGCGTGGAGAAATACGAAAGTGAGGGGCTCAAGGATGTCGTATGGCTTGGGAGAGAGGAAACGGTGCTGGTGGAGGCTCATTACGCTCCCTGGGACGGCGTGTACATGTTCCATTGCCACAACCTCATCCACGAGGACGACGATATGATGGCCGCATTCAATGTTACTGCGTTGCCTGACTTTGGGTACAGCAACTTCTCTGCCAAGTTCTTGGATCCCATGGAGCCGAGGTGGAGGGCAAAGCCATTTGCCATGGCAGACTTTACCGCACGGACAGGGCCATTCTCAGGGGCGGCGATTGACCAAAAGGTGAAAGACTTTGCTGCGTCGGACGCCTATAGGCATGCCGACGAGATCATGGATGGCTTGGATCAATACTGGAGGACCGCCAGCCAGCCTGTTCGGAGCACAAGTACACGATCATCTGCAACCAATACCCGATCGACCACGAGCACAGGGACGCGAACCACTACCACATCTAGGGCAACGACGACATCGAGGGCAACAACATCAACACCAACAACTCGAAATTTAAGCACCCGGCTTCAAGCAACCACTCGTTCATTCATTACAAAATCATGGGACAGTTCGGCAACACAGTCGACACTGCCGCCGCGCTTAACGTCTAGGCCGCTGTCAAGTTCTCGTCCGCCATCCACAGCAACACTGTTCTAGGTAGCCAGATGACACTACGTGTATCCGGAAACAAGGAGGTTTTGCAGGTCTCTCTATGTATTGACCTGTTTCGCTTTCTTCATCTATATATTCATTCCAGTACTATTCAGTTATGTTTCATTTAAATGCCAGAATCATTACAGAAAATCACGATCGTCACCAACACCGTTGATGCCTCTGTTAAGTGCCTGTTAAATTTGCAGTTAACACCCCAGTTGATCTAATAATCGTTCCCGTCACCCGCGTGTTAGTTACACTCTCATTTAATATGGGCCCATACCGAACACCTACAACCCGACCGAACCCTACCGACTCCGCCTCACGTGATCTGCGCTCGCGGGGTGTAGGGGGTCCTATACCATGTCAGCGATAGTCTAATGCTTCTGACATAAGCGAGACTTCTTTTTCACCTCCGAGCCCTCAGCCGGAAGCTCCTTCTAGAGACACATGTGAGCTAACGCCGTTTAGAGATCTACAGTAAAGACAAGAACTTACGAGCAAGTCCTCAAGTCTAGCCTCTTGCGCAAGAGATTAGAAAGGTCGTGACACATCTCTCTTTAAAAAAGGGATTGGAATCACCTTGGCTTTGCTCATTTTCTTCTCATGGGCCTGTAATATACTTAGCACGCCGGTCAAAGCTCGTATGATGTGAAGCTTCCATACCTCGGTGGCGTTCCACACAAGGCTACATACACAACGAAGTCTAATCAGCAGCTTATATGCATGGCAGCGGGTTTCCATGATGATAACACATGCGATAATTTCCTCCTTTTTTTCCTGTTGCCGATATCAGCCTCGATAGAAAACGGTCTATTCAAACAGGGCAAAACCCACGGGAACGAGCTCGGAATAGTGCTAAAAAACGGTCAATTGATCTCTACAATGTTGGAGACATTGGAAAAGATCCCATATACAGAATTTGCATTGATTGAGCTGGACTGGGCAGATCCGTTCATACGTGAGAATGGCCATCAGCCACTCGTCCAGTCTTACAAAACCCCCATAAAATCAAAGCTTACATTGGCCCGGCTCGTCAGTGAACTGTTAAAATAAAGTCAGCTCATGTAAATCCTCGCGTGTTCCATGGAATAAACATACCTCCATTTTGCGCTGTTCGTTCTATATGGATTTTTAGCCAACCTATATCGCCGGAAATATGTCCAATGCTCGACACACCTTGATTTCAAGGACCAAGTTCTTCAAAGAACTCAAGTCAGTATGTCCATCCTAGCTTTATCCCAGCTTTTCTTCTCCATGCCGTTTGCTCACGACGATTTCCTCGTTCACCCGAGGGGTTTTTCTTTTTTGTTTTTTCCGTCGGTTTCTGCAGCGAGCGGTGTCAGAAGCACTTCAAAACGATCATCGCGTCGTTCGCAAGCGTGTAGGCGGTCATCCAAGCTTATCAAAATCCCATTTGGAAACGGCATGCCTGAATATTTCCGAACTGTAAGCGGGCATTAGCAACCATCCAAGCATGTCAAAATCTCATTCAAAGGCGCAACATACTTGTGGATTTTGGGACTGTGAGCGAGTAAGAAAACATCCAAACATTGTAAAAACCAATTGAAAAGCGCATACATGGCATCTACAAGCTTTTATGAATTCCGAAGTAATCAGAAAACGGCAAACATCGAAGATGCTGGGACAAGAAAAATATGTAAACATACCATGGGTTATGGTCGGGTTTTTTTTTTTGGTTTTTTTTCATATGTGTGTTTAGGGAAAAGAAGGGGGGAAATCGCGACTTGTTAGATTAAAGACCTCTGCTTCATGATGGGACAGTCTGTGCACACAGCTGGTTAGCAAAGTCATCAAGGTTGATGGAAAAGGGGGAAGGTGCGTTCGAGCTTTTCTTAATGAGTCTGTCTTGTTCCCCATCACACAACGCTTTTAACTGGATAAACATACAAATCTACTGAGCTATTTGACCTGTCTTGTTAGAAGGTTACTGAATCTCATCATTCCTTTCCAGAGTTATGAAAAGACATGATGACAAGTCTTACAAAAGAAAGGCTGACCCCTTCATACAGAGACTGGGGTATATATATGTTTGTTGCTGACCGTGGTCTTGTCACACCTACACAACTCACAGTTATAAGAAGCCGTTAGTGAAAGCATAAGAAGATTGGGCACCCTGAAGATGGGAGTTCATTATACGGGGGTGGAAGGACTCCTCGTGGTAAGGAGTAAGGCATGATGAGCCGTACATGACGGAGCTGATGACTGTTCACAAGGCCTGGAATTTCATTTGCATGACCTCCTACTCGCACGCCTCGTCACCAGAGATGACAGCAAACTACACTCTCCACACATATCAGCCACATACGACTGTTGTTCATAGGTTAGGTATAGCATCTCAACTCAGGACACATGCTATAACCCTTGTCACGTCACTTTCCCGACCGGCAGGAGGTCAAAAAGAAACCAGAACATTGCTACTTTGTAACTTTTAGAGTTGAGGTGATAGCAGCTATGTCAACCAAGAGCAAAAAAGCATCAAAAATATCTGCCTTGCTCTTGAACCCAAGCTCAAGTGAACACGACGATCCACCCAGGGCTCGAACCTGGAACCTCCTGATTCGTAGTCAGACGCGCTTCCAATTACGCCAGCAGACCTTGCTGTGATGGTGTTTGCCTCCAGGATAGAGGCTTCAAGTTTGACATGCAGAATTTGTGCGTGGGTGTTCCTTGCCGATATCAACCCTGGAGCGAGTGGGGCCACCACCGAATCATGGGCTGGGGTTTCCAAGTAGGGAAAACCAGCCCAGATGACAGTAGCTTTCAGAGCTCAAGCAGTCAGGAAGAATATCTTCTCGGCACGGGTTTGGCCTGGGTAGGAAGATATTTGGAGATAAGGGGCTGCCATCAACCCTAACCCCCAATTCCAAGCCGCACCCTCCACGTTGCACCCTCCACGATTCAGTTCTGGCAAAGATCGCCCAAACGCTATGTGTGACAGCAACGTCAAGATAAGGTTGCAGGTGTCAATGCCAATCAAGAAGGGTTACTGGTGTATTGGTGGTTGCATGGGAGGACGTCGTGCAGGCGATCTGTGTTCTGTTATCAGGTCCTTTCAGGGTAGTTGATGATGGGGACATCAGTGTGCCCGTAGCACCATGACCATCAGCACGGAGGAGTGGTTTCGTGGGATTTCTGGGGGAATGTTATCCACGCCTTGGGGAAGACAATGCTCGGAACCACCGGGTCTAGAATAACAACAAGACAAAAATAAAAGACGGCGGCAAACTGCGCCCTGCTTTGCCATGTGGTAAAATGACAAATGTCAAAGTCGGGACTCGTCGACATGTTGACGGGAGTTCAGCAGAGCCCCACTGCGATGCTACAGTGGGTTCCGAGAGGAACGGGTGTTCCCGCCGCGGAGATGCAATTGTTACTGGCAACTGCTGACTCGGCCTTCCTGTTAGCAATAGTGAGCTGATCCAGCTGATCGAGCCTCAAATGTCCACACGAGGGATATTGCAGGAATTGCCCAGCCGGGAGAATTGTTTTGCAACTCGCAAGAAAAAACGGTCTTGCTGGAGTATCGGCCCTCGGAGATGCGCTTGTCAATGTCGATCGTACGGCACTCGGTATCGTACCACACCCCCTAGGCGAGACCAAGAAAGCTCTGCGCAATGGCTGGGAACGTGAAGGAAGGCAAGGGATTTCGGGCGGCAATGGGATGACAGAAAGGTAGAGAGAACAACAGGATGTAGAGAAGGATAAATACCCTTCCATGGTCCAAGGAAAACAATCTCAATATCCCAAACCATAAACTCTAGAGTGGACCAGAGTCGCAACGCATATCCCCAGATTTCCCCAGTTCCCCACTTGAGCCGACCGTTGGGAATCTGAGACGCTACACTTGTCAAGACTTTTAACTTCAGTCTCCCCTTCCAATAGCCACTCATCAAGCTTTGCCAAGTCAGATAGGCCACTGGATATCCTTCATCATGGCAGCCATCACCCCCGAGCAGATCGCCATTGTCAAGGCGACAGCGCCAGTCCTCAAAGAACACGGCGTAACCATCACCACCACCTTCTACAACAACCTCATCGGAGATGTTCCAGCACTTCACAACTTTTTCAGCACCACCAGCCAAACAACAGGTCGACAGCCACGAGCACTTGCCGGCGCTGTTCTGGCTTATGCGACGTATATCGACGACCTCCCCAAGCTGACACATGCCGTGGAACGCATCGCCCACAAGCATGTTTCCCTCCAAGTAACCCCTGAGCAATACGACATCGTCGGAAAGTACCTGATCCAAGCCATCGGTCAAGTCCTCGGTGACGCAGCCACCGCCGACATCGTCGACGCCTGGATTGCCGCCTATGGTGTCCTTGCCCAGGTCTTCATCAACCGCGAAGGCGAGATGTACAAGTCGAACGCCGTCGACGGCTGGGTCGGCTGGCGCAAGTTCCGCATCACCCAGAAGGTACCAGAGAGCAGCACCATCACGAGCTTCTATCTCGCCCCCAGCGATGGGGCCACGCCACTACCCAAGTACATGCCGGGTCAGTACGTCAGCTTGCAGGTGCCAGTGCCCGAGCTTGGGTACCTGCAGAGCAGACAGTACAGCCTGAGTGAAGCCCCGAGAAAGGGAGAGTACTACCGCATCAGCGTCAAGCGAGAGGAGGCCCTCGAGCCGAGCGCCCCTGCCCTTGTTTCCAACATGTTGCACGACCAGTACGCCGTGGGCGACGAGGTCGAGCTGTCGCATCCACAGGGCGAGTTCTTTGTGGACCCCCAGGACGCAAGCAAGGAGGGTGTCCCGGTCGTTTTGGTATCCGCCGGCGTTGGTGCGACACCGCTCAAGGCCATCCTTGACAGCCTCGTGTCTGCGGGGTCCAAGAGACCAGCATCATGGATCCATTCATCACGATCGAGCGCGGCACAGCCGTTTGCTGACGATATCCGGCGTATCTGTCGCGAGAACGAGAACGTGTCGGCCAATGTGTTCCTGCGCACGCTTGGCCCTGAGGACCGCGCTGGGGTACACTACGAGTTTGGAGACATGCGGCTGGATCTGGCAAAGTTGGACAAGGAGCGCGGTTTGTTCCTGGGTGACTCTCGAGCCGAGTACTACATTTGTGGTCCCGAGGCATTCATGATCGATGTTCGCCGCACATTGGTCGAGCAGGGTGTCGACAGGTCGAGGATATTCCTGGAGCTCTTTGCGACGGGTGATGTCAGCGACGAGGAAGCAAAATGGTGAACGATTGGGATGGGAATTAGGTAGAGCGTATTGTAGCATATGGAGTACTCACCTCGAGAATAAGAACATCTTCTGACACCTAGATTGGATGCGCGTAGCCGTTGACAGGTTGATGGTTGATGCTAGACTCACACAACTTTCGAAGACGACATAGGTGTAGGTGACAACCTGGACCGTGGACGTGCTGAAGCAAGCCACGGCATGGTGCCCCTGCGTTGTAGGTGCTGAAGCCCCACTATAAATGGCGTTGGGGTGGCTGAGAGCCTCGGCAGCAGTGGCAATTTGGGCTTGGAGGCCCTCAACGATGTCTTCAACATCTCGTTGTTTCTGATACATTGCAGACCACGTCAGCTTCCACCTCCAATTCCACGGCATAAGACTCCCTGATTGCAAATCCAGAGTTTGAAGCCATACGACACAGTTCAGCTGCGCGTTATTTCCGCCCCTTTTTTGGTCGTGCTATGCTCGGCTCCTGTTTCCATCACACAGAAACCCAACTGAAGTTCCAGCATGCCAGAAGCCTCCTCGCCCAGCACCCCCGCTGTTGCTATACACGACGCCATTCATCGTTGCCTCGGAACCGCTATTTAACCCGAGTAGTGAGGGGATTAGCATCTCTCACGGGATGTCTTGTGCCTCCTGACTCTCAGCTGTGAAAAACCGGGCCGAGTCTTGTCAGGAGGACTGTTCCCTGCAAACAGCCAGTGTTGAAGCTCTTGGAAGGTTGCGCGAGGAGTTGCTGGCTGAGACCTCGGTAGAAGCATGTCGAAGATGGCACTTTCTGATCTTGACTGATCCTGGCAGACGTCAAGCTGAATGCTTTAAGGGTGAATCTGGAACCAGAATCCCTTTGCCCCCAGGTCACACAGCGTTGAGATTTGCGTGTAACATTGCCAAGCTCCTTTGTGCGGGCCGAACCGAGCTGGCGGGTTCGATCGCCTCTGCAAGCCACGACATCCCTTTGTGTTCTTTGCTTCTGCCAGTTCATAGGCTTATGTGGGCTACTCATACCTCCAACCGAGTGCCCGGTGGACTGTGGTGTGGTCAATGGCCATAAGTCTTTTGATATCTGTATATTGTCCGAACTAATAACGAACGTTTGTGGGGATGAGTCCCGAATCTCCGGTGTGTTTTTCTCGAACATATTACGGAGGACGCGTGGGATTTCTTCCGGCCGAAACGATTGAGCGTGCTTCAGTTGCAGCCCTGGCCGGAGCTTCATTCACGTAAGCGTCTTCCAGTACTGCTGATCCTTCACAACTAACCAGCCGTTATCCTGTCCCGCTCGTCCATCATGTCACCTTATCACAGCCGGCATCTTGATACGATGGCTCGAATGCTCAGATGCCAAGTTCGGTTGTATTTCGGCGGCCGGCTTCCCGGTCTTTGACTGGTGACTGGTGACCCGGCGATCATGACTGCTAATTGGGGAGACCTAACGGATATAGCGATACACATTGACCTCACCAAGAGTTGGTTGGTGTTTTCCCGATCAGGTAATCCCGCGGCTGCTGTCAGGTACGATTGCGATCCGTGATCGACAAGGGGAGCTGGTCTTTCCCAGCAGCCTACCTTGGGTTGCCGTGCGCTGGAGGGCGTTGCGGTAGAACGTTGGGCCGTCCAAATCACCTCGGAGTCTCAAGCAGGTACAACGGCGGCCGATGACACAAGACGCCCCCTTGCCACTCGCACAAACATGACGACGGGAGCAGCCCCTTCGCATCCTGGACATGGATTGTTAGAGATTAAGCCGTGCCTGATACCGTCCACAAGCAGCATTGCATGCCGTATCTGGTACCACTCCCTGGCATGTGTCATGCGTCTCCGATGTTGCCTTGCTGCACCAGCTCGTGGCCCATCTTCGAGCTAAACCCCGCTGGGCCATCAGTCATCGGCTTCATCCTTACACCACTCCCAGACAGGACCACAATGTCTGCCCCGAGTTCGTTTTGGGCTGTTGAATTCTGTATCTTCCTTGGCACGTGTACACGATGTGGCACTCTGCGTCGATGCTTGGTTCCTGGACTGGATTGGATGGAGGTTCTGGAGGGCTCGCCTTCAGCCTTCCCAGACGAAAGGTCTCGCACACGGAAAGGGAACCTGGGTTCGACAAGGCACTGTGAGAGATGGATGCCTTGTTGCATTTAATTTCAGATGTCTCTCTCAGTTGGCAGCACCATGATGGAGACTTGTCCTAGGTAACACGGGGAAACCCAAAAGGCCATCCCCAAACCATGGTTCTCACAAGTAACCTTCTGTCCTTCCGTCGCGAGCATTGAGGTGGGATGCTCTTTGAGGAAAGACACAGACTGGCTCCATCGTTCCTGGGAAGCACCGGTCGCCGTCACGCCTTTTCGTCCTGCTGTTCGGCTTAGGCCAACTGACCGCTGCCAAGTATTTCACCTGCCCCTTCCACCAATCCCCCACACACTGTAGTTGTCCTTGTGGAGGTAGCTTGCGGTCGCCATCGTCATAGGTGGTGGTAAGGAGATCATTCTGTCGTGTCAGCGGTCCTAGAAACCGCACTGTCATCATGGTAAGTCCTTTCCAAGTCTCCGATTGTATTCTACCAAAACCGAGGGCGATGCCGTTGATCGGCGATGGGTGTGGGTGGTGTGAGAAGAATCTGTAGCTGGGAAGCTGCGGGGCTCTGGCAAGGCTGCTCCTAGTTGAACCCATGGCAGTGTCCAACCTTCCAGTTCCAGGTTGCTAGAAGAAGCCCATGGGTGGCCTGCTAGCGCCCATGTTTGGCCCAGTGTTCCCCATACATACGTTGGGTAGACACTCGAGCTTTTCCTTGTGTGCTAATCCTACCTACCAGGTATTTCTGGCAGGGTCTGGCTGTCCGGCGAGTTGCGCTCTTTGGGGCATCAGTGTAATCTGAACTTGTCTCCATTCACCTGATCCATTGCCACCACGAGAGAGATCGCAACTGTCACCAAGCATTCTAACATGGTACGGAGCCAAGGGCAGTGCGCATGCCCCCCTTCCTGGTGTCCACATAGGTAGTCAACCGCTCCAGTAGACCTAGCTTCGACCAAGAGCGTGCTTTCGGTTGCTTGTTGCTCCTGGGGGCCCGTTCAAATTTTTCCTTTTTTCCCCCCACCAGGCTATCGTTCTTTTCACCATTGCCGTCTCACTCCGATCTTGACCAACTGACTGTTAAAGCAATCCACCACCTACCTCCCAGGCTTTTGACAGCCCTTGATCCTGTTCCCAAGCAGCTATTCACTATCCTTGTTCGGCACCTACGACGACGTCTTTCTGCTTTACAGGCAAACAATTCACTTGCTCGGCCTCCTTTTTTCAGCGTTCTTTGCTGGACCAGCTCAATTTGTTTGGCGAGCCGCTGATCCACCTAGCTTACAGCACCATTTTTCTTTCATTGCTGTCTTTGATTGCGGTTTTTTTTTTAATCAGATTGTCGATACCCCCAGCAACCCGGTCCTTTGCCTCCTTTCAGTTCTTGTCTTTCCAACGATAATACGGTTTCAAGACTGTAAACCACTACGGGGCACCCCATCAAAAATGCCGTCCTCGCCCTGTGGCGCTGAGCCCATCGCCATCATCGGCTCCGCGTGCCGGTTCCCGGGAGGCGCGAGCTCCCCCTCGCGCCTGTGGCAACTGCTCGCGAACCCGAGGGACCTCTCGGAGCGCGTGCCCGCGGGAAGATTCCATGTCGACGCCTTCTACCACCCAGATGGCGAGTTCCCCGGCACGACGAATTCTGCCCGTGGGTACTTCCTGGACCACGACCCCCGGCTGTTTGACGCCAGCTTCTTCAGCGTCACGCCCAAGGAAGCCGAAGCAATCGACCCCCAGCAGCGGTTGCTTCTAGAAGTGGTGTACGAGGCCCTCGAGTCGGCCGGGTACTCTCTCCAGCAGCATGCGGGTGCCCGTGTTGGTGTGTTTGCCGGTGTGATGACGGCCGACTACGACACCCTCTCACAGAGGGACGAGCTCACCACAAGCCAGTACTATGCCACGGGCAATGCGCGGTCCATGGTCTCCAACCGGCTCTCGTACTTTTTCAACTTCAAAGGGCCCTCCATGACGATCGACACGGCCTGTTCATCCAGCCTGGTAGCCCTCCACCAAGCTGTCTTGAGTCTTCGGTCGGGCGATTGCGAAATGGCTTGCGTGGCTGGTGCCAACCTCATCCTGACCCCTGAGCAGTTCATCGTCGAGTCCAGCCTACACATGCTCAGTCCCTCCGGTCACTGCAACATGTTTGACGCCAATGCCGATGGCTATGCCCGCGGCGAAGGAATTGCGGCTATGTTTGTCCGTCCCCTGAGCAAAGCCCTGGCCAGTGGCGACCACATTCTCGCCGTTATTCGGGAAACCGGTGTCAATTCGGATGGCAGGACGACAGGGATCACGATGCCCAACTGGGAAGCGCAAGCACAGCTTATTCAGGACACATATCGACGAGCCGGCCTAGATATCAACACCCTCGAGGACCGCTGTCAGTATTTTGAGTGTCATGGGGCTGGAACGGCTGCAGGTGACCCCAAGGAAGCCCGCGCCATCGAACATGCCTTCTTCTCGGGTGAGCTTCGAGCTGGGCCGTCAACTGACTTGATCCCGCCCGCGGAAAGGCCTCGGCTTCTGGTTGGCTCAGTGAAGACGGTCATTGGCCACACTGAGGGGTCGGCAGGTCTCGCAGGGTTATTCAAGGTTGTCGAGAGCATGCGACATGATACCATTCCTCCAAACCTACATCTAGATCGGTTGAACCCGCAAGTTGCCGAATATGCCAGCCACTTGGTCGTCCCAACAAGCCCCGTCCCATGGCCAGCGGTCCAGCCAGGACAACCGAAAAGAGCCAGCGTCAACTCGTTCGGTTTCGGCGGCACCAATGCCCATGCGATTGTTGAGCAGTACGTTCCAGCCATCCACGACGAGAACTTCGTGTCAAGTGCCCGCGTCCCTCGCCACATCCCCAACGGGTCAGTCGGGCCTAGAGTCAATCGCATTTGCCTCCCTTTGGTACTCTCTGCCAAATCGGAAAAGTCCCTGGTAGCTGTGGTGCAAGCCTATTACGATCACCTCCTCAAGAACCCCGGAGCCTCAACCGAAGAGCTGTCATGGCACACCTACGCCCGCCGCACAGCTTTTGCTCACAGAGTGTCCTTTGCGGGTACAACAACGGAAAGGCTTCTTGGGAAGCTGGCGCGATTCCTGAAGATACCAGACGCCCCGCCTGAGCCTCCTAGAAAGAAGCTGAAAACAACCGACAAACGAGAGACGCCGCCACCGGTTGCCACTATGTGTCGCGTGAAACCAGAACATCAGAAGCCCAAGTTGCTGGGGATCTTCACGGGCCAGGGAGCGCAATGGGCCACCATGTCTCGGGGTCTGCTTGTGACAAGCAAGGTGTATCGTGATTCTATTCGACAGTTGGACGGGATTCTGCGGCAGTGCCCACATCCACCTCCCTGGAGCTTGGAACACGAGATATCGGCGGACGAGGGTCTTTCGAGGGTTCATAGGTCGACAATCTCGCAGCCTCTGTGTACCGCCATTCAGATTGCTTTAGGTAAGACACCTTGCCTGTGCATGGATTCTCTGTTCAGTTCTGAAGGGGCTGCCGGAGCTGCTTTGCTAACACTGCTCCCGAACAGTCGACTTGTTACACTCGATCGAGATTAGCTTCCACACAGTGGTCGGCCACTCGTCTGGGGAAATCGGTGCTGCATATGCCGCCGGCCGGATCGGTGCCAGAGATGCTATTCTGATTGCTTACTACCGTGGAATGGACGTGAACCTCGCCTGCGGAGCCGGGGGCGTCAAAGGGGGGATGTTAGTTGCAGGCATGTCAATGGAGGAGGCCGCCGATTTCTGTTCTAGAAGAGAGTACAGCCCAGGACTCTGCATTGCCGCCAGCAACTCGCCCATGGTTGTCACGCTTTCAGGTGATCTTGACTTGATTCATGAGGCCTGCAAGTATCTTAAGGGCAAGAGGTTGCTAGCGCGGATACTCAACGTCGACACGGCTTACCATTCACCCCACATGGAGGTTCCGTCAATAAAGTATCTGGAAGCGATCAAATCGTGCAACATCTCACCGCGGGCTCAAAACAATGGAACCGCTTGGATTTCGACTGTGTCTGGCACTGGGGAGCCCAAGGCAGCGGATTTGAAGGACACCTACTGGCGCGACAACATGATGAAGCCGGTGCTGTTTTACGAGGCTATGAGTACCGCCTTGGACAAAAATGGACCGTTCGACGGAGTGATAGAGGTCGGGCCCCATTGCACTCTTAGGGGGCCAGTGTTTGAAGCAATCCGAGAGAGCATGGGAACAGAAACAACTTTGCCCTATACTGGACTCCTCAACAGGGGGATGGACGACCGGGAGGCGTTTGGCGAGTTTCTCGGCTGGATATGGGCCCAGTTTGGGGTTTACAACTCTCACATTCGGCAATTCGTCGTGGGTTCCGTACAGCCCGAGCTGGTCAACACGCGGATTCAAGGTGCTCCCAGTTACCCATGGGACCATTCACAGATTCATTGGAGAGAGTCGAGACTATCTCGACAGTATCACTTCAGGTTGGCCATGCCTCACGAACTCCTCGGGGTACGCACTCGAGACGATTCTCGGTACCTACTTCGATGGCGGAACATTCTGAAGTTTGAGAAGCTCACTTGGGCCAGGCACCATGCGTTCCAGGGTCAATCGGTACGTCACAGATCTAACTTCTACTGTCTTTGTAAAACTTGACCGTGTGCTAACAAGAATTGTTGACAGCTACTCCCCGCGTCAGCCTACGTCATCATGGCGGTTGATGCTGCCAAAGCCGCTGCGCCAGAGGTAGCAATTTCTATGATCGAGCTTCGCGATCTCAAGTTCTACAAAGGCATCACGTTTGATCCTAATTCGCCCGGGGTCGAAGTTCTCTCCTCTTTGGTCATTGAGAAAGAGACGCCAGACACATGGGAGGCTTCATTTCTGCTGACTTCAGCCGTTGCCGACGGCCGCACCGATGTGAAAAAGAACTTTAGTTGCCGGGTCGCCATCACGTCTGGCGCACCACATCCCAATCTGTTGCCAACGCGGCCAGCGACGAGAGCGGAAACACTGAGCGCCAACCCCGAGGCTTTCTATGCCATGATGGCCGGGACAGGCTTGAGGTACACTGGCCCATTCCGAGGGCTACAAGCACTCGACCGTCGGTTTGATTTTGCGTCGGGTTCCCTGAGGAGAGTTCACCCTGACGACACTACAAGGCTTGGCCTCAGCCCCGCCACCTTGGACAGCTGTCTTCAAACAGCCTTTGTCACAATGTCTTCGCCTGGCGACGGTGCCATCTGGACACCATTCTTGCCAGTGGAGATCGAGAGCATTCGCATGAACCTATCACTGTGCAATGCCCAAGAACGGAGCGACACGCTGGTGGTTGATGCGCATAAGACGCAGGCTACACCATGCACGAGGAGCGCCCCGGCCTCCTTCACTGCCGACATTGAGATATTTAATGATGAAGGCAAGCAGGAGATACAGATTGAGGGACTCAAAGTTGGGTCGTTTGGCCCTACCAATCCCGAGGATGACTACGAGCTGTACCTTACCACACAGCTGGACCTTGATCCCGAAGACGCTATCGTCTCCGCCACAGACGAAGACGTTCACCCCGCGAGCCCCATGCTTGCCGAGTCCTGCGAGCGCGTCGCTTCTTTTTACATCACGGAACTGCCAGCCACTGCAGTGTGTCCAAGTCCGGGCTCGCACCTCGTTTCTGCGTCCATCGCCAGCCGAGCAGAGCTGCGCCGCGCCACAAGCACCTGGTCGGATGAGACAGAGGAGTCTCTTGATCGGTTCATTCTATCCTCGCCATACTATTCGGCTTTGAATTTGGTCCGCAGATTAGGCCGAAACGTTCCGGATGTGATGGCTGGCATGCTTCCTACAGTGTTTGAAGAAGCTCGCCAGACGCATAACTTCCAGCGTCATATTTCGAGAGTGGTGAAGCAAATATCCCACAAGTATGCCTCGATGCACGTCTTGGGACTGACAGATGCTGAGCTTGGGTTGACGGAGCACGTGCTGGCTGGCTTGGGCACCTCCTTTGCATCCTACCGCATCGGCTCTCGGCCTGAGGAGAATCTCAACGATCGAATCCAGCTTTCCAAGTCTCTGAGCGAGAAGGTTATCACCGAAAAAGTCGATTTCACCACGGGTGTTCCAGCAAATGGCCAGCTCTACGACCTAGTTCTTCTGTCTACTTCTCTATTCGAGCCTCACAACACGGCCACTGTCCTCGGCCACGTTCGGAACATGATGCGGCCTGGAGGCTTCCTGATGCTCATTCAGATTACAAGGACCCCTCTCGAGGAACGTCTCCGTCGTACCATCAGCTGTGCACTCTCTCTGCAGTCGATGTCCCCAACACCGCCTGACTGGCCTGACCTCCTTGATCAGTGCGGATTTCAAAATTCCAGCGAGGACTCGGCCCAGAACTATGCCACTGGCTTTTCCCTGATTGTTCGTCAAGCGCAGTCTCTGGAGAAAGCGCTGCTGATGTATCCTCCCTCCGAGCACTCAGACCCGGAGCGTCTGATGAATAGACTCCTGATTGTTGGCGGCAAGCAGCTGTGGACATCATTCATCTCATCGCAAGTCACTGCAGCCCTGGCTTCGCATTGCGGGTTGATCACTACCGTTGCGTCCCTTGACGACTTGGCACCCGGGCATGCTGCCAACTTTACAGCCGTCATCCTCCTCTGCGACCTGGATGAGCCCCTTCTGTTGAACATGAACGAGAAGCGGATGGAGGCCTTGAAGGAGCTACTCCGTCCAGAAATGGTGATCCTTTGGGTCACGGAAAGTGCCCGGACTACTACCCCTGGCAATTCGGCTTCTTTGGGCTTCACGCGCACCCTCGCTGCTGAGATCCCAGGATTGACCCTCCAAGTCCTTGACCTCGAGACTGTTAATACCGATCCCGCCGTCAAGGACGTCTCTGAGACCTTTTTTCGCCTTGCCATGTACGCTAGGATTCAACACACAAGTGTCGAAAACCCTCTGTGGGTTCTGGAGCCAGAGATACACATCAAGGATGGTCGTCGCATGGTTCCCCGTGTTCGTCCGTGGAAGACAGGCAACAACCGCGCGAACGCCGGTCGGCGGATTGTCACAGCTCCTTGCAACACCTTGGAAAATGTGGTGGAAATTCTGCCAGGGCATTCAGGAAACGGGCCATACAGGGCAGAGGAGTGGGGATTGGCGTCTGCGTCGGACCCTCCAGGAGAGCTCTTTGGTATTCAGGTCAACTACAGCACTGTCGGTGCGCTCAACACAGGGCTCAGTTCTTTCCCGTCGGCCTACGTCTGTCTTGGCCGCGATACGAGGACCCTCGCCACAACGGTTGCTTTGTCCAAAGTCAATGCCTCCTACATCATGATGCCGACGAGATGGGGTACGGAGATTACGATCCCCAGTCTCAACGAGCCGGTCTTCTTTGGGCTTTTGGTCCGCTATTTCCTGGCGCTCAGCATTTCGTGGAAAGCCAGGGGACAGTCACTCTTGGTTATCGAACCTGACGAGCGGTTCCGGGAGTGCATCAAGGACGTCTGTGTCAAGCAGGGGATTTCGTTCCAGA